TTTGTTGAATAAAAGAGGCTTCGGAATAAGACTGTTTTGTATGCTGGCAATTATTTGTTCGCGAGTTCATAAGGCCCTAAAATAAAGACAAAGGGGAGAGTAAAATTTTACGAAGCTACTACAAGGTCAGACAGGCAGGGTGGCCGCTCGTGTGCGCCGCTGGGGTGGAGCAGCAGGCGGAGGGGTCTCACCCTCCGCGACATTAGAACGGGAATGTCCCGGCAACGACGCAACCCCCCGGACCGTCCACGCATCAAAAACTCATCGTCTCATGGGCGCCAACCTCACTAAACTCAGCAGGGTGAGTTTTACACTTTTTCCCGTTGACACTCGGCCAAATCCAAGAGATCTAACTCTTTATACAAATATTTTTTACACTTTAGCACTGTTTGATCTCACAAGAGTTCAATCAACTAAAGAATGTCAATAGTAGTTTCGATCTTCCAAACTTGTCAGATTTAAATTCAGATAAGGTTCTGGTCAGAAATCAAACAAGGTTTTGATGGGATATACGTTAGGGTCCTGACCAGGGCCAAGAAAACTTTTTTGATATTGAACTTGTGAAAATAGTTGATCGGATTATTACACAATTATTATGTTGGAATAAGTTTTCTCATAGATTAACTTATTGATTATTTTATTAATATTGCATAAAACTATGATTATTTCTTTACACAATTACGTTTTTAGTATTTATCAAGACTATTGATGATTATTTTAGTCAATTGATAAATTGAAGAAAAAAACAAAAATACGATAAAAGGATGACAATATTGAAGTACGGATCATAATTAATTTTTGACTGGAAAACCCTTTGGATGAGATAAAAAATGACGATTCTTCTAGTGAGTTCAAGTTTGTATTAAATCATTCCATTTTTTTTTTCATTCTCGTAATGATGATAAGTACAAACGAACTTTTAAGTAAGAGTAAAATTTTAATTCAAAATTATAATTATCATAATTGAAATTTTTGAATTTTACATTAAAATTCATAAAATTAATGTAAATTCTTTCAAATGTTAATAATAAATTTAAAAATTATAAAATTTGTATATTAAAAAACATTAAATCCATTGAAATGAGAATAAAAACTTTCATCTTTTGTTCTGAGCATTAACTATTTGTAATCTCAACAACGCTAAAACCAGCTTTAAGACCTTTTAATTCACATTGGATTAAACTCGCCAAGTTCTATCAGTGTTTTTGTTTTTTTCGGAGCAAACATAAAAGTGTATAAAATTTGCTAAAAATGTACAAAGTTATTTATCGAGACAATGAAAAAATGTAAGTGTATTGTGTTGACAATTTGACATGCTGATAATCTATGACCATCTTTGTCTCTTGTACTCCTATCAATTCTCTTTTTTGGTATGGTAATCGCATCCGCATTGTAGTACTTCCAAGGGAGGCAATTAAAGAAGAAGAAATCAAAGTCACGATTCGCCCACGCGTCGTAGTCGTAACGGTACATAACAACGATTCATTGGTCACCATTCATCTAAATGGATGTATCAGACTCTTCTTAGTGAATGAAGCATTCATTCTGGTTGATTTTTACTATACTTGTTTTGTGTACAGCAAATCAATGTCTTTTTATAAACTCTTCCTATCATTAATAATTGTGATAAAAAACTGAAGCAATGTGTAATTAAATACAAGGTATAAAAAGTAAGATAAATACATCCTAAAGCACGGTATATCGTTTGGTAGCTTGTTAATATTGATACTAAATAATGTAACAGTATAAACAGTTGTAGTTGATTTAGTATAGTTTCAAATAGCATTCATAAAACAATGAAGATACAAAAAATCTCAAATTTTATTTGAAAAAGGATATAAATCCTTTTTTAAATATTGTTTAAATTTTATGAAACTAGGAAACATCATTGTGTATAAATCATTTCAAATTCAATAACTCGAAAAGTTAAACTTATTAAAAAAAATCATAGATTATCAACTTTCAAAATTATATATTAAATGATTCAACTATTTTGTATGAAAGAACTTGACAAAAATTTTGAATCATAAAAAAAACTATTAATGTAAAGATTAGCAAAAATTAATAGCAGAAATGGAGTATAATCTACTGAATTATCAAGATTAAGAAAAAGTAAAATAAACATCAAACGATAAAGTATCTAAAAAATTTTAATAAATTAAAGAAGAGAATATTGATGGAAATTTGTAAACTACGTATTAGAAGAGAGGGTAGCTTTAAACCGCTAGCCAACGAGTCCCTCGAGTTTTAGCATATCTACACCCTGCTCATCAAAACTCGAACCACAGCTGCAGCAATAAACCACTGGGCTTATAATACGAAGCGATTGCATATACACTATTGAAAGTAACACGACACACCTGCAGTATATTTTATGTACACACGTATATGCCAAACAGTAACGTATCCACACAACAAGGGAACCCATGAAAGTTGATGTGAAACCATTGCACAGAGACTATTCAGCGTGAGTCCCGCGTGTCAAATGACTCACTAGACGATGCATACATATGCATCTATAAATGTTGCTTGCATATAATAAATGTGTTTGTTCTACATTGAGGACAAAGTCCACATCAATAAAAATTAACGTAGTGAAAAAAAACAGTGTTAAAATTAATCTGCATATATCAAACACTCACCCTCATTGATCAATAAATTTTATTCTTTTATAGAAATTCCTTTGTTAATTAACGTTAATTTGTTATTTTTAATACTACGATAACGTATTGAGCTAGGATAAATTAAAGACAAAAAATTATAAAAAAAACAGTAGATTGATTAAACCAAACATAGCTGATGTTTTTTTTTTTATTTCTGTTCATATATATGTAGCTGTATTGGTATAAAAAAAACACCAACGAGCTTTGATGAGCTAGAAAAAATCCCAAAGTTGAACGATACTATTTGAATATTATTGATCATTTTTTTAAGTTTGATTATTCCTACAAAATGAGTTATAAAAAATTATTCACTAATTATTTATCAATTTAAAGCAGTACTTTTAATAGGAAAACATTTTGATTATTAATTTTTTAGTTTGAAATCAGGTGATTTAATTCTCTATGGATATTGAAATTTCTTTAGACTTTCTATCTTCCCTCAAGTTATTCAACCTTAATTATTACGACCATTCTCAATAATTTTATGTAAAACTACCAAGTCAATTTCACGTTCAACTTAACAGAATCAATGTCATGCTAGTGTGCAAGTAAGAATGTCAATAGTCTTCATGGTACGACTATTTGAGCTCCAATATAGCCGATGAGAATTGCCCGCTGTGCAATAGAATAAAATGAAAATAGCAGAGAGTATTTACCCGCTTTCTTATTCGCCAACAATCTCTGTAACAAGAGGGTAATTGTGATCCAATCGAAGTACGCATAATTAAAGAGAATTTGATGACAGGATGGTGGTGAGTAAATGCAGCTAGAGATGTTCATTCCATGTTAATACGCAGAATAAGGACTGCACGTCGTCATGGATGAAGTGATGAGACAAAGTTAGCATGTACATGTACTATAGAAAATGCAACTTACCCGTATATCCAGTTATTGACATTCACAGACATGTCTGTTCATCGAACAGTTTGCAGTTGATAGCCACGTCACGTTTGTTACAAATATCAATCGTCTAGATCCAATACAATCCACTCGATGACAGACTGCCTTTGATGGTTAAATTGAAATTTTTCTTTCAATGTTACCTGGAAGCATTAAAAAAATTTTAATTATTGCAAAAAGTCATATATTATATAATTCTTTATAGATAGTTCTTGAAAAAAAAATAAAAATATTGGATAAATAAAGTAAGCTTTGGTGAAAATAGCGGTAAAGATTGAAGAGTGATTTAAAGCTCCTATAAATCTATTCGGTCATTTCTTTAGCCCAACTCTTAGGGTAGTAGTTTTACCGGATTGTGATTTTGGTGATTCCACTTTCTTTCTCTTTCAAGCACTCTTTTCGATAGCATGATAAATTTTACGGCTATTCGAATAGATTAAGTATAAGTCATTATTTCACCACCGAGATCAGACTTGCAATGACGGAAAACATTTTTAAAATTAATTTAACATCTTTTACAGTCAATACATTACATGGCTGAAGACGATAGTAGAAATTTTCATTCATTTTCAATGATTGAATAATTAAGTTAAACATTTATTATCAAAAACTAATTATTTAATTAATTAATAATAAAACTACGATACTTTATTGATTATAATCCGAATTAATATTTAATTATTAAAGTATTTTTAATTTTCTTCTACTCGAAAAGAAGAAAGTTGTTTACGAGTAAATATCTCTTAACTTTTATCAATACTTTAAAGCCAATATGCTTAATAAGCTAATCCACTTTATTTATCATAAAAATCCTTGCTCTCAGCAACACATTGGGCAAAAATACGATCTCCATCTAACGGTGCAGTGTTAAAAGATATGCAGCGTTAGTGAATCTCGGTTATCGGGATAATTTAAGACTTGAAGAGGGCAAAGGACGCAGAAAGAATGGACGATCGTGGTTGCAATTTATTGAGGCGTTTGAACCCATTGGTTAGTTTCGGTTTGGTTTAATCGCGTGAAGTACTGCTTCCGTTACTTGGCAGCGTACAGTACAATTATTGACAATAAGAGAAGGAAGGAAGAAAGTTGGTGTGAAAGCCAAGATGGACAAAGAGAGTAGTGAGGTAAAGAGGTAAAAAAATATCCTCTCTCAGCGATAAACAAAGGGGATGTTCAGCCAATGGAGCGTGCAACGTTTCGATTTAAATTCATGAATAATTCTAAACGAAAGTATCAACGCGCTTTGTTTCAGTCTCATCAACTGGCTACCTCTTTCCTCTTTTTTTCTCTTATATTTTCTATGTTTTCTCATTCATTATGTGATCACTATTGACTAACCAATGTACAGTCAATTGATTAAGAAGCTTTTACGTCACCATTCAAATGATTAAAAGTTTGGACTTTAATTGATTGTTTCCTTTTTTATTTTATTTTCAGCGAGAGGCGACACAGCGAGATGTGGAACGAGAGCGTCGACTGCGATTGGAGGCTGAGTCTCGGGTACGAGAAGCCACTGCTGAAGCAGAGCGAGCTCGTGCTAGAGTACATCATCTTCAACGAGAATTGGCGAGGTAAAATAAATATATCTAATTAATTAAAAAAATGGTAGACATTAATATCAAACATTATATGACGCTTATCAGTGATAATAACACAATAAAAACAGCGAGTTTGATGAGAAAAATCACTAGAATACCCTTAGGTAGCTCGTATAAATAACGAAGCAACGTTACCGGGAAGCAATAACCACTAGACGCTCGCGATAAATCATCAATATTGGCCTCAAGCCAATAACACATTGCGCCGTCGATGAATGGCGATCCTTAGTACATATACGAAGATAGCAAATCCTGATGGGGAATAATATCGAGCTTATGCATCGTTATTTCACCAATATTATTCGAACTTGGTGATAATAGATTAACCCAAACCAAAATGAAGTATACTGTCGTACTTAAACTGGTATAAAAATATTATTTATGTTTTATTCATTGATAACTTCTTCTTCTTTTTTTATAATAGTCCGAAGAGAATAAAAGTAGTTATATTCCATAGCTTTGTAACTTTTAAAAAAAAAATCTACTGATTTTTTTAAATTCCATTTAAAAACTTAAACTTTCTGCTTTAATTACCTTTTTTTAAAAGTATTCTACTACAACTTATTTTCCAATAATCGAGTCATGGAACTAAAAAGTCGACTTTACCTGAAACTAAAATGAATCAGAAAGAATGTCGAATTCATTTTTTACTGAAAGTCAAAGCTTTTTATAGTGGTGAAAAATCAAGTTTTACTTATAAAAAATAAAATTGCAATAGACCATTTATTAATGTTCTGTGCTAATAATAGTTAATGGTAATACCATAAAGATAATTGAAGGCATGCAGAAGCCATTCTCAGTAAATTAAAGATGATAAGCGAAAATGATAGAGGTACCTAATAATTACATTGTACTTGATGACTTATGACACGACATCAAAGGATCTTGACTGGGAAAAGATCCATACCCTTATGAGCAAACTTATAGAAGAAAGACAGACAAGGAGTAGAAATCAACAATCCTACTGCACCCCTTATTCAGAACAACTAGTCGAGGCTTCTTGCTCTTTGTGTACACATCTCGCAGTGGTACTTCTGCGGATTATTCTTCCAGGGTTCATGGCTATGTGCATACATTGTCTGTGCTCCAATGCGAATATTAAAAATGACAAAGATAGCAAGCAAAATAGATACCTAGTCTCACATTTTAGTTAAAAATTGTAAACTAACTCAATGTAAATGTAGAGAGCATTTTTTAGATAAAATAAAAATGACCAAGATAAATTTAATTACATCAACCATACTAGAGGGAATGATTAAAAACATTATCTGTTTAACTAACTCAAGATAAACTCGATTGATGAAAAAATTCCCAACGTGTTGACTGATTGGAATCGACAACAATGTACTAATAAATTCTCTTTGAAAAGCAGACCTTTGATTTCTAGATAAATGTAGATTGAAAGCTCGTTCCCACAGGAGAGATACAATACATGTATGTATTTGGATGAACAAATCCCAGAGCATACTGTGGGCAATGCATCGAAGCGGCTTGATAAAGCCTTTTTACTATGAGTATAGCTCCCTTGCTTATTGTTGAAAGGGAGTCGTCAAGTTGCCAGTAGCTCCTATCCCTTTTTGGCATGAATCGAGCGTGCGCGAAAGAAAACAACTATATGGAATCGCACACTGAGCAGAAAGAATAAGGGAAAGGAAGAAGGGATGATAACATAGCTCTGGGACATTGTTCCAGGAGAAAAGTAAAAGAGGGGTAGAGTCGATCGATGCACCTAGAAGTCTTCCAGCAACTTGTAGTGAAAGCTTTTCACGATGATCCATCACTGATGCTTCTCAGCTACTTTGCTAACATTTGATATGCATATTTTTATTTTTATTATTGATCGTCTACTCTCAAAAATTGGCACAATGGACAGAAAATATTTGTCGAGTGTTTATAATATTACAACAGCTGCCAATAAAATCGATCAGAATAATAAAATGAAAAATAAAGTAGTCTAGCTCACCTTTGTTTTAATAAAAGTGTCTGCTTGGAATTAGATAAAGCCATATGATGGCGCCGTTAGTAAACAATGAAATGTCTTAAAGAGAAAAGCCTTAGATGATGAGCGGAAGTAAATATTTATCCGAGTATTTAATGAAGAAATTAATTGTCTAGTTTCACTTTCTATTGACAAGTGAGAAACCCATGTTAGTATATTGAAAATTGTTTCCTCAGATCAAGAACACTTTAAGAGACTGCTTTAAAAGAGTCATTTTAATTTATGTATTTATTAAATTTATTTCAATTGTACATTTATACTGCGAAGGTGCTCTAAAATAATACTAGGATTGTCTCATAAAATAAAACACTGAGTATATCTGAACATGAATACCAGACAAAAGTATTTCCATAAAAATACATTCCAAAGGCATGATTTTGTGATTCTACGAATTTCAATAAAATTTTTTGTTATTCAATTATTTATCCATCATAAATAAAGTAAAATAAAATGAATTTCTTGATGTTTAACTTATATTAAAATACATAAGAAAAATGTTTAGTAAAATACTTTAATTTAGTCTTTTTTTTCTCGAATCGATTTTATAACGGAAGCGGAAATCCTAACTGAGGGGTCCCAAAATTAGATGAATTTGCCGTAGCAGGACTTCCGTTAAACTTCTAAACTATTGAGTGACCTTGGCCTTTACGTTGGAATTCAAGGCTCCATACAAATATAAACTCTCTTGTAGTCAATAATCAATGGTATCTGCACTTTAGACACCCTCATGACATTGCTCTGTCACCCAAGTGTCGTATCAGGTCATCATAAAGAGACCTACCAAGTATACTGACATCGGAAATTATTGCTCCGTATATTGGTGTACATGTGTACCAATGCTGCTTACACAAACAGCAGCAAGAGACGAAGCTTTCATGTTTACATCAGTGTCTGTATTTACACATGTACACTTTCAGTTGTACGCCACGTATACGTATACTTATGCAAGCTAATCCATCAAAAAAGCCAGAGGGCTAGCACGGTAGAACACCATTTTATATTTTCAACGATAATGAAATCGACGTGATTATTCACTGTCGGCCGAGGGCTACGCTAATAACTAAAATTATTTTTCATTTTTTGTAATTTATATACGTCACATAATTGTTGTTACAAATAGCCGTAATTCTTTCTTAAGTTTGCTCATGCAATAAGTGAATAAATGTGTGTATGATAGACATAAAGCTATAATTATATATCTGGTTGGAAAGAAAATATGCTACATATCGCAGAGATTGGATAAATATCATTCTTGAGTTTTTTTACCAGCGGCTCTTTGATCATAAATTGTTACCACTAACTATATTCTCGTTGATACACACTGTTAGGAACATTCAAATGTATTAATCAAAATATCGTTTATAGAAAAGAAGAAATTTATAATCTCGTGCTATGAGTATAGTTGAAAACTTGTCACCGATAAATGAAATTTCAAAAGAAAAAGTTCAAAATTTATAAGAAAATTCTGGGAGTCGTGATCTCCAAAATTCAGGTTTATCCTGAACGTGCTAAAGTCTTGTAATTTCTCAGAAATGGCTCCTCTCTTCCACATCGTTATAATCAAATTTGCACAGCGATTGTTATAAATCAGTGGTCGTATACTGAGCCATGTGCCACCGACTATACCAGCAGAATTGCTTGAAGCCCCAGTAATTGCTAGCCTAACGTTTTTACGAGAACAAATCGCTTTGTCTTCGTTCCTTTTGATGATTTTCTTCTCGATTATTATCCATCTACATTCATTTTGTTGGCAATAAATTAAGTGTTTATTGTTAATTAAATCTTAAAATAAAAAATGAAACTTTACATAAATAATGAAATTACTTAAAGAAAGAAGTTCACTTCATTGAAATACAAGTGACAAGTCCTCATTTTATTTTGCAAAGTAGAGTAAAAATGAGAGCACTCAATATATCGATGAAATGGCATCAGTATTCTTCTCTTTACCCGTCTCATCATTGAATCGAGTGCATTCCTTTGTCATTCAAGCCACTAGATAGATAATGAGACTGACACTTGGTTCTTGCTTTTCCCTTTGTCGTCACTTCAGCATTATGAGTGATGTAAAGTTGTCCCAGATATCATTAATTCACTATTCGATACTACTAATAATACTCGACACTAAAAGTATTTTTACCACAATCTTATAGTCGATAACTCACTTTTAGTCATTGTTTGGTTCTATCAATTATATTTTTATTCCACTATTGTTTCAGGATGGAGGAGTCATCCCGAGGACTTCTGCAACATAAGCAAAGAGCGGAACAGTTGAAGCAGGAAAGGACAGCACTTACACTTTCTTATGAGGTAAAAAAAGCGACATAACAGTGGTCAAGAATTACCAAGACAAAGAAGAAACATCTAGTTATATCAAACTGAATATTATGTCGTAGCTTGTGTCGTTGAATGAGGAAATATTGAACCCTATGTCATTAGAATCATCTCTTTCCCCATATGCGAAAGGGAAGCCCAAATATGATGACACTTGTACAAGGTTTTCTTTCATCCAATAAAATGGGGGGAAAACATGATATCAAACCCGAACTTAACCCAGCACTTTTTTCTGCTTGATCGTTTTATTTGCAAAAAAATCGATATGCAAAAAGCTTTCGTGATTGTCCAACCAAGTTGGGTTAATTCTAAACAAATAGCAAGCATCAAAACCTGTAGAAACGTGGATAAAACCTCTCCCTTACAGCCGCGAGCTCATAAATAGACGCTATCTCCCAGTTCACGGACGGTTTGCTTCTAAAAGACTCGTATATTTGGGGGTGCGTTGAATACTCTCTCCTTTCTTCTGTTCATTTCACCCTCTCATACTCTCTCTATCGATCGGTCTTCGAGTTAACAATACTATACATTCGCGCTTCCGTGACAATGATAGAACCAGAGTAAGCGTCGATAAGACGAATCGTTAACGCTATGAACTTTTTTTACGCACTAAATTTTCGCAAACCTTCCAAACTCTTTTGTTGGCATTGTTGAGTGTTTAGTTGATACTTATTCCAATAACACGTGATGTATGGCAATTCATTATTAATTTTTATTAATTTCTGTACCACACATAATAATTTATCAAACAATACAAATTTTTAAATAAGTACAATACACAATTTTTAAAATTAACTTTATTTTTTTAAATTTTATTCACACAAAGAGGATAACTTTAATCTATAAATATGACGGCTTTTTGTGGGAAAATCTGATAGCGCTCGTATGCAAAAAAAGATTTAAAAGAAATAATACCGAACAGTTATCAATTATTTGATTCTGTTTAAATCATCTTTTTTCAAATCTAAATTGCAGAATCTATAGAATTTACCATCATTGATATAATCTCACAAACTAACGTAATCTGAAATGAAATCTTCATACTATTAGTTATTGATTAATATACCAAAATCGTAAAAACAATTGGATGTTTTGATTGCAACCACATATCAATTGTTGGCAGTCGAAAAAAAAGTTATCAGATATGTCAAAGTTATTTAGATGGATGGTAATTAATAATATAAATTTCAAACGTGATTGTTGGACGAAAGTCTAGAACTTTAATGTAAAATAACGTTCGTGTATTAAATGTATTGTTATAAATCAGACACACATGCCCTTCGTCCTTCCTATTAGCACTTCTGCCTGTGACAGGTTCACGGCGCCCCTAATTTAACATAAAACCCTTTTCTGTTAATAGCACGGGTATTATTAACTACACTTCTTTATGGTAATATTAAAATTACCGTTCTTTTTACAGTCTAAAGAAAAATATTTATTTTATTGAGTGTAATAAAGATAACAAATATTTTAATGTTTTATAAAAATTAATATTCTTGAATTTACAGACACGTGTACATCAATATCAAACACAAATATCTAAACTTCAATTGGAGAACGAATCAATGCGAGGACAATTGAGAGGTTTAGAAGCAGCTTGTGCTGGTGAAGTTCATGCTGCTCTTGTTGCAAGACTTGCTACTCTAGAGACTGAACACGTTGCTCTCGCGAGAGATGCCGATGCACAGAGAAGACAGTATGAGAGGTGCTTAGACGACGTCGCAAACCAAGTGGTTCGTGCTCTACTCTCTCAAAAGGTTATTTTTCAATATTCATGATAGCTATCACATTTATTTTTTTTTATCTGAAACCTTATAATATAACATGAAAATAATATTCAAAGTTTAATAAGCTGCAACTAAAGCTTTTATTCACATCATGGATGCTTTGATCATTTCAATTTTCTTTAATTATTTGAATATAATCTACTAAAATGTTTTTATTGAATACAGGGTTTAAAGGAAGAAATTGGAACCCTTCAAAAACGTATTCGTGAATTAGAAGCACAAAATCGCGCACTTTCTGGTCTTTTAGCCCAAGCGACTAGTCCTGGAAGTCCATCTGAATTTATTCAAGGTATTATTGAAGCCGGCCCAGCAACTTTAGTTGCTGCACTAGGTCTTGATCCTTCATTTGTACCATTATCAAGACCGCGATCTCTTAATTTAAAGATTCCTGTTATGGCAACAGCTAAATGTCGTCGAAATAGACCATTAGGTAAATTAAATTTATTTTTATTAGCTTTCATCTATTAACGAAAATTGTAATAAATTTGATTGAATTTTCAGGTCAAAAGACTTCTGAAGAAGAAGGTAGCGAAAGCCCTGAGAGTGGAAATAGAGATGAAGGATATTCGACTATGTCTTCAGATGTTCAGGGTGAAGGTGCTCGTCAAGAACCATCGAGAGGACTAGAGGATCTTAAAGAAGCTACTGATGAAACAGAAGGGGATGTCTCGCCAGATGCACGACTTGTTACTTTAAATACAGGAGATCCAGATGTACTTTTTCTCCCTCTCAACCTCACGGTTGGAATAAATCCAAGGCACAGTTATCCGCCATCCAAAGAGCTTCTCCCCTATCAACACGTTATGCGGAGTTTTTCTGATAGTCACTTATATCTCAAACTTACTACTACTACCGCAAATATCACAAATTCACCGTACAATATTCCAAGTCCTATGGGATCTTCGTCTCTTTTACTTGTTGAGGAAGAAGGATGGGATGCTGAGTACGTCCAGCAGTGGCTCAGGTAAAGTTCTGAATGAAACTTTTTTTCGACATTGAGTCTATTTAAGATGAATTTTATTTTAAAAGTTTAAAGAAATTAAAAGTTAGTTAAAATTTGAATAATATCAATCTCAACTAGTAAAACCATTTCTACAGAGAAGATCGAAAGAATTGTGATTAATTTAAAATATTACTACGTATCTAAATAGTGAATATTCATCTAAAAAAGTGGAAAAATTTTCAGGTTGGATGACTCAAGAAGTGCTCAACAACATCGTGATCTCTTAGAATTAGAATATGATAGAGCAGAATTAGAAGACTGGAGCTTTTCGCTGTCAACCGATGATCTCCGAAGCGAATCATCAGCTTGGAAAGAAGAGAGTCGCTCAATCGCACCAGCGCTTCCAGCTATCAAAGAGCAAAACCCAATTGAATTAGAAGAAGATGCCAATGAATGTTTGTGGAACGGAGCGAGTTATCTTGCTGATCGAACAGGCGGTGAACTGGTGAGTAGATTATTCTTTGCAACACTATTTCCACTTCAACTATCAATCGTATTATTATGCAGGTGGCTCTCTTGATGGATACGAGAACAGCTGGGCCTTGGCCTTATGCTTCAAGTCCTGGAGCATCTTGGAGTAGTGAAGAAGGTGCTCTTGAAAATTCTAGTAAAAGATCATCGGCAGCTTTATCAGGATGTAGTGATGATCCAGATTCACCGTCAATCGGTACAGACTTCACACGTGATTTTTATCGACTAGTCAAATTTGAAAGTACCAAGAGCCTTGCCAGTACGTCTTCCAAAAGTGGTAAACCACTACCTGATCGAGAACAAGCACTTCAAAGTGTCCTATCATTTATTGCTGAACAACAAATGTACCTCAATGAACGGCCAAATACTATCGGCAGTTCAGAACAAAGTCAAGTTGAAGGTATTTGAATATTTAGTTTCCATTACATCCTTTCTATAAAATTATCCGTTAACTTCTCTTCGTTAATTATATACATATGTATAAAATATTCTTTATTTATATTTATTTTATAGTTTTAGATTATGAGTTCAAAAACGATCCTACTGTAATCTTAAGTGAAGAAACGTTACTAGTACGAAAACCTTATGAATTTTCGGATAGAACTTCTGAAGTTTCTTCTGTGGATCCTTTGGATCGAATTCAAGTCGTTCCTAGTTTACCTGAAGACCGAGTTATCAGTGTTCCTTGTACAGGATTAAATTTCGCTGGAGTTGCTTCTACAGAGCTTGGAGCAGTCCCTGAAGAAGATGAAGAAGGTGCAACATCATCGACACCGAGTACAGTTGTAAGATACATTATTATTTACACTAATAATTAAGCTTTAATTAAGTTTATCTTCTAAAGAATAAATACTTACAGGTGAGCCCTGCGAGAGCTCCATTGTTAATTGAAGGACGAGATAGATCTTTGAGCTTCCTTGAACGTGCTACCTCCAAAGACGTGATCAATGAGTTGAATAAGATGATAAGGAAGGGAGAAGATAATCCAACGACTCAAGATTCTCAAGTGACATTAGAGAAACTAGATCTTGCCTGTTGTTGTCCCACTGGATGGGTTCACGTCGAACGTGATATTGACTTTACCGACCCAAAGGTAAAAAACAAATTCTTACAAGGAATTAAAAGAATGTTCAACAAATAAATTCATGTTTATACATTTATTTTTAGGCTAGAGCGAACCTTTTAGACGTGATGTTGGCTAGCAGTGAAAGTTCTTCAGCTACATCAAGTAGTGGTTCTGCAGGAAGCGATTCAGGTGATGAACCACCAGATTATCATCATCTTCACCGATTACATCGTTATCGTCGACAGAAGAAAGGTTTGCGAAAGTCACATACTCGTTAAAAACACAGCAGATTTACACAGGGCGTAATAGCGCATATCTCTTTACTAGTTTGCATTAATATCAAGTTTTTAACTGCTGTATGTATACATGTGCTAATAGGCTACACACTAATCTGCTCCCTAATTTGATCCGGGTATCAACTAACAAGACTAACACGGAGTTGTGTAGAGCAGCAATGCTTTCTGCCACAGCTTTGTCGACTTCATTATCCATAATTTTATGTTTCGGGCTATTCACATAAATAAACATTCATCTACTTAAGACATGAATCAAAGTATTATATAGTAATGTCATGTCCGTCACACTGTTAAATATTTTGATTCAAGTTTTTTCACATTCCACACAAACATTCAGACATACCACACGCAATCATCCACGTTTGTACATAGCCATTTCCTTATTTTCTGTTCAGATGGTAGCGCCTACGCGGTTTGCTTTGATTGTCACGAGAAAAGCTATGTAGTTCGGCTTAGTGACGATCAATTTCTATGAAAAATTAAGTATTAAATAAAAGTAAAAGTACGGAATCTGCTGGACGAAGATAAGAAGAACCGAGAACCGGCTTAATCGGAATTCAGTAGAATAAATGAAGCAAAAGGGGTAGAAGGCATTGTAAACGAGCTAAGCCGAGCTACTCTGTGTCCACTAGAGCCAAATTAGGAATGAGAGCGAGAGCGAAAGAGAGCGAGAAAGGGAGCAGAATGAAAGACAAGGTCATTAAATCCTCGAGGCGTGTTGACCCGCTGCTGCTTGGTATTTCCTTCAGTATCAGCAGCCCAAGCGCATCGTGTCCTACGACTACCATCCATCTGGGGTTCTTCGAGGCCTTCTATTATCGAACGTGGTGATGATTTCTTCGTACGTTATGGCGAGAAGGAACGTGAGGCAGTGGCATCCTTTGACTTCTTAGATGACATCACTGTACCTTCATCATCATCTGGTGAACTTGATGATCTCCTTCCAACCACAGAATTTATGAAGGTATCGCCACTTTGAAATAAATCTGTGTACACATGAAGATAGACTTAGAAATTACAATTGAGCTTAGAAAATGAAAGAAAACTACAAAATAGATTTAAGCAGACTTTTTTATGAATTTTTCAAGAGAACTTAATGGCATACTTTTTCGTTTTTTTAATTTTTATTCTCTTTTTTTGTAGAAATTGTAGAATCTCACATGGATGTATCATGAAATTTTTTAGACAAGATATTCAGCTCGGACAAAAAACAAATGTCTGTGAACACATTAATTATTAATTTGTATTAGTTAGGAAACAATAAAATGAATATTTGTTTAGTGATTTAAGATAATCATCACAGAAACGAGATAGTTTATACTATTTACGCGATAAAAAAATCACAAAGTATTTCACATATTTAAGTAAAAAAAAACAACGAACTTTGGAATAGTTGATCTGCAATATCTATTATTTTAGTTTTACTATTTATTATCCAAAGCAAAAAATGCCAGATCATTCCTGTAAAACATTAATTAATGATGACTGATCATGCCTTAAAATATCAATTCAGTTTAACAATCTGACATCCAAACAAAATGTCAGCAAAATTCTGAAAACTCTAATGCACTTTTTTTATTTTAATCAAGTGCAATGCTAAACGGTACACTATGATTAAATTATTATTATTATAATTATTATTATTATTATTATTATTGATAATACTTTATTTTATGCTCCTGAAATATTCAGAAATATTGTAAATACAATGTATTATAGACAGATAATAAGTTATCATCTCTTAAATCTTAATAAATAATGACAATATAACAATACACGTGTATATTTATTTTATTTCCAAAATATTGAACTTTATTGAAGTATTTAAATAATCTTCAACAATAAAATAATATATTATAGAAATATAAAATACATAATAATACGAAAAAAATCTTACTCTTATTATTTTTTTAAATGTATCCAAAAATATTAAATATCAGTTGTATTTAATTTATTTATTTTTAACAAAAAATACAAAAGCTTTAAATAGCCTTTTACCAAAAGAGTAAGGCAATGACGTTATGTATTTATTGTACTTAATATTTAATGACAAGGAAGATTTTTTTTTATAATAATTTATGTCACTTTTTGATTTTCTGATTCTTCTTTTATCATTTAAGAGCAATCAACATTTCAGCTGAATATAATCAAATTAAGAAGTTTGTTCAATGTAAATGTAAATGACAGTAAAAATGTAAGGCGAATGAATATAATATACAGAATAATTATTTTCACAAATGTAAGAATAATTTATTTAAATCGGACGGTTTAAACGCGATAGTTTCTACGTTCTTCATTTCGTATTGAATTTGCTAAGCAGAGAGCAAAAATGATACCAACTAATTCGACTCCAGCAATACCAAGAGCAACACCACCTAATATTTTTCCTGCCATTTGGAAGAATGTAAAGAGTCTTTCTGAACATCCATCACGGTAAATTTTATCAGACGGACAAGTAGTTAATTTCGAGTCACTATTCAATGAACAACAAGTAATTGGAATAGTGCCGTTCATATTAGGATTTGGAGAGGCGAAATCAGATGGACCTTCAGCACCGCAACAAGAAAACTAAAAAAAAAAAAAAACAGTAAATAAATAACAATAATTAACCTTTAAGTTCGAAATTTTCAAGGTAGAGCTAACGCCTACGCGATTCATTATGTCAATTTGTCGAGATATACTGATTCATTTTAACTAAAGTGTCCTTCATGAATTGTTCTTTATAATAATACTTACAGCTCTTTGAGTGAAATCGACTATTTCTTGGCTAATTTTGCTTTTCCAGTATTGTTCGACTTCATGTTTGTAAGCGTCATTGAAATTTTTTTCTTCAAAGCCTTTGACTTTAATGAATGCAAAAATAGCGAGACCAACTTGAATCACCAAAATAGTTAACAGTAAAACTGCAAACTGTAAAAATACAAAACAATGAGGAATAATAACGACAGCTACAATATTCATTATTATTCATAATATTCAATTTTTTTTGACTTACAGTAATAATCATACAATGGCTTTCCTTGATAGCGCCACAACATCCGAAAAAAGCTATGACAAATACAATGCATCCGACTATTAAGATTCCAATAATGAGAGCTGATCCTTCAGCTTGTAGTTTTTCCGGCAAATCTTTAATGTTTCCATAAAAAAATGCTGCAGGAATAATAAGTGCCAAACCACATAGCTATAATAAAAAATCAATTCATCAATTAATTAATCTGGAATTAAATCTTATTTCATGTTTCACATTTTTTTTGAAACTTAGTCTAAAATTTTAAATAATCGACTAATTTATATCGTATCATAGTTAAAAAGTAGACTGATTTATTTTTAATATAATTTCAATTGACAACTAGATATGTAAATAGTATAACTTTCATTAGTTTTTCATACGGCGAATAAAATCAATAAGTTTTCTCAAGAACTAGATAGTCATCTCCAAATGTAAATAATGCATCATTTACGTATTGTACCATGTCTCATAATCATACTTTTATTCAAGCTTTATATAACATAGTAGAGTTGGAATCAAACGGCGTCAGTTAAATATAATCGTTTTGACCTCGAAAAACAAATACTGCATATAAATCTCATGCTCATATCGAAGAGGTTATCAAGATGAGTATTTTTCCTTTGAAGGATTAAATTTGAGACATCAACTTGGTTACTTGTTCTCTATTGAAAATTTTAAGTCGGGCGTAAACATTTAACTTATAGCTTCTGCAATCGATCTAAATATATCAACGCACAGGAATAGCTTGTTTATAAGCTAAATTTCAGTTTGGTATTCGATTCGATGTATAAGAGTATTTTAATTCTAACATACTTGGACAATTGATTTTGAATTCATTAATCGATTAATAATTTATTCTCATAGTGATTAGTTCACGTGAATTTTCATAGAATGATGTCATATTATGAAAGAGAGAGTGGATAATTGAAGATTCGTGTAATCCAACACTTTTTCCGTTAGCCAACATTGTTATTCAAGCATGTATCATATTATATACCAACTGAATAAAGTGCATCGACGTTATGCATTTATATTAAAAGATAAGATAATTAGGATAATCCTCGTCATGTCTCATTATTTTCCTCATTCTTTCTAATGATTGACAGCTTTATGTTAGTGTTGGTTGACAGGAAATTAGTCACTGATATACATATATACCAAATTCTTTGATGATTTACGTTGCACAGTCAAAAATAACGTCTGAATGTCGAACAAAGACGAAGTGTCAACAAAAATTTTGTAATCATAAAATCCCTTATCAATTATTTTCTTAATTTTCAACACAATAATATGTAATAAATTTCACTTGGTTGAAATATCAATAACACAATATTGACAATAAAATAATTTTAAATGTATAAAAATTTTTTAACTCACACAAAATAAAAAATTGAAGATAAAAAGTAACCATCTAATACATCCCATAGCACACGACATGATGGCAAATGTCTTTTATTTCACTAGAAGAGTAATGAAAGAACAAATGAAAAAATATCTTCAAATTGAGATAAAAACTTTAATGCAGAAAATTGTGAATGTTGCGCATGAAGTTTAAACGACAAGTTGAGTTTTATACTGACGCTGGTGTACTAATTCATTGCATCGGTCGCTGTTGAGCACGATCTTTTTCCTAGTGTGATACACCACTCTTCTCCACCAAAATCTTACGTCATCACGAAGCACGCATGGCCTTGAGTTGCTTGGCGCGATCACTATATGTTCTATATTCTCTTAACAATGTAATGTGTTCTCTCTCTACACACACACACAAAATATTCTGATCCTTCTCAGCTTCCCTTAGATTTATTACCTCTTTCCTGTTCTTTTCTAGTTTTTTGTTCTAGGTCATCTTCTGCTTCGCTTCTCGTCCTGGTTAATTCCAAGTACTAAACTATCTATATATGTAAGGGATCCTACTTGCACAACAGAAAATCTAAAGACGACTTTTTTTCTGACTAGAGAATATCCATCTACTGATGTAATACAAAAATGGGCTTGGTCATTTCTTTTAACCGTTAAATTTACTGATTTTTCAGGTTAATGTGATTATGCGTCATTTCAAAGAAATGTTGTCTGCTCGAAACGATTCATATAAAAGTATTTTTTAATGTTAAATATAATTTTATTATTTTTCTTTGCTTCAATTACTTAAGAATAAAGTATTCCGAGACGTAAATATTTGGTAAAAATGATGAAAGATAACTATACACAGAGATACAAATACTCACTGTAAAAATAAAATTGAAGATAAAGAGTAAATACTTGATGGTACACTCTCCACAATTCATCTTGTTATAATTTTTTTTAAATATTATTTTTTACAAATAATATAAAACTCAATAACGCACACTAATTCTGTAATTATTTATTTAAAGAGAATTTCAATTCAATAAAGAATCACCGTACTTGTAACCTGAACGATGAAAAAGATTCAACTGGTGCTACGACCCTTCTAACCAACGTCAACACCTACTTCCCCACCCCAGGTGTACCTGTTTCCCTTCATTTTATCGTTTAAAACCACCATTTTACTCACAGATAAAACAGTCGTTACCCTGACTCCCATTTTTTAGCCAATAACTAGATAGGATTTTATACTTCAAGTGTTTTTCAACGAAAATTACGATAGGATCATTCCAGATTATTGTGATGATGAATCATTCTTCGCACGGAATGATAATGAAATCACACAAGTTAAATGACATGAGTTGATTCAACACTTCAAAGACGTCATCATTGTTATTTACTGTACGTAACTTTTATATTTAATTCAATAAAGTCATTATACAAAATAACATATGAAAACTAAATTACGTAGTATGCAAATTAATTACATCCAATGGGAGGAGCTGAAGGTTTTTGTAAAGTGTACTGCACGATTCTTGTTGCATTTCCTTTTTTTAATAGTCGTCCACAAATTAATATGCTCGATGTAATGAAAATCTAAAATTAGAATCAATTATTTAATGAAAATAATTTAATCCAGAGATTATAAAATAATTTAGCATATGTTTAAAATTGATAGTTCAATATCTGGTTACATTTTATAGATTAAAATTTATGATATCAAGTTTTGTTTATCATATAGGATGATTTATTTGTTGTTCTAATTACTACTCGTAGAATATTATTTAATGAAATATACTATAAAAAAATGTATTATAACATGAATAATTAATATACTTAAACCTGAAAAATTATTGAACAAAGAGCCAGTAAAAAAATATGATGAAGTATGGATCTTTCAGTATTGAGAGCTAAATGCTGGCATTCTTGTCCATAAAAATTTTTACACATTATTTTGGTTGTATTGTCTAATCTTTCGAAATTACAACAAAGCCAAGACGTCAACTCCTCGAACTCAGGAATAGTTTCATTGTATCCACAGCAAGTAAGCTACAATAAAAACAAAACGATGAATTAAATCGCTCAATAATTTAACAAACTTTTTTAATTGTTCACAGTGACGATAATTTATTGTCTTATTTATAAACTACGTCAATTGTAGATACTACCATAAGTTATTTGATCTGATTCGAAAAATATATAATTATAGTGTAGTAAATATAACATGCGTTTAGCCTTCGAGGGTGAAGGAGTTTCTTGAAATTTTTAATCAGTAAAAATTAAATTTGTAACATTGATAAAAAAAATTTAAAATATTTCTCAGTAAAATTGCCACCTTTATCTGAGCGAAGTTAGATAATGTACTTCCATCCTTTATTCTTTGTACTGCTAAAGTCTTTTTTAAGCTTTGAGATAACATTTTATCCATTTGTTCGTGTATAACAAGTACCCACACAGCAGAACAAATTTTTACGATTGCTATGATAATGAATAGAACTGAAAACTAGAGTTGTAGAAAAAAAAACATTAAACGTATGTAATTAAAAATTGTTTCGTATAAAACAAAAGTACTTCGATAACCTCAAGTAATAAAAGTCATTTACCATTATAAGTTTTCGTCGATTAAACTTGTAATCGATTATGTACCAAAAATAAATTGAAAAAACAAAAACAAGTATTCCCATAACCAAAAGTATTGCTGGTGGACCATCAAGATAATTGAATGGAGTTTTTGGATAGTCATTTCCATGAAATTGATAAATAAAAAATCCACTCACAGCACAAACAACAAGTCCAGAAATCTATAAAATCATTCAAAATAAGTATAACAGAATCATAACAACTTTAAAAGTAGAATTAGAGTAATTATTTTAATTGTATTTTATATAAAAATTAACAGTAACTTACTCCAAGAAAAATAAAACAAGTTAAGAGAATATAGCGTAAGCAAAAATAGCTGAGAGTCATCGTAATTTATAAATATACACAGATTTTACTGGATAGTGCAACACGAAAGAAAGCTCTAAAAACTTTTATTTCATTTTATTAGATCAATTGTATTGTTTGATTTTAAAAAAATTGCATTTCGATAAAATAATTACACTATCTAACTGAACCAACTAAACAAGTTAATAAGTGTATGTCTAACTGCATGATCACATACTCGCTCGATTGATGAATTTACTAAAAGAAAACTGAGATCTCGGTGGTGTTAGATTTCGAAGAAACCAGTATATAGATTTCAAAAATCTTCAACCTTTTATTAGAATATTGAACTACAATAAAGTTTCATTAAATAATATATTTAATTTATTTAGTTATAATAAATATTTGAAGATAAGAAAAAATGTTTACAAAAATGTTTTTTATAAAATTGTTTTTTACGATTAACTATTTTAAATTTAAATATCCCGCGTTGATGCACTTTTTTCAGGGCGCTAATCAAAATCGCTTATCAAAAAACGAAATTTGTAAAACTATTATGATAATAAATAATTTATTTACAGTATACGATTAAAGTTGTTTATTTCACAAATACAAAGTTTTATTAAAGTATATAATATAATATAAAAATATAGAATTCACAATATATAATACAAAAAATCTAAAATGCTTACAATTAAAATCGTATATTTGTAACAAAGACTATTAAATGCTTTATATAAATTAGTTTGTAATCATTCATAACTTGGAAGATATTTTGTCGAAAATTGAAAAAGTATATTTCATCGTACTAAATTAAAATCATTTATATGATCACTGAAAATAGTGTTCAATTTACAGTTTTGTAAATGCAAAGTACCAAGATTCACAAATATTGTAACGTATCAAAATTGTGCGCTTCAAGAAAATGTTCATTTCGTAAAACAGAAACAACGTATTGATTATAATTATAATAAAAGTCAAATTTTAATTTACTTTACTTAAAATATTTACGTAAGATATTTAGAAAAAATTGATAATTCGATGAATTCAAGCTTTAAAAGTTCGGCGATGAACATTACGTATAGAGTTTACCATACAAAGAGCAAGAATTATACCAATGATTTCAACACCAGCAATTCCAAGAACAATATAACCAAGTGTCTCTCCTCCACGTTTAAAGAATCTAAAAAGTAATTCCGAGCATCCTACTGGAAAAGTCCAGCCTTTCTCACAACTTGTATTGTTGAACTCACTTCTTAAATCACAACAAGATATTGGATAAGTGGCATTTGTACCAAAATAAGTTGTATAGTCATCTGGACGTTTGATACCACAGCAAAAGAACTGTCAAAAAAAATTTATAAGTAACTATTTTTACATTTTTTATCTCAAATTTTTTTGAATTTAATGACAAAAAAACATACTGCAATTTGAACTCCATCTATTATTCCATGGCTAATATTTGATGTCCAATATTGTTCAAATTCTTTTTCATAAATTTCATCAAAGGTTTCCTTTTCAAATCCATTAGTTATTACAAAAGCAGCAATTGCCAGGATAAGTTGAGTTAATAAGAGAGAAAGAAGAAATCCAGCAAACTAAATAAGAAATCAAAAATAAGATTAAAAAGTTTCTTATTTTTTTTTCAAAGCAATACTCACAGTTAGGGTCATACAGGAGTTGCCTTTGATGGCACCACAGCATCCAAAGAAAGATATCACAAACACAACGACCCCGACGATTATAATGCCAATTAAGAGAGCTGATGCTTCTGATTGTAACATTTTAGGTGATTCTTGGATATATTGATAAAAGTATATAGCAGGAATAATGATTCCTAAACCACATAGCTAAAATTAAAATTCAGATGATTAATAAGTCATAGTAAATAAAATGTCTTCATTGTGCATCTGTGAATTTTAAAACAACTTTTTTAAATAAAAATATTTTATTAAAAAATAAACTTACCGTAAAAATAAAATTGAAGACAGAAAGTATCCATCTAATGAAATCAGTGGTGCACGACATGATCGTGAATTATTCTTTTTTTTATAAGAAAACTGACAAATTCTGCGTATTACACGGATAGTTTGTTATTAGGTTATTGCGTTTTCTCTGTCTGCTTTATCAGTCTTGATCTCTTTACCCACAGAACTTGAGATTTAATAGTGTATACTATTACAATGAGAAAAGAGGCGCTGAAATAAATTATAAAATGTTAGAATTCTTCACTACGAACTCGATACATAGGTACAGATGTACACCGTATCAATTATATATTTTTTGGTATGTACCACTTCAATTAGTTCGACAATACTCATGTTATGCTTATCATGATTTTAAGGATATATAGCACTTTTATAAATTCCATTTTTAAAGCTTGAATTTAAAATATATAATAAAGCAAACAATACTGTATTGATTTCCATTACAAAAATATACTGTTTCTAATATATTTTATGAAATAATTGAACTTATAGTCTCATTGAACTACGTGTTATTTGTACCGAAAATATGTGAAACTGGAAGCAAATTACAAAATTTGCTATATTTCATCCATTTCTATGGAAAAAAACATTCTTCTATAAAAAATCATTGTTATTTCGAAATTCATTTTAATTTATCTCATTATTTTTGGAAATTTTTCTAACAAGTGCTTTTAGAAAAAATACCGGTTAGGTTAGCTACTTTACTATGAATGAAATCAGCTAATAAATATATATATAACTCCTTATTGGCTGTTGAGTGCGATGCTGACAGTAGTTATATACAAACTTTTATTTATAATAAATAAGTACAATTTAAATTATTACTCATTAATTGTTAGTTAAAATTTAAAAAAAGAATTTTGGAATGCATAGTTTTATAAAAAAAAACTAATTTAAAAATTTTTTAGACGTACTGCGGGATTTGACTAGACATACATCCTTAAAACGCCATTTAGTGATAAGTGAAATACTTTGTATTTTCCTATTAAGTACGCAATAAAAAATTTCAAAAATTGAAAATACAAAAAGGTAGATAATTTCCAATGTGTTATTTTCTATCAAAATATCTTATATGATTGCACAAAATTATTATAAAATACAGAGGTAATAAATAAATAAATTTAACCTATTCACATTACTTGCTTATTAAAAAAACACTGTTTTCAGAAACAATATAGTTTTTGTCTTAACTGTTTATATGTATTAAAAAAAAATGAGCGATAACTCTAATGAAAATCCATTTCTCGGATTATTTTCAACATCTGATGAAGTTGACCACATTTCAATTGAAATTCCTAAAACATTAGTGATTGATAAACTAATTACAGATAATAAAAAAATTGTTCAAAATGAATTCAAGCATATACTTAATGATACTAATGAAAATAAAGAAGATAAGGTAATGGATAAAATAATTGAGGATGTATTTGGGTTAGTGTTAAGCTCAAAAACTCCAATATCGTCACAGCCGTTGATCTCAGTTGAAAGTCATTCTATTGAAGATGCGATTTTTGAACGACTCACTTTACCAGATATAAAAACAAAGCTTGTAACACCTTTAAATTCACCAAGTACAGATTGTGATCCTCATTTTTTTCAAGATAAAGCTATTTTTTATTTGTTTGAATGTTTTCTTAGACTTGATAAATATCCAAATGATGACGAATTACGTGATACTATCAATCGTTTAAAACAAGTTACCATAAAATTAACAGTAACAATACTTGCACTCGACCTTTCAGATCAGAAAGTAAGTTATTATGAATTAGTTGTAATCAATATTAATTTAAATATCTATATAGAATAGTTTTTTTTCTAGATTTATGAACAATTTATGGAACTTTTTGCAAATGAACAGAATATAGCACAATTATTACAATTCAGCGGAGAATTAATTAAATCAATCATAAAAGAATATCCAGAGGATGCTAATAAATATATTGAATTCGTTTTTTTACCAGTACTAATGAATCTGAATGTGCAAATCTTGAACAACGATTCATTAATTTTTCCTCAGCGATACTATGATATTTTACTATTTATAGTAAATATTGAACCACTTGCTAAATTATTACTTCGTGATTGTACTCCAGTTCATAAACAAGGATCTGCATACGCAACTACTATTTTAGGTATTATGTTATCAACGAGTTGTTTGCCTCGTATATTAGGAGAACCATTTCCATTTTTCAATAAGCCATTTGGCATTGATTTTTCAACTGAGCAAGAAAACATCTGGAAAGCATGGAATATTCACATTCGTTTTTTGCATAAACTTTTCCACTCTTTATTGAAATGTTCACCAGAAGTTCGGCATATGACTTTAGACTGGTTAGGAAAATGTTTACATGCTAATGCTTCTCGTGGAAAATTATGGAGTTCTGAATCAACTTTAGGTATGTCATCAGTAGTTTCTGATGGTTTTATGTTAAATCTTGGAAATGTACTTTTACGTTTATGCAAACCTTTTTGTACAAATTTTGATGAAAAAATTCCAAAAATTGATCCTACTTATTGTGCTGCTGAACCGAAAGATGAAGAAGAAAGTCACAAAAGAGGTATTCATATGCAAGAAATGAGTAAAGTAACTTGTTTAGTACCAGTGCCCGAAGGAGAATCTAGACCAGTTGCTAAGGAATTTGGATTTGTAACTGAAATTTTTTATTTAACACACCGGGCTCTCGATTTAGGTTATCGTGTTGTTCTTGACAAATTCCTGAAGTTGACACATGAATTAGACAGAATACGACAAGATCATGAATTCGCGGAATCTCAGGCTAATTTGCAAATATTTGAACTAATGGAAATGCGAAGAAAAGTAATAAGCACAAAATATTTTTCGTATAGAACAAGTGTACTTGAGCCTAAAATGCTTAATCTTCTTTGTAATTTTCATGCAGCAACAGCTTTTTGGTTGATACAAGTCAATGTCAATAAATGCAACTGTGAAGATTATAATAAAGAAACTTTTTATCCTGAAGAAGTGAAAACTATCACATTTCCACTTCCAGAAGATGTTCCTCATACTTTACGATGTATACCAGAATTTGTAGTAGGAAATACAATAGATTTCATATGTTTTTTGCGACGACTCGATCCAAATACATTTGAAATACAAAATTCAAATTTTTTCAACTCTTTATTAACGGAAATAATCGCTTTGATGGAATCACCGAAGAGATTATTTAATCCTCATCTTCGAGCTCATTTAGCTGAGGAGCTTGAGTCATTTTTACCTGATACTGAAGAGACTAATAATCGTAATCAAGCAACACTCGGAACATTCCGTAGAGAACAATTGTTTCTTACTCATCCTCATCGTCAATTTATTATACCAAATTTATTACAAGTATTTGTAAGTTTAGAAATGACTGGTCAAAATGTACAATTTGAACAAAAATTTAATTATCGTTTGCCTATGTATGAAGTAATGAAATATTTATGGAAAATTGATGAGTATAGAAAAATTTTTCAATGTCTTGCTCAAGAAGCTGAAGAAAATATAGAAGCTGTTCAGCCTCCTATTTTTTTACGATTTATCAATCTTCTTATGAATGATGCAATTTTCTTGCTTGACGAAGCACTCTCTAACATGGCGCAATTAAAACAAATGCTACAGGCACTCGATAACCGAGAATGGAATAGATCACCAGCTAGAGAATCTGAACAACAAATGGCTCAACTTCTACATATTGGTATGATTGCTAGATTTGACAACATTCTTGGACGCGAGACAATATCAGCTTTAAAAATGTTGACTTCGGAAATTAAATCCATCTTCTGTCATTCAACAATGGTTGATCGTATTGCTTCAATGCTTAATTATCTATTATTACAATTGGTAGGACCTAATCAACGTAATCTCAAAGTAAAAGATCAGAAAAAATATGAATTTAATCCAGCGCAATTAGTTCTGAACATTTGTGAAATATATATCAACCTCGGTCGGAATAAAAATTTTATTCTTGCTGTATCACAAGATGGAAGATCTTATAAACCTAATCTTTTTCAACTGGCTAACAATGTTCTCGTACGTATTGGGGGTATTGATATTTTAGAAGATCTTGAAAATCTAGCTAAAGAAGTTGCTAAAGCAGCAAGTATAAAGAAAGAAGAGGATGAAATTCTTTCAAATGTTCCTGATGAATTTTTAGATCCTATTATGTCAACTCTCATGACCGATCCGGTTATTTTACCTGCTTCGAAAGTAATAGTAGATCGTCAAACAATAGCCAGGTAAATAAATAATATATTGATTAATATAATTTTTTTATTTTAATTAATTTAAAAAATATCAATTATCAATATTTTTTTATAGACATTTGCTAAGTGATCAAACGGATCCATTTAATAGATCTCCATTGACTATGGACATGATAAAATCAGATGAAGATCTTCGGAAAAGGATAAAGGAATGGATATCATCAAAAACAGAGTCTCAAGCAGCTATAATTGAAAAATAAGAAGTCGAATGTAAGTAAATTTGTTCCTAAATTTTATTAATTTTTTTAAACTTATATTTTCGAATTTATTCAAGAGAAATTATGAAGATTCATATGTATATATATATATATCCTTAAACTTTATTGATGACATCGAGATGAAATGTTATCTACTTTACTTAATTGTTTACTTGTTACTGATCTTGAATTTATTCTTATTAGTTTTACAAAATTTTTTATATGATACTTTGATCCATTTCGCTAAGTAAAAAATAAGTTTAAAATAGTCACTAAACATAATATCATTTCTAATTAATGATTCTCTTACTAGTTTAAAGCATCTTGAAGTTCCTGGAAGTTTTTTACAAACCAGAGAGATCCATTTTTCACACTTTCTCTAACGACGTTTCCACCAAATCCTGTTTGTTAGATAACTAGGTTATATATAATTGATGATTTAACTAGCAAATTAATAGCTAAAACTAGTTTACCAATGAACGCGTCAGCTGGTGGACTAGCTTCAAGATCTGTCGCTCCATCTCCCACGTGAACGATTGTTTTAAAATCAAATTTTTCCTTTAACCTTCTGATTACTTCAGCTTTGCCTCCACTTCTTGATGTTGGCTCGTTCTCATCAAACCCAGCAAAGTCACCTATTTTTAATTTGAATTAACCAATTTTTCATTCCAGATCTAATTAAACTTGAAGATTTACCATTAAAATAGAATTTCAATCGATTTGCACAAATATTATCCTGAGCAATGTTTAATTGTCCAGCAACTGGAGATATCAAACAACGAAATCCACCAGATACAAGAAAAACTTTTTTATTTCTTTCATGTAACTCATCAACCAATTCTCTGAAAAAAGATTATTGACTATTAAAATTGAACTGTGTGCTGTAATTAATTGTAATTAATTGTAATCATTATGTACAGCATTACTTTATTCCTGGTGTAAGTCTTGGTGGATGTGTTTGAATAAATTCTTTAATTTGTTGTAGACTTGGTTGAATAATATTAAGCCTGACTGTTAATGATTGTTGGAAAGTCATGTTACCCTGCATCGCTTTCCTTGTTCTGAAAAAAAACGTAAATTAAGTTTATCGTTAAAATTATTCAAGAGGAAAATGATATGATATCTTTAATTATTATTGAAATATATATCCTTTCCTCTTAAATAATTAAAAAATTCCAATGTTACCAAATTATCATAGCTGATTACAAGATTATTTAGATTATATTGATGACACGATAAAATTAAAATATTGAGTCAAGGTGTTTTCAAGTACATTGTAATTGAATGTATAATAAATTAATTAAATGTATGAAATACATATAAATAATTTACATAATGTGAGTGTGTCAAATAAACAATGTGTCAAATAATGACTGTTAAATTATATAAATAATTGATCTTATGAAAAAATGTAAATGAAATGATTTAATAAATTTTAAGGATTAAAAAATAATTTTTTTCTTTAAATAAATTTTAAACAATTATGGTGTATTTCTTTTTACTCACAGATCCATAACTTGATCTCCTTTACCACAGAACTTTGCAAGTTCATCGATACCTTCATCACGAATAACAGTTGAGTCAACATCAAAAGAAACAGCATCGGCATTTTTCCATGCCTTTATCACATCCTGGAGACTCATTTTTGTATTCGGTTGATTTAATAATGATTCTGACAGTGTTGATATGAGAGAATTATCGTTTTTCAACTGACGAGTAAAATGTATTAAGACATTCGAAGTAATAATCTTGTACACTCTTTGGATCCACGTTATGTGGAAGGGGCACATGGTAGTTACTCCCACTCTAGTATGAAACTCTTCAACTCTCTCATTCCGTCGTATCTAGCTTAACTCCAAAAGCCAACATGATTCTTTTTCAAGTGTCTGTTCCAATCAGCTTAGAAAAGGAAATAGCCAGCAATCACTCAGTGGTAATCGGTCACTATTCCACTCTTTACGTCTCTACTCATGTGCTCTTGCAAAATACAATATTTGTCATACAAAAATCTTACTGGTAGTGAGTTATGTATTTTATTAATAATATCGATATTTCGTTATCTAACATTATAATTTGGGTATGAAAAGCATGAATTTAGGCTTATCAAAAAACTTGAATGTGATAACGAAATATTTGTCTTATCACTTTTTTGCTCTCTGGGGGGTAATAAGATTATGTATCTTAACGGATTTACTTAAGGATCAAATGTCGAAGATATAACCTTTACGGAAAAATACTTAATCAGAAAATAGATAAGATCATGACTATTTTTTGTGGTCAAAATAATTTTAAATTTTGCGGTTTAAATTTACGCGCTTTTCGCTTTATCATCATCATGTGATTATTCTTCAACACTATTGGTTATTCGTTTTATATATTAACCAATCACAATAATATTTATTATATGGTACATCTCACATGTGGTCAACATTTGTTCGGAAAAAACATTATTAAAAATTGTATAAACATTGAAATTTTATCTATCAAGATAATTAAAAATAACACTGGACAATAAATTAATATGACTATTAAATGTTCAACTGAGTGTGGAAATAATGCAATTCTTAAAGTAAGTAATTATAATAGAATATAGTTTATAATTTATTCAACTTAATAATTACAATGATTCTAACCTATAAATTGAATTGTCAGAGACCAAAAACAGGTGATGCCCTGTGCAAAGAATGTTTTTTTCATGCATTCGAAACAGAAATTCATTACACAATAGTAAATGGTAAATTATTTAAACCTGGATATAAAATAGCAATCGGAGCATCTGGTGGAAAAGACTCCACAGTTTTAGCTTATGTATTAAAAACACTGAATGAGAGATATAATTATGGACTTGATTTATTTCTTCTTTCAATTGATGAAGGGATTACTGGTAATAGTGACATTCTCTTATTAAACATTGTTACTACCGTATTAAGATCATTCAAATTAAATTTAAATCTATTTCTAATATTTATAGGGTACAGAGATGACAGCTTAAAAACTGTACAACAAAATCGAGATGATTATGAGATGCCTTTGAAAATTCTTTCTTATAAAGATTTGTATGGATGGACTATGGATGAGATTGTTAAACAAATCGGCCGTAAAAATAATTGTACATTTTGTGGAGTATTTCGACGACAGGCTTTAGATAGAGGAGCAGCTCTTCTTGGTGTTGATTGCATCGCTACAGGTCATAACGCTGATGATATTGCAGAGACGGTGTTGATGAATATTCTTCGAGGAGATATAGCAAGGTTACAGAGATGTACATCTATCATTACGGTAAGATAAGCTAGAAATTAATTAATTACTATTTTAATTAAATTTAAGATTAATTGCATTTTTTGTTCATTAGTCAGGGCAAGACACGATAATGCGATGCAAACCACTCAAGTACACATATGAAAAAGAGATAGTGATGTATGCTTATTTCAAAAAATTGGTTTATTTTTCAACGGAGTGTATTTTTGCACCCAATGCTTACCGAGGGCATGCGAGGACATTTTTAAAGGATCTTGAGAAGGTACGACCGTCTTCTGTCATTGACATTATCCACTCAGGTGAAAGATTTCAAGTTAAAGAATCAGTTAAGACACCGACGAGAAGAAATTGCAGTCGATGTGGTTTTGTTTCAAGTCAAGAAGTTTGTAAAGCTTGTGTTTTGCTTGAAGGTCTTAATCGTGGTTTACCCAAGTTAGGAATTGGTAAATCGCAAAAAGCATTGCAACTAGTTACTTCGGAATATCTCCCAGAAAAGTCTAAATTAGTAGAAATTTAGTATTAATTAAAATAATATTTAAATAATATATATTTTTATTTTGTATAAATATAATATATTTTTATGTCAAAGCCATCTAATGTTCATGATGCAATTGCAACAACTCACTTTTTAAATTTATTAAATTATATAAGCAGGAGCTTTTTGTTCGATAATACCACGACAACCTGGGCAATATTGTCCAATATTGTCAGCGCAGTCTTCACAAAGACAGACATGTCCACATGGAAGAAGAATAATTTCTCGTGGGTTTACTTTGCACACTACACATAATTGATCATCCCGAAGTTCATTATCTCTCACTCTTTGTCTTCGTTCTCTCCTCGATCCTTCTTGGCTTTGTCTAATTTCTTGCATTAATTTTTCTTCTTCTCGGTCTTTCCAATAACGTCGAGTAACAAGTCCGCCTATAGCTAAACCAATGATACCGAATACTATGCATAACCATTTATACATCCTTTGTTTTTCATCTAATTTTCTTAACAATGTACTAACAGACATTGTAGTAAGATAAAATGGAGCTCCATTCATTGGTGATTGAAGGGTAAGATAATTTGATTTATCAGTAGATTGTGATAATTGTCCAATTCCTGTTAATTTTACACCTTCTCGTAGCATTTCCTCAGTAGATTGTAAACCTCTCTGTCGAATGCCTTAAAAAAATTGATAAGATTATTGTCAGATTTCTTTAATTAGTTTTCGTGAAATTTTTATTATTTTTATACCTGTGAAAAAGCCCCATATATGATCAGCAATAGACGGAGCACTAGGCTTGAACTCATCGGATATAATATCCATGTCAAGTATTTCTGCAGACAATGCATCAATTACTTCCACCTTGTGAGGTCCATTTTGCAAGGCAAAAGGCACTGTATTGTAAACTTCATGTATCGTCCTCTCTTGATCTGACCTAGATATTAAAATCTATAAATACATGATAAAATATTTCTTTATTAGATACTTATTTTTAACTTCATCAATACTTTACCAAAATCCAGCAGTTGTTCTGGCTACCACATGTTCTCTGACAGTCAAACGTTGAATGACACCAGTAATTGAAGAATTATTTACACCACAAAGTGGTTTACCAAGAGATTTAACAGTTCCTTTGATAGCTACATAGTTTATTATACCATTAGGACTAGCTCGAACAATGTCATTTAAGTTAGTACCAACTTCATGAAGTTCTGTGCTCTAAAATGTTTCCTGATATTTAATAAGATTCTAGGATAGTTTATCATAAATACTCTCACCTTAACAGCTTTTATTGCATACTGACAATGGAAATATTGTTTTAAACAGATTCCTAAAATAATACTATCAATACCAAGAGCTAAAATTTCACCTAAATACTCCATTTTTAGGTTAGAATTAATAATTTAGGTTATGTTGTGGTTGTTTAAATTGAATGTTTTACGTAAAATTTTGAATGGCATCGATTTGATATATTGTCCATTTTATTGTAAGTTAATCGTAAACATTTGCGTAAAAATAAAAATATTAATAATTGTTTTATATGTTCATTTTGGAATTTTTCTGTGTGTATAAAACTTTGTTATATACTGTGTACTTTGTTCACTATCACCATTACAAATTTTTCACCTAATTATACATATATACATATATGCCTATATGTATATATATTTTATATACATATATGTTATCTCGTTTATCAAATTAATCACATTATAATGTTTTTTAGTAATTGAGGAATAAGGAAATCATTAAAAAGGAGTAAAAACAATTTGACGTTTTTTTAAAAATAAATTATTTAAAGAATCATTCTCTTTTCATTGGCTTTATTTATAAAAAGTATAAAAAATAAATAGATAATAATTATATGAACAATTAATTGACATTTTTTAAAAGTACATTCTCTCAAAACATATGCAATTGGTAATATCACATCATTCATGCCTCTTAATTCCATTTAAAATATTACTATTCAATTGGTTTCTTATGTATATATTTTTTAGCAGTTTCCATGGCAGTCAAGTAATCTTTATAATTGGGCACAATTGAAGATGTTTGTAAAGCCCAGATTGAGGCCAAATGAGGGGTCGTACATCTTTGGTTTTTTTACTACACTCTCATGACTTGGCTTAGAAGAACGATTTTTGACAGTGCAATACTTTTGTTGTTGTTATCTTATCACTTTACATATAAGTACAGTTATTATTTTATCTACATTGTTCATTAACATAACAAGTTGGTTTAACAATTCTGTTACTCAATTGACGATGGAGAGTGCGTTACAGTCATATAAAAACACTATCAGACGAATCGTATATATAGATATATATATTTATTTGATAGAAAAGCCAGAAGTCATTGTTGATTGACCAAAACGGAATAATTGTATCACGTACGAAGCGTGACAGCTTTCCAAATAGCCCTGACAATCAAAGCTTCATGGTCTTTAGAGGTTCATCCATTTTGACTTGGTCCAAGCACCGTTTTAGAGTATCTTACGCTAGTGTTGGTTGTGCTGTACCTTGAAGTGGAACTGAGATAACATAAATATTCATCTTTTCACCAGACGTCTTGTCTATTAGGTCACCGTAGTTAACAGAGTCATAGGGAGGTGGTGCAAATAAATGGTAAGGTGGTGGTGGTGTCTCCGTGACTCCACGACTAGAATTAACTGTTTCACCATGACGTTGTGTTCCGTAGGGAGTGTTTAAAGGTCGAGCACTGCGACGACAACACCATTCGGAACAACTAACAATGAGGAAGAAGGCTACTAAACCACCAAACGATCCAATATACCAAACTATCGACCATGGGTCTAGTGGACTATGTTTTTCTATGTCTTCTGAAACAAACATTAAAATTTATTATTAATATTGCTGATTACTTGAACAAAGGTATACATTCATTGCGTAGTTTTTCTGTCTTTTTGCGTAGATATAAAAAAAAAGCCCTGACCTCGGATCATGTGTAAGAAAAGCAACTGATTGGATAGAAAAACACTTGAAAAAGAAGTAGGAACAGGTTTTTGTGTGATAAAAAAAAATACTGATAGTAGAGAAGAGGTAGTAATGGTATTTATTCAAAAATAATACGTGTGTAGAAAATTTATTTGCTTTCTGGTTGGTGAGCAAAGTTTAAAAATAGTCGAAATGGCTGGTCTCGGCCAATTATATACTTCAAACCAGTTTTTGCAATCGGGACCTGGTGGATATACAAGCCGGTCACGTTGAACAACTATCCAAGATCTGAACGACAGCGTTCTGATTTGATCTTGTTTTGTATCATTTTTTCAGGGTATTTAATTTTAAATATAAATATCATGATGAAATCTATCATCAAAGCAGTCATTTACTCATATTGTATTCTGCAATTAAGGAAAAAAGATGATTTGATCATAGTTACTTACCTAAATCGTTATCATCGTCTTTACTTCCATTGTTATTGCCTACGTCTAATTCTTCAAGTGCTGACTCAAACTCTACGCCAACTTTACGTGGTTCTTTTTCAACAAGATCATCTCTTTTGTTTGCTACTTTACTTTCTGAAATGATAATAAAAAATTAAATTAAACTGTGACAAAAAGAAGAAATTTTCGTTTATATTCTCGATTGTTCGATCATGTAATATAATTTATTATTCCTTAGTCATGTTTTTTGATCAATTTATCACTTAGATTATGTTTAATGTAAACAGTAATTTCCAACAAATTCGTAGAATAATATGACAATAATTGATTATTTATTTTTTCTTTAAATTTTTTCATGAATCATTGATGGACATCAAGTTTCGTAGAATGTTAGACTAAGTCACGTAGTTTTATTTTAATTGACGTTTTATGTGATTTTAGAAAGCTTATTCGTCATGCTCAATGAGATATTGATTATAAAATATAATTACATGATAACTTAATCCATAGGATCAAGTAGAGTTAAAAATAAAATTATTTTAAAAATTGGCGTTAATAATACAAAAATATATATTAAGAAATTGTTAATTATCGATCTTGACCTGTTTTAGGGAGAAAGAACGAGAAATACCTACTTAGTCTGTATTACGTAATCGTGTTCTCTACCGATTACCTTACTAAGCACTACATGGCACGTGTGTAGTAGCTACAAGTCACGTAGTCAAGTTAGCGCAATCGAATCGACGACAATGAAGGGAAAAAGAAAAGATAACGGATGTGCTAATATTTCAGCTAATCTTTTTCATATTTACATTTTCACCATATTTTAAGTAATAATTCTCATTGTTCATTACAAAAATATTTTTCATATTTTCTTATTTACTAATATCGGTTTTAATAAAATATTTTTCAACTCCAAAATAGAATCATAATTTAATTTTTTTATTTTTAGTTTTGAAATTGTCTTTTCCAACGCTGGAATAAAATAGTGTAAGAAATAAATAATATTTGTTTTTAAAAAAGAATAACTAATTAGATGGAAGAAAATATTTTTTTATTAATTACAAGGATCTCAAGAAGAAGATACAACGATTTTGCGACGCAAAAAAATCTGACGCGACATGATGATTGCTGCAGAGACTACTAATGTTCATTTATGTTAATAATTTGGATATCACACCAAGTGAGAATCGACTAGTGGGAATGATGATGACGAAAGTGTCAAGGCAAATGTAACTATCCTTCTACTTATACATAAGTATATGAATCACACACTTACGATCATTTATATAAATTTTATGGATTTTTCATCAGATGATGTAAAATTGATGATGAAACTGTCCAGAATTTTAGTCTCACCAATTTTGCAAATACATTCAATCGGGTGAACAGCTTATTGGATTTATTTGATCTACCTGATTCATCATATGAGAAGGTTAAATGTAATGAGCATAAAACATAGGAAATTTGGTTGACATAAGAAGAGAAAATTACACACACCTACGAAAATGATATAAAACTTATTTGATGTTAAAAGTATAAAGTATTTTTTTGATTATTTGTAGAATATAAATTGATGAAAAATATAAAATAATAAGTAAAATATTATTTAATAACTTCTCAAAGTTCATAAATGAGTGATGAAATGATCTAAGAATTACTGTGGACTTCCTCGTATGTGCTCATTTTATTATTCATTGTACTTCGTATTTTCATTGCCAATTAATAGACCTACTTACATATATTCTTGTAAGAATCATAGACATTGTTTACATCAGCAAACTGACCTAGCAATTTTCTCTATATGGTATTGTTTCCAATATTGTTACAATATATTCTTAATAATATTGTATTGTTCTAGGCAAGATGCCAAAGTGAATATACCTTCTTTTTACTTGTTTTTTTTTTCATCAACTAAATACTTCTACTAAATGAAACATATTTTTCTTAATTTATTTTATACATTATGAATTAAATATTAAATAGAAATTAATTGAGAACATAAATTAAGTTAATTTTAAAAAAAATTTCTTATAAAATTTCAATTATAGTTTTTTAAACACAAATAAATAATTTTTCCCATAAATAGTTGATTTTTGCTTCCATTTAATACATCGTAGAGATTGAGAATATGTTTTTCGTGATAAGAATAAAGCGTTGACGTGTAGGAATTATTAAATTGATGTATATAATTTTAAATATATTCTGAATGTTGGTTTAAAAAGATATACATTGCTGATAATTCAAGCTATGATTAAATTAAACTTATATATTTTTTCTTAATTGACTGATGTTTTGTTTTAATATACCCGACCAAAAATAAAATACTTCTGTATTAAAGTGATGATTGATTAAAATTATTGGAAAAAGGTAGTTGTTTCGAGTTATGATATAATAAAAATAGTTTTTGTGTGAATTTAACTATACTGACGACTTTTATAATTAGTTATTGTGCACAATCTGTCTTTCAATTAATTTTAATACTATTAGTGAAATTGAAATGATGACATTTAAAAAAAAATTCATCAAATTTAAATGACATAAATTAATTTTAGTAATAAATATATATCTAAATCGATAATAGTTTTGAATTTTGCAAAAAAACACATTTATCTTCAAGAGCATGATTATCAAAAACCCTTCAGTTTTTTCTAGAACTTTTAGAACTTATCAGTTGTTACATCAATACAGTTTAAATAGTTATTTTTATCTATTATTTGATACTAATAAAAGAATCTTTAAAGAACAATTTTAGTTAGTAGAATTATCTATTGTTTCAAAAGAATGTTAAAAAATGGACTCATGATGTTTTATCACGTGTATCAGGAATTTGGAAACACCTAAATTAATATGCCACATCATCAAGGTATTCCACCTAACTATGGAAAGATAATTTTTAATTACACTTATTAAATATTGACAGTAGATTATTTTATTTATTTTTCAAGGTTTCATGATGTTAAAAATACACGGCTATGTGTAAAAATGCGTTGTAATATGAAGAATAAAACAGTCTGTAAATGATGTGCAAAAGGAGCAAGAAGATGAGGAAAAAGAAGAGCTGACGAGTGTCCAAGATAAAGGAGTAAAGAGGTGAAAAAATAAGGGAGCATATTAGAATAAAAAGAAGATTGGTCAAGTACTGCTTGAAAAGTTAGTAGCAAAATCTTTGTGGTCACATACTTGATGGAAACAAGAGAGTGAACATGAAAAAAAAAGGAACAAGAATAAGAATACGGGAATACAAAGAATATATAAGACAACGATCCTTCATGGATTGGTGACCTCTTTCCTTACAGCTGAAGGATGATCTAAAGAGACCAATTAGAAACTGTTGAAGAACATTGTAAACGGATTAAGAAGTACGTCCCATAGGTATTTGTTGATTTTTTTTCTAATCTTTCTGTTGATGCATTGTATTTTTCTTTTTTTTTATATCCCTCTTGATGCAAACTCTGCACAATAACCAACGACCTACATAAAAGAAACGTTGGCTTGTCGCCAAACTTACATATAATACGGCGTCGTTAACGGATACTAGCGGACAATTAAGCGAACCAAATCGATCACAAGAGGAAGGAAGAAGAACGGAGATGCGGCATTTAAGTTCTTCGTAAGGATCTTCATGAGTTCTCAATTTCTTTCTTATTCTTTATGATTCGCTTTTATACATATATATTAAATGAAGAATACGATTGTGGATTTAGAGGTGGTAGTTTCGAGCAAGTGAAGTAAAATGAATTAGAATCGATTTCTTCAAGATTAGTCACGAATTCATTATTCGTTTTTGTTAATTCATTTTTTTATTTCCAGTATTTTTCCTTTTCATCTCTATTTTTCCAATTGTCGAACGTCAAAAAACGCCGTTTTGGCAAGAGAATATCATGTTGGCAAACCACAAGTAATATCTTGGCTGTGTTAATCTTTAAATATGAAAAAAAGTCGAGAAAAATGTGCAAATATAGAGAGAATATTTTTTTTATTTTCATTATTATTTATGTAATTTAGTACATTTTTTTTATTGTCCACCAAGTTTTGTTGTATATATGATTAATGTATTATAATCATCGTCAATCTAAATGGTCTAATCAAAGTGTCGTTAAGCTCATGGAGCTAAAATAGGTAAAAAGAATTGAAAAAACCACATGCGCGTGCGTCATGTCAAATGAGTCGGCGTTGAAAATTACGCGCGAAGCTGTTTAATACTTTGACTGTCCCTCGAACATTATCAAAGCCCTATAAGATATCTGTATATATATATATATGTATATATATTCATATATATAAATTATATGTACAGAATGATGTATGATATCCATTAAAATATTTTATTGATTGAGGACAGTCAAAGATGTTTCAATGCTTCATTCAATCAAATACAACGAATGCTAAATGGATCATATTTATCCTTCAACTATAACTAAACATTTACTTCTTATTATTTTTCAGATTTTTTGGGTTCAAAAATAATCTATAGACAAGGAATTTTTTCAAGTAATCTTATAAGCTACATATCTACCGTCCCGATATGACGTTATCAGGAACACTTGATCACCAAAGAAGGTTAACAGGAATTCCCAATTTAGCTGTGCACAAATGATAAATACATGTACGCCAAAGAAAAACTTGAACAAAGTAAATAATCAGTAGCAAGATAGCTCATTTTTATATCAACTTGTAATAAATTCAAATGGCTTGACAATATGACCGGCGTGAAAACTTATGACGATCTTATATGTTAGGTCTAAGGTCGGCATTTTTATTCAGATAACATTTGAATAATCAATCTACAACTTGCTGATGCTTATATAAAATCAGATGAATATCTTGTTTGATTGAATACTAGATAAACAAGTGGATAAATTTGCCGATTAACTATAAATAAACACGCATCAAAAAGAGAAATGTAAGTGTAATTGTTGTATAGATATCTGATGAAGTTTATTTACATTAAAGATAAACAATTATAAACATTTATTTAAAATTGTATTATTACCTGGCATAGGTGTTGCAGTTGAAGTAATAAGAAGAGTGACAATAACTATAAGACACGATGTAGCCACGAAAATCATCGTAAAGTCTGATGTTTTTGTACTTAGGTTATTTGTATTAATGCAAAATAAAACTTAAAAGTTTAATGACTTGGTGCACTTCACTGTCATCATCTTTTCAAGTAATGTATGAATAAATTTCGGGATAAATCCCGTATTGATATTATGAATCTGTGTGAAAAGTTTTCAAGACACTCATCTTTGAAACAACTTAAGAGTAATCAGTTAAAAAGTAGTCTTGTTATTAAAAATGCTCTGATAATGAGAATGCACTCGTGGTTAAAGAAGCGGCTGACTGAGCCTACTGGCTCTCTCCTTCGCGACTTCTCGGCTAGCCAACGGTGAACTGTTCGTGTCTCTGCCTTGGGCATCGTAATATACATAAAGTCGCGAGATAAGCCACCAGTGCAGCCAGCCAGAGAGGTAGAGCGAGGTAAAATCCTAACCCCACCACTGGGATTCCCTCTCTGCTCTCTGGTCTGGTCTCGATCTCACTCACTCACTCATCGTGCCACAAAAAAAGAAGAGACGTTTCGCACTCCACAGAATATCTGACACTCCTCCAGCACGTCTACGTACTCCCTTCGTCTCTGGGTGACTTCCTGTCACACACAAAGAATGGTTTCGAATCGCGGTATCAATTTTTATAGCCTCTCTTTATGGAAAATATCGAATTTTTGTGAAACTTTTAGGTCAGTGTAACGAACGATTGTTTAGATTTTGATCCAATAAATTTTCATTTTGTTCATCTATTTTTTAGTTAATAGTGTGTATATTATTTTTAAAACGAAACATTTTTCATGGATCATCATATTACGAAATCTAGTTGGCATGATTGATGTCAGGATAAAAAGCAGGAAAATAGAATATAAAGGAATGTGGTTTATGAAAGCCATGTTCAAATATGAGAAAAGCTCGAGAAATCGTGAGCGGCCGCAGGCCAAAGGGGTTGGAGTTTAGATGCGGTTCAACCAAGAAGTGGATGTTGTGGTTTCTCGATCAGACGCGGTCTAGCTAACGTTATTGCCAGCCCCCTTGGCACACTTCACCTCTTCACATCTCTTTGCTCTCTTTGGTAAATTGTTGTCTCTCCGGACAAACATCGTAATCGTTACCAAAGTCAGGAGCTAACTTGTGATTTGCTGTTCCCACGTGCACCATATAAGCTAAGCTGTACTCATGTTACTTTACTTGTCTTATTTCTCCCGGTTCTTTCATTTAAAGTAAAAAGAAAAAACAAAAAATTAATTGTTAATTAAACAATGCAGTATCAGTTACAAATAATGACTAAGACTCTAACTACCAGACAATGTTTGACATGCTTTCGCTAACCGCGGATAACAAGCTACTACCAGAATGCACAACTAACGAGCAGTCTCCTCTTTCTTAAGAAAATACCGACCAACCCCCTTGCGCGCTCACCCTTCGTCCTGTAACCATCACATCACAGATACGAGGCCTTGAAGACATTTCATTTAATATCTTTTTTTGCTAAAAAATAAAATACTTAAATCTTTACTATAATATCAATGGTTTTCATACATTTTTCATTGTACACTAAATGTATTTTATATATCTATATTTTTTATCATCATTCTTCACTATCACCATAAAAAAATATTGAAACATGCTTGAGTGATAAGAGAAAAGCTTGAAAATATCATTAAAGTGATTTTTTATCTATGAGTAAATTTAAAGTCTATAAATAGATATTCGATAGATTATTTTATTTCCTTAAGCTTTGGAATATAATATATACAAGAAGTGCAGATAATTAATGTGCATCAGAGCACATATATCATATCCGTAAGTTGAATATTGGAGACGTACGCTGCACTCTCTGAATGGCGCATTTAGAAGCGTGTTTTGTATACCTAATGTTATGAGAATGCATTGCAAACATCATGTTTCTCTCCTACTCCATTACATCTTTTATACAAATGTATGTCTGCCAGTAGATGTATTGTTTTCCAAACGGCACCATGTAAGATTCACATTACCACGTGACGAATCATAAGTAAATATTTTTCATTGACTTTTTTAATGAAAAAAGAATTATCTGCAATGTATATAGCAGAAGTAAGATAATATGTAAGAAGATGGATAAAAAAGTACTATTGAAATGAAACATTGCAACAGTCATTCATGAATTATTAACCCAGAAAAAGAAGACCAACAAGTGGATGTGAACAAAAAAACTTTAAATGTGTTTGTGAGAAACAAAAAGAGCTCGAGGTAAAATTGGATAGATATAAAATTTGAGAAAAATTAACAACATTATTTTCTACTTTAAATATTTATTACTTACAAACAAAATATTGTATAAAGAAATGAATAATGATGTTTTAAAAGACAACAAATTTAATATTTTTCATTTTTACAATTATTCATAGAAACTATTCAATTATTAATATAAATAATCATTAATTTATAGATTAAACTAGGGATAAAGAAAATGAAATGATAAAATAAAATTTATAAATATCCAATTTTCTCAAGTACTATATCTTGGTTCAGGTTTTTTACTAATGAGTTGAACTCCAAATTCAGTCAAGTTAACTCGTCTAATTGGCTAAAATTTAATTATAGATCAATAAAATCTAAACGAAATAATGATAAAAATGCAAGAATGATGACAGATAATGTAATATGACAATGAAGATACATAGTTAGATATACACTGCGTATATTTGATCGTTAAGTAATAACATGAGGATGCTAAAAGCGGCGCTAAGGCGTGTTTTGTTTGCTCGATGAGCTGAGCAAATGAACGGCAAACAGAGTGAATAGAGAGCCAAGAGATGGGGGAGAGATATGTATATGTGTCTGTATGTGATGTTGAACATGGTATAAAAAGCATCCTCTTGACTAGTATTTTTTCCCTTATATGCTTATTCACTAACATTCTTAATTTAGTTATTATCTCATATTAAAATGTACACAATATTCTGCTATGTATACCCCAACTAAGGTTTATTTAGCAAAGAAAGAATATACCAATACACTTATATCTTATAAAATCACGTTATAAACAAATTTATGAGTCCTGCAGACTGAAAGCCATATCCATAGCTTTCTCAGCCTGAAAAACGGTACTCCAATAACTCTGAATTTAAAAGTCTAGCTTGAAAATGAGCGAGGAAACTTTGTAACGAGAAACGATGGGGTTGTAGGTTTCGAAGTAAAGGGAAAAATGTCGCATCTCTACATTTTCTCTAGGCGCTATTTTTCGCTTATTTTAAAAATCTGTTGAAAAACTTGTCTTGGACCTATAAAAAATGCAAATAGTCATTCAACTAAATAACGAATCACGTGATAGAGCGCACATAAAGTGATAAAGATAACTTATAAAACTGTCAAGGGTTCATGCTTGTCACTTCCTTGACGTGACTGACCCGCGAGAGACTAAAGGAATACGAACTGTAACCTATAAATCTGTATATATATCAACATCTTCAGATATATACAAGTCAGTAATAAATTGCTTTCTCTCTCTCTCTCTCTCTCTCTCTCTCTCTCTCTCTCTCTCTGTTCAACCTCTTATCCCATTTCTCTACTCACGAAACGGATCTTAATAGCACTTCCCAATATAGTACTCCTTACTAATCGATCAGATTCCTTATTGCCCTCACAGTACTCTTGATCACCTTCATACTTGCTTATACCCTATTAATATTATTATTATTATCATTATTATTTTTAATCATTTCGATAAAATTCTATATTGAATTATTTGAGAAAAATATCTCGAAGGTAAGCGATAGCGTCTACTTATACATTTCATTATCGCGTTGTTGTTCCGGTGTTATGTATTTATAATGTCTCCAACGTATCTTAAAAAAAAAAGTCAAGCCGGAAGATTATTGTGTATTAAGATATGAAAATTCAATAACTGTATCAACTTTATTATTAATGTCATGCTATCGTGATTAATGCTATGATACATCCATACTTTTATTTGTTTTTAGTATATTTGATCATTGAACAACGCACTTACTCTCAAGGGCTAGACCTCGTACATTCTTAGACTTAACATTGCAACGATTCATTCACATATTGCAATGTTGAAACTTTTTCCTTCGTCTTATGAAAAAAATTGTAGTTGTGATGTTGTTAAGTTGAACAAAAACTATTTCCGGATGATGATAGAAATTAATTTTTCATCTTCCCTTAAGATTTATCAATTCTTAATCACTATTTAATAAAGTGATAGAGATAATGATTCTTCATTGAAAGATGACTTTTTATAATTACGTAATAAATACATATATAATCTTTGATTGAAATCTTATAAAACACTAGGTAATACTTGTTATTTACTCAGTGAATGTTTTATAAGTCTATACTATTAAAATATATATTACCATTTTTACATTTATCTTTGTATTTCTCTGATAGTTATTCTTGCAATCAGAAAATCGATGAAGATACAGAAAGAAATACCGGTTGATTTTTTCAATAATCATTTTCGAAAAATTAAAAAATTTTTTTGATATGATGTTGAAGTAGTTGTATTAATATGTTATAATATATTATATATTCTTATATTATATATATTATAATATATATAATATAAGAAAACAAATAAACCATAATTTATATTCCTAAAGTAAACTGAAAAAGTGTCGTGGAATATTTTTATTTCACATCTAAAAAAACTAATGCGATTACAACAAAGCTGATACAACTATTACAATTGTATATTTTATGAATCTTATTGAAAGCATTATATCTCTTCGTAGAATAATTTGGCAGCAATATCATCAATTTGGATATTTAAACAATAAAGGAGCTCAAACTAATACTACAACATCCCTTGAAGAATGTATAAAACTAAAACAGGATAAGATTATGTGGCTCAATGCAATTTTACTGAAACTTTAAGTTTTACATCAGAAAACTTTGTGACTGTTAGACTAGTTAGACTGTCACAAAAGCTGCGAAAAGGAACAAAAAATTAAATTTATAAAAATTTTACAAGATTGCAGTAAAAATACTACTTAGTTATAAGATATATATAAAAAGTGAATTTTTCTGAAAGATAAAGATAAAATAATTCAAAAATGAATGAGGGTTACATTTTCAAAAATTACAAAGAAAAATCAATAAATACACTTTTTTACAATAATTTTAATATGATTTTTCATGTTTATTTATTTATTTTTATTTAATATGCATTTTGGAAAAATTATTTATTTATCGTTAAATTTAGTGGCTTGTATTGTAGTGTAAAACGTCCATAGCCCTGTATAATACATATAACATAATTTATTTATAATACAATTCGATTTATTATTTTGAAGATTGCCTGAGTTATTTGCAAAGCTATTTGCCGGTTTTCATCATATTTTTAAACTGTCCAATATTTTTAATTCAATTTTAAAATTTAAGAAAAAATTCTAATGTGATTTGACCTAAATTATTTAGAGTATCAATGAGCATTTACAAGTGCAATTCCATTAGTTGCGTTGTAATGATGCTGTACAATAGCGCATAAACTCCAGAATCGGCATCATGTTTTTCTTTGGATGGATAAGTTACCTAAATAATTTTTCACAGTTAAATAATTGATAGTGACATAATACTTACAACGATCAAGGATATGATTTAATAATTGTTATTGTTATTATGAACAGTAATAATAATAATAATTCTTTATTTAAAAAAAACAGATCAATAAAGGCCATTGATTCATGATTAATATTAAAAAAATTTTGTAGTCATTGAATGACTACAATAATTAGAGAGTATATTTGATAGATTTCTAGTAAATCTGTAAATCTCACACATTTAGATTAAAAATTTATAAATCTTCATTGAATTATCACAAATAGGAATGATTCAATCATCGTCATTCATTCTATTATTTTAGAATTTTTACAAAAAAGTAATAGAATAAACAACAGCAAGAAAGAGACAATCAAGTACGCTATATTGAAGCATGGTCAATGATGTTTAGTTTGATGTATGAAAATCACATCAAGATCAGAAAGGTGCAATTATTGCCGCAGCTTCTCCACGACTTGTCGGGAGCGATGCACATTCATTCCATTTATTTGAGACAGGATCATAACTCTCAACGGTAGAGATAGTTATTTGGGTACGGTAAAAATTAATTTCTCGCGATTGATCACCACCAATCACATAAAGACGACCGTCAGCAGCTGCTACAGCCGGATAAGAACGTCCCATATTCATTGGAGCAACAGCCGTCCACTTGTTCTATAATTATAATTAAAATGAAATTTGATGATATTTTACAGGTGTACAAATGTATCAAAGAAATTTTTCTTACACGATAAAAATTTTAACAAAGCTTTACCTTTTCAAATGAATATTTTTCTACAGACGTCAATACTTCTTGATTTTTATTCATACCACCAACGACGTAAATATGTCCATCCAATATTGTAATTCCCATTTGCGAGCGTGGAGTTAACATAGGTGCAAGATAATTCCACTCTCTTGTTACAGGATTATAACTCATAACATCCTGTCTATGTCGACTGTCATGCGTACAACCACCAACAATATAAATTAATCCTTCGTACGCAACGACTCCCATACTGAAGCGTGGCTCAGGAAGTTCGCCATGAAGGCTCCAAGTGTTAGAAATAGGATCATAAGTCTCAATAGTACCACCAATGTCTTCTCCAACCCATCCACCAAAAGCGTAGAGACAATTATCCAACTCGCAGAGACCAAATTCACATCTAGGTTCAATCATGCAAGCAATTGACGTCCAAACATTATCTCGTGGATCATAACATTCTCCATTAGCTATTATACATGACTCTAGCTCTCCACCAACAACATAAACCTTTCCGTCAAGAAGAGCCACACCCGGTAATATTCTACCTATCCCAATAGGTGCTACTTCACTCCACTGTCCGGTAAATGTGTCATATTTTTCAATCGTGTCATATGTGCTTTCAGCATCTCGTGCCCAAGTATCAGCTGTATATTCTCGTTTTGACCCTCCAATCACTAAAATATTTTTCTTTGCACACAATCTCGGCTGTGCACGTAATGGTACAAGGCATCCTTTATTCGATACTAAGTCTTTTTGAATAGATCGAAGAGCAACAATTAAACTTGCATCTTTACACTCTAAAATCACTGATTCTAAACGGGTTGAAGAACACAAACGAAGTCTGATATGACCGAGAATTTCAAAAACATAACATCGTCTTGCAGTGATGTCATGTGTGATCCAGTTATAGGCAGCTTGGAAGACCTATATTGAGAATAGTCGTTGAGTATAAAGTTTAAAAGATTTCAAATATAATAGAAAGGAAATTTGCTTGAAGTAGCTAGTATAAAAATAACCTTGTTTAAAATATTCTGATAAAATAGGTTGAGATGAAAATATTTTTTACAAAGATAACTTTTGATTTAATACTTTATCCTATTTGCAATTATTTACAACGAATTAGTTTCTATAACAATTTATAATATCGATTCAAAGTTTTATTGTTCTAAGGTTATTTTTATAGGACTACTGTGTTCGTTAATCAATAATTCTACCACTAGTTTACCTGAAATTCAGTATCAACATGAATGTATTCACTACTGAGAAAATGAACGATATAATCTTTTGGCAGATCTAAAAACTCTTCTTCTTGTGAAACTTGAGGAAAATTGACTTCGATAAAGCGTAGGGCAGTCTCCATTAGATCTAATCGATTATGTGCTTCTGCGAATCTAAATAATTAACAAATTATCTCATTAATTTTATTATTTATCGTAATTAATGAGTTATTTAATTAAAGTTCTAATAAATAGATTTACCTATAAATTCCTAAAGCATTGGAATAATGCAACTGCTGTTGTAAGTAGCTAATACAACCCGTAACAACTTCATTTAATTCCAGCATATCTGCAGCAGCAAAGAGCTCTTGAACATTGTCTTGTGTAATATCAACGTTGCCAGTATAAATGAAATCAACCAGCATAGATAAAATATTTGCCGAAATTGCGTGGATTTCTACTAACTCTTGTTGTTCTTCAACAAGGCCACCCGTAAACATAGCATTGAAATAGGCACTACCTGCAGCTAGTACAGATTTGTGTGCTCTAATAATACTATCACCAGCAATTAGGCCTACATCACTGAATTGATTTTTTAATCGTTGATCATTAAGATTTCTCAAGACTTTTGAGGCATACTGCCCTGATCCAAACACTGTATTGGCAATATCAGAGCTTTTTCTTAACGACTGGTATTCATCCAAAGGATAAACTTCAGTCGGAACATCACTGTGTTGTCTCATAGTTTGAGATGTAAAGCCCATACTTTGAGAATTGTGGCCACTTTTAAGTGGTTGAACTCTATTATCGGCCATGAAACCATCCAATTGTCCTTTATCCACAGCACCTGTAATTGAATTTAATTACATTCATTCATATATAACCCTGTATCTTTCGTTACAAATCCAACAAATAAACCGAGCATATTATTGAGCTGTTGTCATTAAAAAGACACTCAAGATACATATTTTTATCATCTTGTTTATAAATAATCAAAGACATGCTTGACTGAAATAATGACATATTTACTCACGGCATATACGAGAAAGCATCTTATAGACGCTATGAAACGATTTTGAATCATTTTTCCCTTTAAAACGCATCACTACTATTTCATCCTGTCCACCTTTGCACTGTAAACATTAACAATAATCAATTGTTTGTCTTAACATAAGGTCTTTCCAATTATATTTCTTTAAAGAAATCAATTTTTTCTTTGACATATGTCAAATAATTTATTCACATCATGAAGTTAGCTGAAGTTCGCATTTTCATACTTGCGTAACTTTAATCTCTCTATTTATAAATATATATCATCATTTATTTCAATTAAATTTAGATTAGAGTACAAAATTACCTGTTTTTTGTATTCTCCATTAATTAGTTCAATTGAAGATTATGAGTTCAATAAATGTCACTTTACACTATGAGAACTATACATTATTAAATGTCTTGAAATGAACTTAATATTAGTTATTAATTTGATATAAAAGAATAAAATGAATACTTTTGATTCAATAATTATTTCATTGTAATTAACACTTACAAATGTTAATACATCAATGAGTTAACACTTGTCATATTTTAATTGCTTTTCTGATGAACAGATGATTGATGAAGAACATTCAACTAGAGCCATCTGATAGTGAAATATGAAAATTGACCTGTTTACATACATTATACATATAAAAAATGATTTTATTCTGTTGGTATACCTGCTAACAGACTTTTTTTTTGTTTTAATTGTTGGTATAATTATTGTTCACCTGTTTCCTGTTTCATGTTTTATTATTTTTGGCTAAATAAAGTCAGTTGTGTTTGACTTCATTTATTTTGGTATATAGTACAACGGTGTAGTATTGTTGAGAATTATTTTATAAATAAAAATTTTTGAGTTTAACAAATATATAAAAATTTTGTATGAAATGACGAAATTATTTAAAAGTCAAAAAATTGCTGAAAAAATGAAGGTTAGTTTCAGATGTTCACGTTTTCATTTTTTATTTTATTATTTAATTTTTTTATTATGTTACTTACTAATCAGGGTATTATTTTACAGACAATCGAAGATCATGATACATTTCTTAATCGAATAAATAAATCACTTTACTATTCTAAACTACCCACGACTGATCGTCTTAGCCTGCCTGTTACTGGTATGTTATAATTTTGAAATCTGTGTCAATTTCTTCATTTATAAAATAATCGCATAATAATTCGTATATCCCTTATTGTATCAGAATTTGCGGCTGAACTGTTTTCTGAAGTAAAAAATGGATGTAGTTTGGAACGGTTGGATGTTGATGAAGCAAGTAGAATCTCAAGAAATGCGTGTGTATCACCTTGTTCTTTCGTTTTGGCTTTACTCTATTTAGAAAGACTAAAAGATTGCAATCCTGAGTATTTATACAAAGTTGCTCCCTCTGAACTCTTTCTTGTATCTTTGGTGAGAAAATATATCAGTTACTATTTGTCATAAATACATTTGCAAAAAATGGTTTAAATTTATTATATTTATTCTTTTTAAAGATGGTAGCCAGCAAGTTTTTAAATGATGATGGTGAAGAAGATGAAGTCATTAATGGTCAATGGGCTGCATCTGGAAATATAACTTCTACACAAATGAACCGCATAGAAAAGGAATTTCTCCATGCCATTGTAATTTTAATTTTATAATTTCTATTTTTTTTTTTCACTTCCCAGTGCAAAGTTATTGTAATAGATCCGATTTTGTGAATTCCAAATTTTGGTATATCTCCACGTTTCGAGATATTTAGAGTCGAATGCAACAGTTTTTAAGTGGATGTCTGTGTGTAAGCACGTTCGGACTTATTTTTCGTCTCAATTATCTCGCGGACAAAAAATGGGATTAACGTGAACGAATTGAATTCAACACATAATTACGCAACTTAAAACTGATCAGGTTTTAAGCAAAATTGGTCCAGCCAATTTTTGTACTGAATTTAAAAACCAAAAAAAAGTCAATTAACTGAATTTCGCAATTTATAAATTATATTGGTGATTTTTATGATAAATATAACGTACGGCATTTTCATTCTTTTCACTAGGAAGTTAGTCATGTAGACCCGGCGGGTCGCACCTAGATTGCTTGTTTATATTTTTAATTTTATTTGTATTAATTATTCGTTTAATTTTTCAGAATTGGTCAATTTATGTGCATGATGAGGAATTTTGGAATCGATTGAAAAAATTAGAAGAATGTATAGCTTATAAAGAAGCTCGAAAACGTGGTTGGTTTTCTTATGCAGAACTCAGCTGTTTGATGAAAATAATTGATCTTACTGCGTTAGTACGAACTGTTTTAAGCATTTCATCAATTTGTGTACTAACTTATGCAGCCGGAATTATGACACTCTTGGGTTCTGCTTTAATAACTAGTCATATTCCTGGCACATCGTTAGCACCTAAACAACACCTGATCCAATCTGATGATACGATTAATATGAGACTGACATCTTCTGAAATATCTTTAGAAGATAATGAATATTTATTAGTAACTGATGTACAAAATAATTTGACATGTAACACATGTAATTGGGAAAAACCAACGAGTCTATCGGAAAATATTAGTTGGCAATGGCTATCTACAATGATGACTTGGATACCAAAATACCCCGAACTTTATGATGATATATATACGAGGTCAAAGGTGAAGAAAGAAGTAATTCAAAATTTAACTCCTTTTATAACAAATAGTCAAATATCATTACGGGATCGTTTCGAATGGGAAAATATAGTGCTTCAAATCAACTGGCATGATATGGAAATAAATTTGAAGTATCCTCAGGGTAACTGGAAATATTATGTAGATTACATAACAAAAATATCCGTAGGTCATCAACATTGAACTCAATTTCAGTAATAACCAACGAAATTTTATCTTTAATCAACGTAGATAAACATAAAAAAGTATATATTTTTTCTACTAACTTCTACCTCATATATAACTATTCTTAAATTAACACAATTTTTTTCAATAAATGATTTTAATATTCTGACTATGATGTTATTTCATTTCACATATAATTGGTCCTTAATAATTTATTTTAGTTCATTTATTTAGTTGCTAATGTAATATTATTGAACATTCTATTGCACTAATTATAATTTATCACATAAACATTGGAGGAATAATTTATGTGTTAATTAAAAAAATTTACTATATAAAGAGAGTATTGAAAATTCTTGAAATCTTAAAATCTCTAATCTTAAAAAACAATATTTCTATATACATTAAGTCATAAACCAATGTCATGAATATTTATGTCGTTTATCCATGAGGCTATTTAAAAAATGATAAATTATAAAAAACAATTGATTTCATATAGAGTCTATGAACAATTAAAAATCTACAAGTACTGCCTCAAGATTTAATTATTTATCTTTATCTTTATCTTCTTTGGGCTCCTGATGAAGAAAAAGTAATGGTGTCATTCCTAATATACATCCTATTATCACACCAATTACTCGACCCTACAAATTAATAAAATTGCTTTAAATGAAACAAAAAATAAAACTTTCGCATCAAAAAATTAGTTACGTACAAGATTCGCAGCTCTCCTGGATTGAGGTAAGTCAAGCTGAACTGGAGTAAGCGTAATCCGAGGCAGTCCTATTTTCTGAGATAATCTTTCTACATAATTTGCTAATCCTATCCCTAAGACGTCAGAAATAGTATTCCCGAGTGCTGCTGCTGCCATTGTTGATAAAGTCATGAATGAACCCAGTATCACTTCAATGTGTTCACCCTGTGAATCAGTGTAACTTGATCATTATCAAGGAGTAACAAAAATATAAACTTATACTCACAGCTATTATCATGATGAAGTTGTCAAGAAAACCGAATCCAATGAAAGGAATGGCATTGCTAATAAAAACTAAAAGAAAATAGAGACGATTAAAATGAAGAAAGTAACAAGATTAAGTTAATTAAAAATACAATTTCTTACCCAAAATTAAATCACGCCGTCGGGGTTGAGGAACTGTTTCCGCTAAAGGAATGAAATTAAAATAGATAAGTAAAGTTGCCTATTTGTGAACTAAATCAATATTGATAAGCATAATGATATTGAAATATTTAGTAAGCCATACAGAGTGAGCTTCAAATTCAACATTCTCAACATATTTAATGGCAGACTTACAGAATAGATTGTCCGTGTGAAAGGTAAAGCAAAAAGGAGACAGCCTGTGTCAGTAAGATTATAGGTTTAAGTATATTGAATAAAAAAAATAAAAAAAAAGAATAGTTAATGTTCAAGTGCCCAGTAGCTTGGAATGGAGGGCAGAGAGAGAATTGATACACAGTGTGTCCAATAAAATTCGGCAAGCTGTGTAGACACGTAGGTTTAGTACGTAAAGCATGTTTTAGATTATTATTAGATAGCACATGAAGTAAATGAGCGAATGAAGACGTTAGTACACATTGAAAGGTGAATAATATAAATGAATATTCTTGCATGCGAGCTTACGCTGTTGGTTCCATTGATCCGCTTGAAGCACAATTATAAGTATTTGTTAGTACTGAACATAAAACTTTCAGAAATCTAATCTATTATGAGTATTAAATGAATGTTAATATCTCCAACAGTGAAGCAAAAGAAATTTTTAATATGAGCCGACACCCTCATTGCCTCCACTCGAAGCTGAAAGGGATTATTGGTGTTTTTGCACACCAAGTATTAAAACACTCTTCGTACCATATTTTTTCATTAACCAGTCATCAGGTACAGCACAATAGCTCCCTGTAGGATCCACTTCACCCAGTGAAGGCACACTGCTTGGACGACCGAACTTACTTCTCCATCGAAATGCGGCCAATTGACCTGTAGGATCACTATTATAAAAGACATTCCCTATTGTTTATTATTTTTCAATTGCGTTGACACAGCAGTCGAGTCATAACTAATGATTTAATTCATTAAATTACATCATCACTAGAAAAACTCATACTGTACATATATCATCTAACCAAAGTATAAATCAACGTGGTAATAAACAATTGTATTTTTCGAGAAAAAATTTAAAATAATGTTTCTTACCTTGATATTCGGCTTTAATTATTTGTGATTGATAGTCTTGAAGAGTTGCTACTAACATTTCGCGTTCTTCAGACGTAAGCCTCATTGCCAATTCCTTAGCTTTTTGTTTAGAAAAACTATCAGGATGTGAACCTGCTCTAGCAGCAGTGCCATACTTTTTTTTGGTAAAATTAACAACATTATTATCTATTTTTGTGAAAAATCTTATTGGACAATTACGAATATTTATCATATGGCCGGATAGTTTGCTGTAACATGTCAGCTTGTTCCCTAATTGAAGAATACAGGATTTGAGGTTTGTTTGACAAAGCACTGATAATGATGTACACATTTTTGGAGATTATAATCAATTTCAAAAACTAATCAATACCATAATCTAGTAATAGTTGTAATAAGCTAAAAAAATTAAAATAATAGTTATTTTATTCTTTTATTAATATGGAAATTTAGTGAATTTATAAAATAATGAGAATGAAATACCTCCCCAAGGAGCAGCAATACTAGAACTAAACGGTGATGAACAGCAGGGAGCAGGACTGCACACAAATATCGATAATTCCGTATTTCTGTTGACGTCATACCGAGTAGTGTGTTGAACACTCGAACTTTCTGAAGAATTCGATTAATCGAAAGATGACGTGATTTATGTTAAAATAAACATCGTATAGTACGCAACAAAGAGGTTATAACTGTAAAATAATGACATATATCAAAAGAATTTAAGATGTATTAAAAAAAATAAAAATGTATACGTTACTTCATGGATTTTACAAATACTTGGTACAAAAAGATGAATATTTCATACTCATTTTGGGACTTGACAATGCTGGCAAAACGGTATAACCTTAATTGTCATAAATATAAGATTACAAATGAAAGTACTCTTTTGTTATTCATTATTGGCTTGTTGATATAGACTTATTTGGAAGCGGCGAAAACCAAATTTACAAAAAACTATAAAGGAATGAATCCAAGTAAAATAACAACAACTGTCGGGCTTAATATAGGAAAGATTGACATTGCAGGAATAAGATTAAATTTTTGGGATCTTGGTGGTCAAGATGAACTTCAATCATTGTGGGATAAAGTATGAATGGAGTAAATACTCATTCAACTCTATTATTTTATTATTATAATTGATAATTATATGTTTTTTTTATAGTATTACGCAGAATCTCATGCAGTTATATACATTGTAGATTCTTCAGATAGAGAGAGAATTCCTGATTCAAAAAAAACATTCGGTAAATAAATAAAAATTTTTGCTTTTTTTAATTTTTTGATAATAAAAATATTATTTCTTTTTATCCAAATATCATCAACGATTTCAATGCATTTTTATAGATCGAGTTATATCTTCAGAACACTTAACAGGAGTACCTCTCTTAGTTCTTGCCAATAAACAAGATATTTTAGATTCAATGGGAATCAGAGAAGTAAAACCAATATTTAATAAAAATGCTCATTTAATTGGTCGAAGGGATTGCATGGTCATGCCAGTATCTGCATTAAAAGGGTACAAAAATTAATATATTATTCAGAGATAGTAATAATTATTATTAGATTTTAATAATTTTTAAAGAAAAATTGACAAAAAATAATTTACCACAAATAATATTTGAAACTATATCATGTTCAATTTTAGTTTTATTTAAATGTAATAAAAAATTGATAAGATATGTTTTTTATCAGGGATGGAGTAGATGAAGGTATTCATTGGCTTGTAGACTGTGTGAAGAGAAATAGTGATGTACGCCCTCCACGTAATCAAGACGACAATGACTTATCTTAACATAAAATCTAGAAACAATAATTTCCAAAATATTTTTATTGTTACTTCTAAGAATAGTTTTATTTATGAGAGAAAACATTTGAGCTCATTATATATATTGTAAAGAAGTGAAAATGTCCATGTTAATTGACCTATTATTTCTTCAAGTGTTTATCTTGTTGATTAATAGATCAATAATTCCCTCAGGTGATATGGAACTAAAAGTAGTCAAAGCGTACGATATCAAGGCCCGGAACGAGATAAGAGATAAGCCACTCAACAGTTTGCCATCAAGACTGTTAGATTATGTGAGTCAATAGAAGGATATAATTCACTCTGAAAATGTTTGACTAGTTGTAGGTTTTTTATATCGATTTTTAGTGTTTTTGTATTAATTTCCCAATTGTGTTGATCGATATTACGCAATATGTGGGCATATTATGATACTGAAGATTGGAGTGTTCTCCCACCTGAGTTGAATCGGAGGTAAGATCGCAAGAATTCGATACATCAAATATTATTTATTTAATATAATATGTGATTGGTTAATGCAGTGAAACTAAAAATTATCGTTTATTAAAAATAAGGTAACGGAAATAAATCATTTTTATGAATAAAAATGAATATTTTCTTAATATAAATATCATTGTAGTAGCAAATTAATACAAAAAAAAATTCAATTTCACCGCCTACAATAATATTGGACTACGTATTTCAAATACATCACATAGATTTAATAAATATTTAAGAATAAATTATTAACTCATTTGTTGTGAATAATTTAGAAAAATACATGAATTTGATAGTTATTTACGGTTAAAACAAATTTTTTGGAATATTATAAAATTAAAAAATAAGAAAATGAATGCAAAGTACAACGTCAGTATATCGGCCATCTTGGTTCATGTATACGACAGAGAGGTAGAGAGGTGAGATACTAGATGAAGGTGTTTTTTCGTGGTTCTAAAAGTTGATAACGTGGATTAAATATGCCCTTGAAAATTACGAGAAAGGACTGACTACTTTTGAAATAGCTTTGAAGCATAGGTAGGTTAAAGAAAATCTATATTTTAATGAGAAATATCAAGTGAAAGCTAAAAAAGACGTAGGTATAATTGAAGATCTAGGAGGAAGGTCCAGACACTTAGTGAGGGCGCTATATCGTTAGTCTTTACTCCAAAATCATTTTATATTAAATTCCTTATTTGTTTGTTAAATATGATGAAATATCGCTAATTATTTAATTTAAAGTATTGTTAAAGCCTTCATTTATCATATGGAATTCCTTCTGGTGGTTAAAACTAATGAAAAATTTAATAATACTTTGATAGCAATGGTACAGGTATGCTACCAGATTTTCTTTTGACAGTTACCCTAATAGTCTTTATATAATCCCATTTTGTCGTAACGGTCAAGTTTTTTTGTATTTGTAAACCATTGCTAATAATCATTATATTACATATTACAAAATACTGTTCCGCAAAACTATCATATGTCCCTGAAATAAAATAATATCTTTTATAACCTCCGAACAATCGTACAACATGCTGTACTTAACATTTGCCATGGTGTATCATACAGGACGAATGCTGTGCATTGGAACTGCGTGCTGATAAAAAAGCGTTATTGAGTGTTACATTCCAATATAAATAGTTGAAGAGTCTGCTACCAATTATAATCATGAATGCATCAGAACATGGGTAACCAAATTTTGTCTTTAAAAGTTTTATAACTCGATTTAAAAGTATTAGTAAAATTAAAATAAATTAATAGTAAAAAATAATTTAGTCAATTTTTAAATTTCACTGCATTACCGTATTGAGTTATTGACATAATTGTTTTTAAGCATGTAATCTGGCATGGCTTTATTACAGGTTTAACCCAGCCTTTAACATGGCCTCCATAAAACAGGCAATCAATGAAGCTGTTGAAAGAGGTTGGTATTGAAATTTAACAAATGAATTTGTATATGTTTATTTTTTTTCTTTGCTATAAACCTTTCCTAAGCTTGAGCATAATTTTTAAGTCATTTTTGATAAGTTAATTTTACATTTTTTTGCTTTATTATTTAATGCCTCACTGTCCAGCTAACTTACACTGCACCATGATAACATACTTGTTAATTTAAAAGTTTCAACAGTGAGAATGCCCGCACCAACTCGGCTACGAGATCTTATCAGGCAAATAAGAGCTGCACGAACTGCTGCAGAAGAACGTACTGTTGTCAACAAAGAATGCGCGTACATAAGGTCAACATTCAGAGAAGAAGATAGCGTTTGGAGATGCAGAAATATTGCCAAACTTCTTTATATTCACATGTTAGGGTAAGTTGTACATTTTAATGAGTAAATTTGAAAATAAAAAAAAAATGTTAACAATAAAATTATTCTTCTAGTTATCCAGCGCACTTTGGCCAGTTAGAATGTTTGAAACTTATAGCGTCTCCAAGGTTTACGGATAAACGAATCGGTTATTTAGGTGCAATGTTATTACTCGATGAAAGACAAGACGTTCATCTTCTTATTACCAATTGTCTTAAAAAGTAAATGTAGCATTTTTTATAATTATTTTCTATACTTAAAGTATATTATCAAATAACTAATTTATACAACCGTTTTCTATACAGTGATTTAAATAGTTCAACCCAATTTGTAATTGGTCTAGCTTTATGTACGTTAGGAGCTATCGCATCACCAGGAATGGCCCGAGATTTGGCGGCTGAAGTTGAAAGATTAATGAAGTCACCAAATGCTTATATAAAAAAGAAAGCAGCACTATGTGCTTTTAGAATTATCCGAAGAGTTCCAGAATTGATGGAAATGTTTTTACCAGCGACTAGGAGCCTTTTAACTGAAAAGAATCATGGAGTGTTGATTACTGGAGTTACTTTAATTACTGAGATGTGCGAAAACAGCGTTGATACATTGAATCACTTTAAAAAGGTGCGTTTTAATTTATATTATCACATTCATAACATCTGTCACAGACAGAATCGTATATTTAATATTAATAATAATGGAACCTTGTTGACGCACGTTTCTGCGATTCTCACAACATTTCATAATAAACAAATATCATTTCTTTTATCTTGTTTAGGAATGCGGCCATAGAGAGGTAAAGATCATTTATCCGTTGAATGTGCTATCGTTTTGATGTTGCATGAATTTATTGCTTGGATAATTTTGTTCTTTTTACATTCATTTATTAGTCTAATAATATTTACATATTGGGATTCATATGGATTATTGCTGAGATATGATTCAACGACGATCTTAATTTGCTCTACATCAAACAGAAGATTAATTCACTATCATTATTATGATTATTGTTGTTATTATTATTTTAATACTAATTAAAAATTTAACATAACTATTCACAGGGACGTTTTATTTTTATGCTTCATATCTTGGTTATATTTATTCATACAATTCTTCTGATGGTGAAAAAATCGACCTTGTAATTCAACTAATTGAACGTTTATCAATCAACAGCGCTTGATTGTCAAATGAATTTCATAATTTTATAGTCAATTATTTTAATAATCATTTACAGCTTTTAATTTTTTGTTATTTAACGTCCCTTCTTAGGTACATGCACCCTTTCTTAACGAAGTTCTCTATTTCTTTACTCCTATTGCTTCATTGTTTTATGATCAAGGAATTGTAATAGTAAAATTTAATGTACAAATAATTTCAGATTGTTCCAAATCTCGTAAGGATTCTTAAAAACCTCATCCTGGCAGGCTACTCTCCAGAACATGATGTTTCCGGTGTGTCAGATCCATTTCTTCAAGTTAAAATCCTTCGGTTATTGCGAATTTTGGGACGTAATGATGTAGATGCTTCCGAAGCTATGAATGATATTCTTGCGCAAGTTGCAACAAACACTGAAACTAGTAAAAACGTTGGTAATACTATTCTTTATGAAACTGTCCTTTCTATCATGGACATTAAATCAGAAAGTGGATTAAGAGTATTAGCAGTTAACATTCTTGGACGATTTTTACTTAACAATGATAAAAACATTCGTTATGTTGCTTTAAATACATTATTGAAGACTGTTTACGTGGATACCAGTGCAGTTCAACGACACCGCTCGACAATCCTGGAGTGCCTAAAAGATCCAGATGTTTCGATAAGAAGACGAGCAATGGAGTTAAGTTTTGCTTTAGTAAATTCTAATAACATTAGAAATATGATGAAAGAGCTACTTTTATTTCTTGAACGAGCTGATCCAGAATTTAAAGCTCAGTGTAGTAGTAATATTGTCATGTCAGCTGAAAGATATGCACCAAATAAGCGTTGGCATCTTGAGACATTGTTCAAAGTTCTTATCGCTGCTGGTAATTACGTGAGGGATGATGTGGTAGCATGCACTATCCAACTTATCTCTGAAACGCAATCACAGCAGAGTTATGCTGTCAATGCCCTTTGGCATGCTCTCGAAAAGGATACTTTTGATAAACAACCATTGGCTCAAGTTGCCACGTGGTGCATTGGAGAATATGGAGATTTATTACTTTATGGACAACCCCCAGAAGATGCTGAAGCTCCTGTAAATGTATGTAAAAATCATTTTATTCTAATTTTTTTCTAATAGAACATTAGATACTAAAAATTGTTTTTTAGCTGACTGAAGATGATGTGATTGATGTATACCAAAGGTTACTTTGGAGTCCTCAAAATACAGTAATAACAAAGCAATATGCACTATTATCACTGACAAAGTTAAGCACAAGATTCCATCGTGGAAATGAGTAAGTAGAATTAAAATAGATTTTTTCCTTATATACCATTCCCACATCGTCTCTTCCATCCTAGATATTTTCCTCGTGATTCTGGAGGTTAAATGTTTCAGTAGACCACCTCGATTTTACAGGAAGATTCGCCAGATAATCGACACATTTGGTAGCAATCTACATATCGAACTTCAACAAAGAGGCATTGAGTTTTCTCAACTTTTCCGAAAATTTGATCATCTTAGACCAGCTTTACTAGAGAGAATGCCGCCAATGGAAACTGCTCGACCACAAGCAAACGGAATCATTGGTATGGTTAACGGTGATCAAGACATAGAAGAGGAAAAATCAGCAGCTGAACCAATTCAAACAACACCAACATCAGACTCAAGTGCACTTCTTGATCTTCTTGGGTCTTCCGACTTAGGAATGCCTATTGCAACTGTTCCGTCTGCTACGACACCATCAGCTGCATCTACCAATAATAACGATCTTTTAGATCTTCTCGGTGGTCTTGACCTTGGCACATCTACTACTACAACTCCAGCAATAGGACAAACTCAGCCATCATCACAAATCTTCAGTCCTACCTCACCAAATTTTTTGATGGATAGTTTTCTTAATTCATCATCAGTGCAAAGTGAAGTGCCAAGTATAGTTGTTCTGGATAAAGCTGGACTTAAAGTAATTTTTAAAGTCGAAAGATCTTCAGATGTGCTAGACCTGCTTATTATCAATATGACTGCAATGAATTCAAATACTACACCATTAACGGACTTTCTTTTCCAAGCAGCAGTTCCAAGGGTTAGTAATATAATTAATTATACTTCTAATTATTTTAAATAAAAATAACTCCCCACTGGGAAGCTTAATATCTTTCGTTTAAAAATGTTAAAACATATATTAATAATAAAATGTTAGTATTAACAAATTAAATGTTTTTAAAGTTGTAAAAACATAAGAATTTGAGCTTTAACTAGAATTATATTATTATTTGAGTTGTGTTGTCATTTTAGTGATTATATAACAAATCTTTTTTTAAAAAAAAGTAGAAAAATATTAACTTTTTTATGTTACAGACATTCCAATTGCAAATGCTATCACCGTCAGGTACTGTCGTATCACCTTCAGGCCAAGTAACGCAAGTTCTTAAAGTATCTGGTCTTAACAATGTAAGTTACATGATCATAAATTTTGGTAAAATAATTTCCAACAGATTGGTATAAAGATAATGATAAAATGTTTAAATATTTTCAGGGAGTTTTAAGGATGCGTATTCGAATCTCTTACAACGGAGCGTCCGGACCCGTACTTGAACAAACAGAAGTAAACAATTTTCCATTGACAGGATCCCAGTGATAGTATGCAATCACACAAATTGTATATATGGCTGCCTAATGTAAAACCTATCAATGGGTAACTTCTTGTTATTATTGATGAACGATATGAAATTGTAAGTAAATAACATTTCCATAAGTGGAAATGTTCTGATTGTTAGGTAACAAAATTATATCCTTGAATACTTGAAAGTTGAAAAAGATTTTGAAGAAATGAAATAGAGCAGGATGATATAAAGTCAATGATGTTTGTTCTACGGAGTCTTTTCCTTTTATACTATGCTTGTAATTAACAATAAAAGCTCTGTATATAGTAGCTGAAAACGACTGTGAAATATGGTTATGCTTCTTTTAAATGGAGAATTATAAGTGATTCGAGTAAATTGTATGAAAGAAAGTTGATCGATAGTTAGTTTTTATAGTTGGTTAATTGTATTTACAGAGAGACTTATTGTCCGAACAGAACAAAATAAATTCTGCTATGAATTTGTACATCATTCATTTTCGTAGCTTTAATCATCACATTGAGAGGCCGGAACGCTGGATGTCAAATTTTATTTCAGTATGAAGACATACAGATCTATCCGTATGCATAAAAAAACATTGATATTCTACTCCTAAAAGATTTCATACTTTCCTGCTGAAAATATTGAAATGTTTTCATGGCAATAAGTGTTCGATTGAAATCTAGGTATCTTTGTACTTAACACTGAATTCATTTTCATCTTGTTATTGACTGAATGTTACTAATTGTACGATTAACTCTAAAAATATCCCATTGTTTAATTTTCAATTTTTATATACTTGATGATAAAAAAATTTATCTTTGATCACAAATTTTTTTAAAAATTTTATATAGATTTATTATTCTGTAATTAAAATTTGTCAGTATCAGCCATAGATCCGTCCCTTATTTTATTTGATGTAATACGGAATTTATTATTATTAATGGGTATTCGACTACATTATGAATTTATTTCTAAAGAACAGGTAGATAAAGAGTAAGCCTTGCTTTTAAAGCCTATGACAACTCTTTACGTTATATCTCTTTGAAGAAAATGAATTTTGCCTATATGTTCTTATTATAATTATCATTATTATTATGTTAATTTTATAAATTATAACAATGTAAGTGATTATATATATTATACATAAATACCATTCATGAAAAATACAAACTATTGGTTCAAATTACAAAAAAATTCAGATGCTGTATATAATTTTTAGCGAATCAAGGTGTGAAAATAAAGTACTGTATTTTTATTCCATTACAAGATTAATTATTAAAATTTATTTTTCACGTGAAAATAGTATGTTACTGAAAAAAATTAAGTTTCCATAGAACAATTCCCCACATGATTAAATAATCTATCTTTAATTATTTGGGCCATTAAACCATGAATGACTTCGATAGTTGTTTTACAACTGTCTCTTGTAGCTTTTACGAGTTTATCTTCTGTGCGACGATCATGTGAATCATTACCGCTTAAAAATCCTCCTCTTCCTAATGCTACCTCAGATTGCTCTAATTTATCAGACAAATCAAATATCTGACCTGTAGTATAATCAGCATTTGTTAGAAGACTTGAAGAACTCAGAGTATTAACCCAGTATTTATTCCATAAAGAATCTAACAATCTTCGGTCTAATGATGACTTAAAGTATGAGACTTCTAAAGAATAATATTGTTTACAATGAACACCAAAATCTTCTATTTTATTTAATGGAATTGTTTGGTACTCTGAAGGTTCTTCATTAGCTGGTTTATAACCTTTTGGATAAGTTCTAAAGGCACCTAAACAAACTTTTCCAGCTGAAATAGTTCTCACTGGATCAATAACAATTGCCACAAAAGGTTCTTGAAAATTTTGATTCAACATTTGCGTGGAAACATCAATTCCTGACAACCAACAACCATAACCTGGATGACTATGATACCAACCAATAGCATTTTCTTGTCTTCCTACAAGTTTGGCGTTTTCTATATATGCTGTCATGTACTCATATGCTTGAGCTTGAGCATTTACTCTAGTTTCAGTTCCTTCAACGGGCAAAGCAAAAGAATCCATTACGATCATTGTATTTGCTGTCACTTTGCCCAATAATAGACCCATTACTTCTAGAGTACCTCCAGACCTTGCATGCATTACCATTTTCAATAAAGCTAGAGCAGATATTTTGATATCTTTAAAAAAGTGCGGACTGAAAATAAATATAGAAATGAATATTTATTTAGAGAATAATAATGTGATTACATGATAATAGTAATTACTCTTTTTCCCATGGTTTCGCTGTAAGGATGTCTTGCTGTTCTTGTCGATCATATCTATAAATTTCGTCCATTGTGCTGATCATTTCAACGTTATTTGACATCTCCCATGTTTTTTGAGCAATTATTGACTGATCGCTAGATGTACTTGCCATTTATATAATATTATAAAACTGTGAAACAGACAATTTTATGATGAAAAACACTGATTAATTACAATTGAATCTAAGGTTGAATTTTACTTTTATTTACACTTTTTTACCGAACATACAGTTTGATGCTCTAACGAACAATGTAAAAACTTCTTTGTGCTATAGCTTATTATAATAAGCTAACTGCGATTTTATCTACTGTTGGTAATTTGAAAGAACAAAAAGCATATGTATAGTCAAACTCAATAGATATGGCCGTTTGTAATCAAATATGAAAATAGCCAATAGGTTATATGCATATAGAGAAAAAATAAAACATAAACGTTATCATTTTTTTTGAAAATCACTATTTTTATGAAAATTCGATCATATAAATATTGATAATATATATTTAACTCAATGATTACTATCACTAATGGCTCATCACTAATTTGGTGTAATTTTAGTTAAATTTTTTCGTCAAAATAGTTGGATTCATGGCTGACGAAAACGCTGAAATGATGTAAGTGGATTTAAACAAAATTATTGTTATATTTGTTTAAATTATAACAATTTCTTTTGATACACAAATACATCAGAAATTTAAAGTAAAATACAATCGTTTTTATCTCTAAGAACTTGATTATTATTATAATCTCAAAAGTTACATCATGACATATGATTGAGTGAGCTAAGAATTTTCGAATTTTCTTTTTTTAATAACTTTTTTTTATTATTTGACAAAAACTGATTAAAATTAATTCTAGTGAAGGAGAAAGCATGAACTGCGGTGAAAATTTGCCAGATGTTGTAGCCAGTATGGAGATGCTTACTGTAGAAAGTGATGTTTCAGTCCCTAAATCAACGAGATATTCGATGAGGAAGCGTGTAAATCGTTCTACATCTTCAGAGATCCTTAATAGAAGGTTTTCTTCTTCTAGATCGATTTTTTGAGTAATTTTTTGTATAAAATTTCATTAACAATAAATGTAAATTTTCAAGGTGTAGTTTGAAGCCACAAAAGAGAAGTTATTCAGAAATGGATACTGATGGTAAAATACGAGACTATTATTTAGACAGAAGTTTGAAAAAAAAACCAACAACGACTTTGGAGACAATATATGAAGAAATAGACGGAATGAGTGAAAATTCAACTGTGATAAGTGCCAGAAAATTCAAAAGATTGATACAGTTTAGTAGTGATTCCAAATCTAGCGATGCAAAAATAAAAAAACGAAAAGCCAAAATAAAAAGAGTTTTTGGTTCAAAGTTTAAACTTAAATCTGGAAGCGTATCAATGCAAGCTTTAATTAAAAAACTAAGTGCTATCAAAGCTGATGCTATGTCCCCAACAAATTGAATTTCTTTAAATAATTCAACAGTAAATCATTTTTCTATCAAAATGTAAATAGGTATAAGTTTAATATTCAATAAGTAATTTTGTAATGATTTATAATTAAGTTCTTTATTTCTATCAATGCTAAGACTGAAAATGATTATTTGTAATTCGAGGTAAGAGAATGAAGTGTTTTTAAAACTTTTTATTCTTAATAAACAATGCTAATAGATTCAAATGCAAACTTTGTGGAAATTTAATTATATTCAAATGAACTCTTGGATCTTTAACCTGTGAATTTTAAAGTAAATGACTGTCGATCTATTCGATAGTATATTGGGATTTGATGTTATTTTCATTGACAATTAAAAAAAAACTTTATATCGCAAAAATGTGTACTTTATTAAATTATTGTAATATACAAATTTTTACAAATGAGATTCTAATTCTGTTTATCAACAAAATAAATCCATCACCAATGATTAAGTAGAAAATTTAAGTGTGCATACAAAATTTATAACAACAGTTTAACGATGAAATTATCAAAATAACTAACTTTTTACGATACATGTTGTTGCATCTGATGCACAGTCTTCATATTCTCGAAAGTTTGCTTTACCATGTAAGTAGTCCAGACTTTCTAAATTAACACAAGCACATCTTCTTTGTTGAGATGATGGATTTTCTAAAAATTGTCTCGGAACTCCTGTCCAATCTCTAGAAATTCCGCCACTAGAAGCAAAAAATATATTGAATATTTGTTAAAAAGTATGAATTTTTTAATAATTGTATATCGTAACATTATATTACATTTTGAGAGGATATTAATTTTAAGATACAATACTTTTTAGGATTATTTTGAGATTTACCTCAAAGATGAACACCAATATCTGGTACCTTGCTCTTTACTCCATTCAACATTACAGGGTGGAAATTTCTTATTCAATACTTCTTCAGCCGATTGTTCTTTTTGGGCTTCTTTTACTTTGCCTTCAAATACAAGCAGGTCTTTTTTTGGTTTTCCGTTTTCATCATAAAACCTACCGATTAACTTTCCTACAAAAATGAAATATATTAATAAGTATAAAATGTTAAATGTGCTCTCTCAACAACACGAAAATAAAATTTAATATGGAATAAATTATTAGAACATAATTATTTTACCTTTATAAATATACTTTTCGTGATAAGTTTTTAACCAATTATGTAAAGATGCGGCTTCAGAATTTTTTAGTGACGAGATATCATCAGTCAATCCGGCTTCAGTAAAGTCGCCGGTTAAAAATGCCATAGAGGCATCTCGACCTTGAAATAAGATTGTTGATAAAATAAAGTTTTTAAGGGACAACGTAAATTTAGTAATAAAATACCTGTAAAGGCGTGATACGTGGATCCTTTTTCATAATACTCTTTACCTTTAGAAACGTCAAAAACTTGACCCAAAATCGATAAATATAAACCGTCATCTATATTGTTAAATTTTGCTAATTCTTCACGACTAAATAATTTTTCTGTTGCTTCATTAAGCCTAGTATCTTTTTGTTTAACTTTTTCACCTTCATATAGTAAATAGGCACCCGAAAAATCACCTTCTATTAATTTATAAACAATTTCTCTGCTCCATTCATTTAAATACAACGACCAACAAATTGCTAAAATCACAGGAATCCACATTTTTAGTTTAGGAGCCATAATTGATTCCTTCTAAAAGAATTAAACCGTCAACATAAAATACTATGGGATTAATTATTAGTTTTCTAATAACTTTAACACTGTTTAACGCTTCATGAGATATGTGTGAAATCGTCTGATGTCTCTTCATGAGAAAGGTATCGAAGTTGGAGCGAGGTATTTGAAACACGTGGACACCACTCATGCCACAACAATAAAATTAAAATTTTAGTGGTTTTCTAATTATTTAGCATTCGTGTGTATATATATGTATGTAACCAACAAAGGTTAAATGAAAAAAACCAACAGATAATAAAATCGTTAAATATACTTATTATTTAATTTGGACTATTATATAATATAAGAATTCTACAACTCCATGAAAATAACTTCATTTATTGCTGTAGTTATTTTTTATTTTTCCCTTTTGTTCAAAAATATTTTTTAAAAATTAAATCAATATGTTATAATGATTATGAAAATTAGATTATAAAAAATATTTGAATACTAAATTAAATATCTTATTCCATGCTTGCATCAAACTCAAATAATATTTTGGATATTCTTAATATTAAATTGTTATACAATAATATTTTTATGTTTATATTCTTATTATATTATTTCATAAACTTACATCAAAATTTGAAATTCAATCAAAAATCAATTCATATTCTTTCTTTAAGTATCAATAAAAGAGATAGAAATTGATGATAATAATGATAGTAATAACAATTACATGATCTCATCTTATTAAATAATATCATACTCACATACAAATAGAATTACACAAACTCAGCAAATTTTCAGAGTCATAATGATTAATGTGATAAACAAAAATGATTGATTTGCTTATTAATCTATTTTATTACTATGATTTCATTCTTGATTTTTTAACGTAGTTGTACGTGTATGTTTATCACAATTATCCAAAAATAAATATACATACGTATTTAAATTTATTTCATTTACTTTTTTATTTTATCGACACCGGTGTCGTCATCTTTCTCAATACTTTCGGTAAAGTAATGTAGCATGATCAGTATGTTATACATTGAATAACAAATGAATAAATAAATATTTTTCCGATCATTCCTAATAAGTAATTGTCCTTAATGTTTTAAATGAAAATGTAATAAAACAAGTTTATTTTTTCAAAATTTTAAATTAAAAACTATTAAACTTGCCAAGAGTTGAAAATGCGATATGATGAATAATGGTAACAATAAAATACTCTTTTTCATCAATTTCGATAAATAAATTACTAATTGAAATACATTGACACACACTAAAGCCAATATTCTTTTTATAGCAAAATGAAAAATACTACTCGGCAAAAATTTATAATTAGCACGATCTATAACCGCACCATTCATCAGATCTTTCCTTCAGAGATTTTATTACTGGAGTCAAGACAATTATCATTATTATTAATGGCGATTTTGTTGTTAGCATCTTTATTATTTTTTTTCAGTAATTTTTCATCAATATTGCTATCATTTCCATCACCATTTTTATGATTAGTGACTTCAGTAATTTTTGAAAACATACAATAATTGATTTTTTTCTCACAGCCACAATTTTTATCATTATTACCATTTAATTTACGAATACCCGTAATACCATTGACCTTATTTATTGTTTTTTGTGAAACATCAGTATCCAAATTTTCACAAGATTTGTCTCGCTTTTTATCAGTTGTTCTTGTAGTAATAGGTCGTAGAATACTATCGTTACTATCACCATCTTCTCCATTGGCCATTCCTGTAATTCATTTTAATCTTTAAGTGTTTTGTAAAAATTTTGCATTTTAGCACATATTATAATAATAAAAAAAATGTAATGTACATTGTATTGTTTGTAATAGTTATTGACATATTATAATATATATTAATCATACATGCCTTGTAAATAATAACAGTATTTACTGCCAATGACATTCCATTCTTCCCGCAAGCTTAAATTGAACATACTGTAGTCTGGATTGCCAGTCACATCCTTTTCGATGGATAAGAAATTTGGTAGAATACTCTTGAGATTGTCGCCTGTTAATGCTGTGTAAGTCTCTAGCAATAAAAGTCCTCGACATCTACAATATAATAGTAGTATCAATGAAATATGAACAAATAAATGTGCAAAAAGCTTGAATATTAGCAATGTACACATCGATTAATTTGATTTTGAGTTTAGGAAGAATAAACTCAAAAACATTATCTAAATGGAAGGCAATAACACATTAACCTTCTATACTCTATACTTCTAATTCCATGTCAATTAAATACTTAATGATTTTATAGCTTGTGATTATTTGCTTTTTTATTAAATTTTTATAATAAAAAACTAAAATTTTTGTTTGATTGTACATCAACATTCAGGCTTTTATTCTAATAGAAAACTATTATTTTGAGAGAAACAAATATTAAAATAAATAAAATAATACCGTGGATGTCCTGGTTCTCGGTAAATATCTAATTGAAAATACTGATTATTAATTAAAAAACATCGTCTGCGCTTAAATATGGTAAAATGCGCATCATCTCGTTGAGCAAGCATGTTCAAGTAATCTCGATGAGTAAGTTGTGTCTTGACCTCCACAACTTGGCCGCAAATTTTAGGTCTTCTAATAGTGTGGATGTACGACCAATGACCTTAAAAATAGCAAATTTAGAGTCTCTACCAAAACAAAAGACAAATTTCATATTTACGTAAAAAATTAAATAAATTTTTTAAGAATATACTGCATTGTTGCTTACCCTTTTGCCCACGTTTTCGTAACCGGGCTTGCATGCTTGGTGTTCTTGTCTGCAGATAATTGTGTACAACATCAAAATCTTGATAAGGTGGAAATTCGCTATCTGGTGGCAATGGGCCTTTAACGAGAAATTTAACCTTTCGACTACTTGCACGTAATCGATCACCCGTATCAATACCAAGCTTTTGGCAAACACATTCAATCATGCGACAAATTTTGGACTCAAAATCTTGAGAATTGTCAATGACATCAAAATAGGGATGACCAATCCAAGCAGCTGCTGCTTTGTAATCTAATTCTCGTGCCAATTCTACTCCTTCTGAACGACAAGCATGTTCCTCTGTTGAATAAAAGTCTTCAGCACCATTAGCAGCAGACACCATATGAATTATTTGATTGTATCGATTATCTCGAAGTTCTACATTATTCCAACCATTTGTGGCTAACATTAAATCCCATTTTTCTTTTGGTATAACTGTGAATAGATGATAAACTGATATTATTACTACTATCTACAATTGAGTATCAAATTATTGCATAATGTGCGTGTTCTATAGTTGAAGTATTAAACATTAAAAATTACATAACTATACGATAAATATTAAATACATGTCATTTGAGTAAAAGTATAGCAGTTTTTTCTACTTTTATCGTTAAAAATCGAAAAATATTTTCCTACCAGTTCATGAATTCATTCATTCATTTCAATATACGAATAATACATTAAAGTGACCTAATTCTAATTATTGCCATTTTTATGAACAATTTGTTTTCGAGTTGTAATAGGACAAGACTAGTTAGAAACAGAATGAAACTAGTTTCTATCTGTTTAGGTCATTTTATATTAACCCTAGTTTGCAGAATAATTTTACTGCTATACGATATTGAAAGAAATTAATTATTTTTTAAAGATAATTCGCCTTTTCAAAAATAAAAGTATCTAATTTTTAATGGTTATGAGATTAACTTTAATTTTTAATCAGATGTTTATGTGATTAGCTACGAATATAATATTATGCAAATTTTATTTACATGCTGATGCGTCCATAGCTCCACGATCACAAATGATCAGACAGTTTCTTTTGCAGCTTTCACCCAATGTGAAGAAAGTATTCTCAATTTGTATCATGGTTTTTAGCAGATTTTCTTGAAATTTGAATCCTTTAATCATAGAAAATTGTAACAATGTTATTGATTATCAAATAATAGTAATTTCATTTTTTATAAATAATATAAATTTTATCTTATCGGAACCACAGCTTTTATATTAAATATAATGAAGCCAAAGAATCCTTGCAAGTGATTATTGTCGTTAATACGTGATTCATTGACGATTACATATCTACTTATTTATAATAAGATTTTAAATAAGCCAATTGTAAGACACGTGAAAGTTACTATCACGTGCGCAACTTTCGATGATAAATTTATGTATAATGTATATACATTTACATATATCTATATATGTAATCTATTTATATTTATAATACTATTAGTTTTCTATAAGTACTTAAAACCCCGATATCATTATGTATTTATTGGTTTATTTGTTTAAATAACTTACTATCTTCATCTGTGAGATCAGAAAACTTGATACCGCCACTGAAATTAAAAATATGAAATATTAAAATTAATGTCATCAAAATGTGGGAATTATCTTCACAGAACGAAACAAAATTACTTTACAGAAAGAAAAATAAAAATATAACTTTTTATACTTATTTCAACTTAGAGAATAAAAAATAAAATATAAATGATAACATTATCTAAAGTATAACCGTGGTAAGAAGTAACATATATACTATTTGTAATAGAATTGGCATATTTGAAATTATTTAAAATAATAGAAAAATATTCTTTACATTTGATTTTTATTATCAGTCGAAGATGCGTTATTGGTTAAATTCATGATAGCATACCTGAGCAGGACAGTCGCTGTCTCGGGAACACGGAATACCTGAAACGGAATAAGACAGCTACCTGCACTCTATTCGCATTTACCACCACAATAATACATGATAAATATATGGTGCAAAAGCAAATAATAATTTCCTTTTGTACATCATTTCGTTTGAAAAAAATTACTTTTTCTTGTTAAAGAAATCATTACATTTGCAATTATCAATTGCTGTGTATTTTATCAATTTTTTTAATCGGACAGACAATGACTTCAATGTAATTTAAATTTATTTCCACGAAATTGAATTATTGTGATGTATATACTTGCGTATATATACATACACATTATACTTTAATTCAAGTAATCATCTTTAAAAAATCCACTAAATTGGATTAATAAAAAAAAGTATTGTTTACTGAATGAAGTGTACTAATTTTATATTTTAATATGCTATATGAAATACTTATAAAGCAATAAAAATGTGTAAATATTGGAAAACTTCTCACCTTCCATCCCATATTTTCAAAAAACGTGCAGAGGCGTGTCTGACCTGTGGTTTTTCCTCCACATGGCCCTAAAATAGATACAAGATTTATTTAATAAATAAAACATCAATATAAAAACACTTAGTTATGTCAACAATAATAATTATAGCATTGAGTTGAGTAAATGATTAGTTCCAAAAATATGAGTTACTATTTTAAAAATCTAAGGTTTTCAATATATATAAAATAATGGAATTGTTTTTTATCTGCGGTTCTAACCTGATTGTTATTAATACTTAGATAGATCAATATAAAAATGATTTTACCTCCAGTAAGCACGACCTTGTAAACCCTTTTCTGCTCCATTTCTGCTTATTTTTACTATAAATAACTCGATTGATCACTTCAGCACAAATTTATACATAGGAAAAGTCTATGGACCTCACGTTACTGTTATTTTTGTTGTACTGTTGCAGTTGATGTACATAATAATAACAACGACAATATAAATTAATTTGTAATTATAAATTATAAATTATAAATTAACGGTGATATTGGAGTTACAATAAATTGATTTCAATTTCATCGATTTAACAACGTTTGTCTAATTTACTTTTTCTCGTCACTGTTGGAAAATTTTAGACATTTTCAATGCTTAGTTGTCGTCGTCAAGCGTGCCGTAATGAATATAAACGTATTCGTATGTATTCTCACGATGAGATTGCACATGTTCGACTCTCTTAAAAGATACTCTTTCTGATGAAACCTTATATCTAATAACAAGACACGTATACAGATTATCGTATACCACGAATATGACGATAATACACAGTCGACTAATACATTTTTTAACTTCTCCTTCATCCCTTCCTTTCTACGATACTTTGTCCTCTAAATGTGATCAACCAATAAGAATAAACATGCGCAAATTAATACACGATAGTGAAAGACATGTGACAAGAATACCTAACCCTACCTTATGAAATGGCTAATGCTATAGTTCGTATTAAGATCTTCAAAGTCATCATTATTATTTTTAGGAAATACCTTAATAAATAAATAAATTGTTTAATATATAATTAATTTATTTTGCTTAATTTTTTAATAACTAATTAGCTTATTTTTTTTTAATTTGCAAAAAACACAAAATTCTTCGTCTTTTCTAGTGCGCATTTTCTTGCGCAGATCTATTTTGAATGGTTGGTTACTTTGTGAGGGGATACTATAAGATGTGTGGGGTAAAATGATGAAAATATGTGATATGTACAAATTTAACTTAATTTTCAAAATTCTTCTTTAGATACTATTGTATTCTGCAATTCCTAAGATTTATGACAATACGTCAATCTCTCGTTTATGTGTAAGTTTAAATACATGCACATATCTGCACTACTAGATACTCTAAACTCTTTTAATGTAATAGAGCTGACGAGCCAAAAAAACATTTCTGGGATGATGTTCAATGGCATAAATATTTATATATTTATGTAAAAAATATTCTTTATGCAATATAGATATTGAATAATGCGTCGAAGTAATTTGATTATAAGAATGCATAATTAATGATTTTAGTAAAATTAAAAATATTTAAAATTGGTTTAGATATAAAAAGTTGACAGGAAATTTTATCATCAAGTCAACAATAAAATATAAAGTGTTTTCAATTTGTTAGTAGAATGATTTTTAGTTATATATTTTTCTAGATATTTCACCGAGTAGCTGAGTAATTGATAGTTTTAATACGTTGAAGAAATTATTGGAACATTGGAAAATAGATGATCATTAAATAGTCATTAGTATGTGAAAAAATTAACTTATTCATTCTATCATTCAATGATTGATAACACAAATGTATCTGAATAAGAACTGGCACAATGACATTTAAATAAACTTATACAAAATAATTTTACTTTTAAACAGGAAATATGATCTGTTTACCATTATTCTATTATTTAATGGCACATAATTTCATTTTAATTCAATAATAATTCAAAAATAAATCACTTAATAGTAATTTTGTGGGCTGGTACATTTATTTCATCTTATTGCCATTTAAGAAGCTAAAAATATACATCAGTTACTGGTTATTTATTTTTATTGATTTTATATATTTATCCTATTTATTGAAATAGCAGTTTCAAAATATAATAAATTCACATCTAACTAAATAAACATTATTCTATTCCTCAACTTTGAATAATTTTTATATATAGTTTCAGAATCACAGTATTATAATTTAATAATTAATTTTAAAGAATAATGAGTTAATTTATCACATTATATAGTTTATTATATCAACTGTAAAGCCAATTATTATAAATAAACAATAAAACTAGAAACACAATTCATTCAACTTATGTTAATAATTATGCATTTTTCAATATATTTATTGAAATTCACTATAAAAAAATATACCATAATATTGAAAAATGAATATCGCTGTAAAGGTTTTGTTGAAAAGTAAAACAGTAAATAATCATGAAATGAACAAATGCGTCATTTAGTTTTCGAAACCTAAGCGTTTTATGAATTTTAAAGGTATTCCGATATTTATTAATTCATCTCGTGTTTTATCTTTCCACGAATCTTTATAATAGTAACTTATTGCATCCCAACATATTTCAGTAAGTTTTGGTATAACCAACCAAACAGAATGAACTGCTGATGTTCTTGAGCTCTGAAAAATAAATAAGTTTTAATTACAAAGAAAATAAAACGATTATATTTATATATTTAATAAATATTTACATCAAAGTGTGATCCACATTGGTTAATTCCTCCAAAAGTATACATGCGACCAGCTGGTGTAACAGCTGCTGAATGAAAATATACTGGTCTTGGCAAAACAGTATTAAATTTTTTGAGACATGTCCATTGTAGTCGTTTCAAGTTAAGCTTCCAAACGTCATCGTATACATGAATACCAGTATATCCGCCTGATATGATGACGTTTATTTCACCTGTTGCTGGATCCGTATACTGTACAGACCCATGTGACCGTCGTGGACCAGGAATCCATGGATTATTATTTAGGTCACCGTATGTTTGAAGACAAAGCCATCTATTTTTTTCTAGGTCAAAAGCTGGAATATCCTATAAAGAAAATTATTTTCGATAATTGATATTTATAATCGTTTTCAATTTCTGAGCTTAGAAAGTTTGTGATCCAAAGTAGCAGAATCTCATTACTTTTATGATAAGTTGAAGTATAAAATAATAATTACCGTAAAGCCAAAACATTCTAATGATGTACCACCTCCTAGAAGATAAATCATCTTTCCATCGTAAGCTAATTCATGTCTATATCTTCCACCAGGTTCTGTAATATCTCTACCTGAGCATATGTACACACTTTCCCATACTCCAGTTCTTAAATCAATCCTATGTATATCACAACTATATTCAAATCCAGTAGTTCCCCCAACAGTGTAGAGGTAAGGGCCATGGCAAACAAGTGCTTGTCCATAGTGAGGATCTGGTAACGTTCCTCTTACGTTGAGTAACTCAACATTACCAGTATCTAAATCACACACGTACAATTGATTATTGCAACTTTCACCAAATGGTGCAGCAGTACCACCGTGAATTAATAGTTTCCCAGAACGTAAAATAACAGCAGTTGATGCTAGTTCATTAGGTAAATTTTCACGTCCTGGTAAAAGTGTCCATTTTTCTGTTGTTAAATTAAACCTCCACAATTCTTTAAATAATGGTCGACTTTCTTGCCAAATTTTATCATCAACTAGCACACGATCATCGTCAGGAACCCACGGGTTGTAGCCACCATAAGAATAAAGATATCTTTCATCACACACTATTCTATGGCCACTTCTAGCTCTTGGAGTTTGTTTATCTATTGACGATGATTCTGAATCGTGTTTTACGAAAACAAATGGCTTGAATTTGTACATTTTTGAATTATTAAGGTTATAATAAAATTTTTTAAGCTTTATGTACACACGTGAATATTGATACAATCAACATTTATACATTTTAATTTACGTCATGTTAACAATTAATAAAATACCACTCATTCATTTTTCTTATTATTACTTCTTTTTTTCGTTTACAATATACAGTATTATAATATATATACATGTTTACTTATTATGGTTAATGATTTCTGAGAAGTAAAGAAAAAAGCACATGATAGATTGAATAATAATCATAGTAATTGTATTTCACCATTTTTTAAAAACTTTATAACAGACAATATAATCGTGCACATATGTACAAAGTTATTTTTTTAAAAAATAGACTCACTATCGTGTATTTTTTCTTCGAACTATATATTCACTTTAAATCTGGAAATTTGTAGTCAGTTTTTTAGTTTATCAGCTGATTTAATGCGTACACATGTAATATTTGCACCATTTTACATAACACTTGAAGAATTTACATATATGTACATGAATACATTTACATTTGGACACATATAACAAAGTAAAATACTTGTGCACATTTTTGTTATTTAGATAGCCATGGATTAAAAAGTAGTGTGATAAAATCTTTATTTGAAAGAGTAAAAATAAGTTACCATCTGTTGGACAGAGTAACAATGTTGTTTACTACCGTAAGAAAAGTACAATCATGAATTTTTAAATTGTTTTTTAATGTAATAAATTAATTTTTAAAATTAAATATTTTTTTAGTAATATTATGCATTTTTTTACGAGTACTAAAATTCCAATAATGAACTATCTAATGAATCAGATTTCGGAGCAAAACAATGAAGAATGTATTTTGGAGTTAATTATAATCGATTATAGCTTGAGAAATATTGTAGTTGGAATCTTTACATGAAGCTACCTTAGAAATCAGTAAAATACATTCGATATCCTCTTACACATTATTTATTTTATGCCGTGGTGAATTGTTATACATATTCCAGTTGTCAATCCTAGTTTTTAGAATATTCACGTAAAAAATCGACAGGTTGACATAAGGAGACTAACAGAATCATATAGTTACATTAAATACTGAAGCAGCAGCAAAATTATCAATTGGGATAATAAACAAAATGAAGATGGCTGATGGTTCAACAATATTAAGAAGAAATAGGCCAGGAACATCGGCTAAAGTTAGTATATATTCATAGTGTTGCAAAAATGTTTAATTTAATCTTTATTGAATTTTGCTTTTTAAATATGTATTGTTTATGATACAGCTCAAGTTAATTTTTTACTTGTATATGCTTATACTTTGATGATAAATTTATTCTTGGTTGAGCTTCTTGTTGGACAGCTCGTCAATTTTATCTCTAGCATGATCAGTATATGTGTGGTTATAATTAGATGTTCATTGACTGTTAAATCCATAATTATACTTATTTCTAATTAATAGGATTTTTGCCGGTGGCCTGATGAATCCTTTGAAGAAATGGACAGTACGTTAGCAGTTCAACAATATATACAACAAACAATTCGACGAGATCCAACTAATATTGATTCTATTCTAAACATGCCTGAATTTCAAGATGAAGGTGTGTGGAAATATGAACATCTTCGACAATTTTGTATGGAGTTGAATGGATTAGCAGTTCGATTACAAGAGGACTGTGATCCTCAGTCTTGTACACAGATGACTGCCACTGAACAATGGATATTCCTCTGTGCTGCACATAAAACTCCAAAAGAGTGCCCTGCCATTGATTACACGAGACATACTCTCGATGGCGCGGCTTGTTTGCTTAATAGTAATAAATATTTTCCTAGTAGAGTTAGTATCAAAGAATCTTCTGTTGCTAAATTGGGATCTGTTTGTCGTCGTGTCTACAGAATTTTTTCTCATGCGTATTTTCATCATTTAAATATTTTTGAGCCATTTGAACACGAGACTTTCCTTTGTCGAAGGTAAATAATATTTTAATATTTTTTATTTTTACTTCAGTAAATATTTTTTATTTTATTAAAAAAATTAATATAATATCTTTATTATAGATTTACAGCATTTGTAACCAAATATAAATTGATGTCAAAAGATAATCTGATTGTGCCAATAATCAAAGAAGATGGCAGTGCTATAACAACCATTACCAGTACAACTATGACCACTGGTAGTGCTATTACGATTGCTGCGACTATTCCTAATACAACTGTTACTACTTCAGTTGTTGCTGCTGCTACTATAACTACTATTACAACTAATCCAAGCACTACTAATGTAACTACTACTGCAACTGCTCCCGCTACTACCAATATCACTACTGCCAATACTCCAGCTCCTGTTCCAGCTGTTGCAATTCCTCCTAATAATACTACAGAAAGCGAGGCATAAATATTGAAGACGTGCAGGGATTTTGTTAATTTACATATGATTCATATAAACTGTGAATTAAATTTGTAGGAGAGATAATGACGTTGCAGAAAATATTTCTGACATCAAAATAATAGTCAATGAGTGCAGTGTGATTGCAAGATATATTAAATAATGACTCATCAATTTACAATTTAAAGGATCCACTCTTTATCGAAATTTTTTAATGTATAATAAATATAAAATATCTAATCATATGATTTTCTTAAACGTAAGTTGTGTGTATGTAGATATGTATGTGAGTAGGTGTGTAAAATTAGTAAACAGAAGTTTTAATATAAAATAAAACAGTAAAAATAGGAACGAGTGTCACTAAGTTATTGATGATACGATTAATTTTACACATACAATGATATTTAAACAATTGACTTTTTTTATACTGTTTATTTACATTCGATGTATTAATGGCATTTCAATGAAGTATTAAAAATACAAGGGAGAAAAATTGCCACTAAACAAATATCTTAGTTGAAAATAAAATTTATAAAATAATTAGTTACTCTCAGAGAACACCTTTTACTATAACTTTTAAATTATTGTGAACATCGTACTCATGTATAGAGTAGTTATAATTGAATAATTCTACTAAATTTATGAAGTTATGATTAGATATTTATGTACCCTTAAATAGAGAATAAACTTTTTTAATTAATTTTTTTTACATAAATTTCTTTATTTGTTACTTAAATAATGAATTTTCAATGCTTCATTATTTTAATACTCGATTTATTCAGCCTTGGATTTTTTTTTAAGAGCTTTTTTTGATAATAAGATATTTATTTCAGCAACTTGTTTTTGATCTTCCAGTTGTGTATCTCCATATCCACTAAAATAATTAATTAATGAAATTATACATATAATAATAAAAACAAAAAAATTGTTGAATTATACTTACTTTCTGAATCGTAGTTTCGTTAGTTGATGTAATCCAGGATTTTTTCTTTTGAATATTTCAACGCAAGTTATTATTTTATTTATGCCTCCTTTTCCACAACCGGTCCATAATATGTTATCAAATTTAGGAAATTCTTTTAAAGCATATCTCAGTACATTCCTCAATTTAGTTCCATTATTAACTTTCATCTTCAAATATTTTTTTGTAGTTAAAGGTAATTTCCCAAATATTGTATGTAATTCTTCAATTGCAACGTCTTCATCAGCTTGTTTTCTAAATTTAGATTTTACTCGTGTCATCTGCAATAATTGTAATTTATGTATTAAAAGAAATACAATAAATTTTTTTTCAATTAGAGCAAATTTATATAATAAATAATAGCAATATTTTTAATAAATCAAAAGATGAATCTGAATTAAAATTAGTTGAAGTCATTGATATTTTTTGTTAATCAAAACTACAAGAACTCTGAAGAATTTCAAGCTATGTCATAAACATTTTATGGTTCTAAAATTGAACTTGGAGTATTTAAGTCATGCGAAAAAATTTTTCAGGTCAAAGTTATGCTATAAGTTCAATGTAGCTTTAGATCACTAAGAAATGGGATCATTCAACACATTCCAGTCACGTTTGAGGACATTCCGACATTAAAATTTCATTGAGAGCTACATGAAAATACTAGAATACTATAGAGTAAATATTTTCATTCTTAACGACTCAATAGACCATTACACTTAAATATTTATAATGATAAACAAATATATATAAAAATTTTTATGGTTCTTTTGCAATAATATTATTTATTGAAGCGATCGATAATTGATTGAGCAGTGGACAAAGATTTGAAAATAAAAGATGCGGAGGAGTGTAGTACATTAAAATACAGAAGAGAGAACAGAAGAAAAAGAAGGAAAGAAAAAAGATTATATATCGCCTTCAATAATTTTCAATCAACATTCGGTGATAGGAATATAGATATACATCTTCCAAGTGTTGACAGACGACAATCCAATGAAGCCATGAACGTATAGGATGAATATAGTGAGCAGTAGTATGCGGCATAGCAGGAATAGCACTACAACGAAGCTTTAACGTCATATTGCATTATTAAACGATTTCCCCCTCGTATCATGGTGGTGACCCTGCATTCCAGCATTATGAAATTTTTTTTTAATACCTATTAAGTACGTCATTTCACGTACGCTTGAGTAACTCACTGAATGAATCACATTATAGACTAGGGTGTAATTCAAAAATTTCATTTTAAATTTCATTATTCAATAGTACAATGATTACAATATATTACTTATTTCACATTCAATTAAACATCATTATTATTCTGTTTAGTAATAATAGCTAAGGTTATGTAAAAAAAGGATAAGATATTTGCTACACCTACTAAAAAAGCTAATTTTATAATCAATTAAAAATAATAATAATATTAACATAATCATTGTGGAAATATTAATTATGAATCGAACTTGCATCTGAAGATGTATGAAAACTCGAATAATTTAAATTCATAGATTATTATGATATGAAATAGTAAATTATTTTGTTTTAATTATGTACGTAATCATTGAACATCAATGCATATTTTTTTAATAAGAAAACTGCAATTATCAGTAAATCTAGACAACTAGCTATTTATAATGAAAAGATGATTCTATTTTTTTTCCAATTTCTGTTCGTGACAACTGTTTAATAAAATGATATCACTTTTGATTACAACCATGCTCACTTCAGCAGACCACGCAGTGTGCAAAATAAACGTCCAATTTACTCAAGTAGTTTGTGAATTATTGTATATAATAAGATATAAATGAATTCAATCTTATTAAAAAGCGGCAGATAAATGATTTATATTATTCTAATGATAATTTTCTTTTAAAATAATGTATAATTTTATTTACCATTTTTGAAAATTAATAGAAAAATCAAAAAGATATTCATCATCGAGTTATAATAAGATATTACATCAATAAAAAAAGTTTTATTTTTATAATTATTTATTTAATGCTTGTTTTATTATTTAAAAGAACTTCAAATGGAGTGTATTATAATATTAACAATCCCCCTTGTAAGAAGATAATATATTCTTAGACACAATAAACTCTTCTTCTCAAGTACCATAATATCAATGATTTTTTTACTTTTTATAAAAAAAATTAAAAATTCATTATTATCTAATAGTATTAATTTATTCATGAATATAGATTATATGGAATAAAAAAATTATAGGATTTTTATGATTTCTTCTGAGTGAATGTAATCATAATTGTGATGCTGTCATTGGGCTTTATAATTTCTCTTATATGTGACATATCCATACATAATATTTCAGTTGGTGAATTGAGAAGAGTACAAATACAAAAGGCAAAATAATAAGGGAGAAATCTAGTTCTGATATGGTCTCGATTCACCCCAAAAGAACGCTTGCGCATGAAGAAGAAATCGACAAAGATGATGGTGTCTTATTGCTGATTTTTGACTACTGCCGGGTCCCTTTAAGACAACTCAGTTCTCACCAAGTTCTCCTTAATGCACCTTTGTGTCTATTGATACCATTCCGTATTATATAAAAGCAGCAGGTAAAAACTTTTCTTGTGTTCCAAGTTATCATAGAATCATATTTAATTCTTTATTTATTTATATAAATTTTTTCGGTAATTTCAATTTCTTTTTATTTTTAAAATAATTAATTGTGATAATTATCAATATCTTGTAGTGCAAGTTTTCAAAATCAGCTTCTTTTCAACATGAGTTAAAAAATAAGAAAGTGACAAGCAACAAGTTGCATCTCAACCATCAAATAATTATTTTTTATCAATTTATTTAGGGAAAAATAAATTATAAATAGAAGTCATGGATGTAGATGAGTTCCGAGTTCGTGGTAAAGAGATGGTGGAATACATTTGCGATTTCATAAATAATATTCATAATAGAAGAGTTACTCCAGATGTTGGTCCTGGGTATCTTCGACCTCTTCTACCATCTGAAGCACCTATCGATGGAGAACCTTGGGAGGATATCATGAACGATGTGGAGAGTAAGATAATGCCAGGAGTGAGTGTGTGATTGATGATATTTAATCTTAATCAAGTTAGATCATTTTCATCAAATAGGCTATAAAAAAAAGGACCAGGATTGACTTCGATATGAATCAAATCAATAATCCCTTCATCACATTACAGATTACTCACTGGCAGCATCCGCGTTTTCATGCTTACTTTCCGGCCGGTAATTCCTTTCCATCAATTCTTGGTGACATGTTATCAGATGCCATTGGATGTATTGGGTTTTCTTGGGTAAGAAGAAAATAGAATTTGTTTTATATCCTTTATTATAGTCCAATCTTTCAATTCGACTATTGTTTCTTTTTTATTCATAATTAGTAGTGATATGGTTATTTTTGAATCTTTCTTGATTGATAATTTAATTACGAAATTAAACAGTCATCTAGTCTTTATTAAAATATTCACCTTATTGAAAATACGGTGAGAAAAAGCATCGAGTAATTTTCTAATTATAAAATCGAAGTAATTTTTTTTGTTCGAATTGTAAAATTACTATAAAAAATCTTATTAAAATTTGAATTAAAAAAACTTAAGTTAAGTTTTTTTTTATTACTGAGACTGACAGTGAGAATTAACAGCCAAAAACGTCTGATCAAGCATTGATCATTTCACTTATCAAAGTTCAAATAAACTTCATGAATTAACATATGATTATTCCTAAGGAGATAAATGTATTTCATTATAGATGTTATAATAAAATTCAAAAACAAAGTAATTTTTAATGAACCTTTGAAAGTTTGTAACAATCGATTAAATAAATATTGTAATTTTGCAATAACAACTTATGCATTTCATGACTAATAGAATTATTTAATTGATTGATAAAATCGATAATTATATGATTTTATAATTTATATTGGGTGTAAATGAAAGGTGAGATAGTCTTATGTATAAAATCAATAATATTGAATGCATAAATATTTAATTAAGGAGTTAATAAAAAAAATGGAAAAGTACACAATATCATAAAAACTTTTTATCATGATCATTTTCAACATAGTTTGCTTTTATTCTAGGCAGCAAGTCCAGCTTGTACAGAGTTAGAAACAATTGTTTGTGATTGGTTTGGTAAATCTTTAAAATTTATTATTAATTAATTTCCAATAATTTGCAATTACGTTAACGAGTTATATTACAGGAAAAGCAATGAATCTACCGAAAGATTTCCTATACTTCAGTCCTGGCAGCACTGGTGGTGGTGTTATACAAGTAAGTAAGTTATTTTTTGCCTGCTCATTTACTTTTATAATTTTTCTCATCATCATAGTCATCTTTATAATAATTGTTAAAAAATCAACAATAATTGTATACTATTTGAATAATATATAAACGTCAATTATATTTGATTCATTAATATTCTTTTTTCTCTTAGGGTTCTGCTTCAGAATGTGTTCTAGTATGTATGCTTGCAGCACGGGCACAAGCGATTGCTCGACTTAAAGAAAATCCAGAATATGCTAAAGTTGATGAAATAACTTTGTTGGGAAAACTAATGGCTTACTGCAGTCGTGAATCTCACAGTTGTGCTGAAAAGGATGCTATGATATGCTTTGTGAAGCTCAGAATTTTAGAGCCAGATGAAAACAGTGTTCTTAGAGGTGAAACTTTAAGACAAGCGATTGAGGATGATATTGCAATAGGAAAGATTCCGTTCTTTGTTTCAACAACTTTTGGGACAACTGCATGTTGTTCCTTCGATAATCTTGAAGAAATTGGTCCAGTTTGTAAAAAATATCCAGGAGTATGTAAATTATTTATATTTATTGTTTTGTCATAATTTCAAAACTTATTCATTTATTGGTAAAATATAGATTTGGCTTCACGTGGATGCTGCTTATGCTGGTAACGCATTTATCTGTCCTGAGCTAAGGTATTTAATGGCAGGAATCGAGTACGCAGACTCCTTCAATACAAATACCAATAAATTTCTTTTAACGAATTTTGATTGTTCGTGTCTTTGGGTACGAGATCGATTCAAACTCACGAGTGCTCTTGTTGTTGATCCTCTATACCTTCAACATACACATGCAGATACCGCAATTGATTACAGGCAAGTAGATTTATAATTAATTTTCTAATTTATAATGAATACCAAAATTAAAATCATTTTACTAATTAATATTATTTATCTCAGACATTGGAGCATTCCACTTAGTAGAAGGTTTAGATCTCTCAAACTCTGGTTTGTTATGAGAAATTATGGAATTAGTGGTCTTCAAACTTATATCCGGAACCATTGTAAATTAGCTAAAGAATTTGAGGCACTCGTGAGAAAAGATGACAGATTTGAAGTTTGTAATAATGTTGTGGTAATTATTTTTATATTATTAGATTGGTAATCATCATGAATAACGAAAAAAATTATCCATCAACGTAGAAAATATAGTATTTAAATCTAATTTATATATATTTATTTGTTCTCTAGTTAGGACTTGTTTGTTTTCGAGCCAAAGGGTCAGATAAACTTAACCAGAAACTCTTAAGTGTTATCAACGATTCTGGAAAAATTCACATGGTACCTGCTAAAGTGAATCACAAATTTACAATACGTTTTGCTTTAGCAGCTCCACATGCAACATCTGAAGATGTTTGTAAGTCATTTATGAACATAGTAATACAATAATGCTTTCATATGATTACTTTTATCAATTTTCTCATATCCATTTCTTCGAAATGACTACCTTTATAAAAATGAAAAATTTTTAATTTTATATTAGTGATCGCTTGGAATATTATAACAGAATTTCTATCTGAAATTCTCGAATCTAAAGAAGATGTGGACAAGCTTGCAGATATTAGAGAGAAAAAGAGAAAAGCAACCCTGGAACAAAGAAGATCTTTCTTCGTTCGTATGGTATCTGACCCAGCTATACAGCCAGGCTTTACTAAAACACCCAATCGACCAGAAGCTAAATTAGAAACTCAAGCTACAATTGGTGGCATTGGGTCTAATCCTCGTACAACGTAAATAAATTATTCATTGTTTTTAAGTGTTATATGAATTTAATTTGATTAGTTAATTAATATTTTTTTTAGGAAATCATGGATATCATGGCCTTTAGCTTATTTAATGTCTCGAGAATCTACAGATAATACTAGTGAAGTTGCTCTTCGGTAAGTTGTATATTTATTATTTTGATGGTAACATAGATTTATATAAAATCAACTGATTTCTTATCAAATTGTTTTAATAGATTTCGTCATTTGGACACAATGGTCCGGTTAAAAACATCATCAGGAAATAGCAGTCGAAGAGGAAGTAGTAATGATTGCAGCCCAGAACCTTTTTCACCTCTTTCTTCTCCTTCTCGTGGGAGATCACCAAATGGTCGAGTATAAAACATCTATGAAGAGATTTACTCAAGATTCAATTAATGAAAATAACTGATTCCTTTAGTCAACTTCAAAACATAATATATTACTATTACATATTATCATCGAAAATGATTGTTAAAGTCATGTTATACTGCCTTTGCAATAATGCAATAGGAATATGATGAAAGTAATAGTATAATTAAAAATGATAATGATAAAATTTAGAAAATAATTGTTAAGCCAAATAAATCAATATTAACAAAAGAAATAAATTTTGTTTGTTAAAATTATTTGTTATTCTTGTTTGACTTCAACTTTATCTAGATTTACTGTAAAAAATAATAAAGTTTTTCTTTTCAACACAGTTAGATCAATCAACTTAATTTTATAATTTAATTGACAATAATTTTTGAAGAAATTACCAGAAGCTCGAGTAATTTGTTTATCAAAGTTAATATTAACTTAAAGAGTAATTTTTACAAATAAAGCAACACGTGATAAAGTAAAAATGTGTATGTATTGTCACTTTCTTTTTTAATAATCGATTAATAATAACGTTTGGAATGAACATCCATAACTGAAGCAATTCATGCGGAAGCCGAGATCAAGCATGAAGTGTCGAGTTGTGTATGATACATGTGTGTATAAAGCTACTAATAAAATAATAACATTTCTATATTGTATTGCACATATTGATCAGTGACCCGTAGTCAAATGCTTCTTCATAAACGTGTGTTGTCAATCAATCTAGGTAAAGAGTAAGCGGCTATTAATAAACAACCAGGAGTTGGAGAAGGAAGAGGGGTATTATATCCCCTAACAACCCCTGGACCGATCATATAGTCTCTTTTTCCCTCATTCCTTCTCTCTTCCTCTGTTATATTTTCCTATAATTTACTTTCCATAGCTTTTAGTATTCGAACTGCCGCTCTTGAGTCTAGAAGAATTTTTCTGTTACAGCTTTAATCTTATCAAGTGAAAAGTCAGTAGTAAAGTAAATCATTTTCTATGGATTTACGAGGTTATTTATTAATTGAAATTAAAGTGCGAAAAATTTTTTAGTTATCTCTTTGCTTAATTATTCATATTAAAAAATACTTAAAACATACAAAAATTTCTCAAAGGTAGTCACTTCAATTAGTTAAAAATGATAAAAGTTTTAATCTACTGCCAATAGTGACTTATAATCGATTATGTATTTAATGTGGATGGTTTAATAAACATATTGAATTAACTTTAATCGAGAATTGATGTTTTTACTTGAATCCGTCGATTTTATTGAAAAATGTTTAGCGGTTTGCGATTTTAGTCACTTCTAATTGGTTAAAAACATAGGTAATAATATTTTATGAAACTATGATTTCAATTTTTTATGCACATCTCTTTGACTAATCAATGAAACTTTAAAAAATATTTTTCAGTAAGTTCTTGGAATAAAAATATTATCATTATATAATTTTTTATAAATTTCAGATAATAAAAATGAATATCGACGAATTTCGAGTTCGTGGTAAAGAGATGGTAGAATATATTTGTCAATATCTTTGGTCAATTGAATCAAGAAGAGTAACAGCAAACGTTGATCCAGGGTATTTGCGACCACTCTTACCCAAAGAAGCCCCTCTGAAGCCTGAATCATGGGATGAAATTATGAAAGACATAGAAAATAAAATAATGCCAGGTGTAAGTACCTCATTGTGACTAACACAAGATGCATGTTTGTATGTTTAAATTAAAGATATATACACTGTTCAAGCGGCTTTTTGTCGGGAGAAAAAAGTGGAAGATAAACTTTTTTCTGATTTCAAGTTGAATTGGTTAATAACTATAGAGGAAAATAAGTTATATTAAACCTTTTGAAAAAAACTGTTAGAAAAATTTTACTCAAACAAATGTTCACTTATAAAAAGCATGACATAAATACAATAACAATAAAGATAAAAGTTATACTTTTCTATTTTGACGGGATCATAATTAATATATATTAGTATTTGTACACGGGTAATGTTTTTAAATGATATTATGAATAATTTAAAACAATTTGTGATTTATGATATTAAATTTTAAAACACTTTAATCCTTTCAATGGATGCATTTTATTATATATATTTTTAAAGAAGTTATATTGAATATTTATATTTAAGCCCTTATAAGGGAATAAAAATAATACTGATCATCGATACAAGCATAATATTAATATTTGTAAATTTATTTAAGTATTTTTTTTTGAAATTTTTGAAATTAATAGTTGATAACATTTAATCACTAAATTAGTGATTGTTCCAATAAATTATTTTAACTTTTTTTCCAAAAAAATTGAATAGTGTATATTATTAAAATATCGATAAATGATTATTTATTAATAAAGAAATGATTGTAATCAGATAACTCATTGGCAACATCCACGTTTCCATGCTTATTTTCCTTCTGGCAACTCATTTCCATCAATACTTGGAGACATGCTCTCAGATGCAATAGGATGTATTGGCTTTTCTTGGGCAGCAAGTCCAGCATGTACCGAATTGGAAACAATAGTTTTAGATTGGTATGCAAAAGCGATCAATTTACCAAAGATATTTTTATCAGAACATGAAAACTCCAAAGGTGGAGGAGTAATTCAGGGGTCAGCATCTGAATGTATTCTTGTTACAATGCTAGCAGCAAGAACTCAAGCGATAAATTTATTAAAAAAGCAGGATCCGTCTACTGAAGATTCAGCATTTTTACCCAGACTTGTAGCTTATTGCTCAACAGAGTCACATTCATGTGTAGAAAAAGCTGCTATGATTTGCTTGGTAAAATTACGAGTCCTTGCACCTGACGATCGATGTTGCCTACGTGGTAGTACTCTTGAAATAGCAATTAAGGATGACATTAAAAGAGGTCTGGTGCCCTTTTTTGTATCGACAACACTCGGATCAACTGGATGTTGCTCCTTTGATAATCTCGTCGAGATTGGAGCGGTTTGTAAAACTAAACTTAACTCAGCTGCTACTGTTACCAATACAGTGGGAGGAATATGGCTTCACGTTGATGGAGCATATGGTGGTAATGCATTTATTTGTCCAGAATTGAGACCTCTTATGGCTGGTATTGAATATGCTGATTCATTTAATACCAACCCCAACAAATGGCTTTTGGTCAACTTTGATTGTTCTTGTCTTTGGGTACGTGATCGGCTTAAACTTACATCAGCTTTGGTAGTAGATCCTCTTTATCTTCAACATGCCAACTCCAATGAGTCTATTGACTACCGTCATTGGGGCATTCCATTGAGTAGAAGATTTCGGGCTTTAAAACTCTGGTTTGTTATGCGTAGTTACGGAATTATTGGACTACAAAAATATATTAGAAATCATATAAGACTAGCAAAAAAATTCGAAGCTTTGATGAAAAAAAATAAAAGATTTGAAGTTCTTAATGAAGTAAAGGTTGGTTTGGTCTGTTTTAGACTCAAAGGAAGTGATGAATTAAATCAAGAGCTTCTTGCAAACATCAATGCATCAGGAAAAATTCATATGATACCATCAAGAATGATGGGTCAATATGTTATCAGATTTTGTGTCACTAGAGAAAATGCCACCGAAGATGATATTGAGTATGCAGCTCAAGTGATTGAACAACACGCTACTGAAGTGCTCCTGACGCATTACGAATTGTCAGGGGAACCTGCATCGTCACCTGATGTAATTGAATTGATGGCTAAAAGCCCGAAGAGTCCAGCTCCATTGGATAAAAAACTCGTTAGGAAATTCAGTTTTACTCGAAGTGTCACTAGAGATGCTTATAGACGAGCTAAGTCTAAAACAGCTCTACATGATGGTGCGACACCAATTATGGTTGTTGAAGATAATATTAAATCTCAAACTGACCATCATGACAATAACCAAGATGATGATTTAATCTGTAATAATCGGTAGAATACAATTCAACTCACGGTACCTAAAAAAAGACAACCTTTATTGTTACCGTGAGTCGAGGCTTTAGATAGGGTTAACAAATATCGCACTGATGATGAACCTTCATCATCAAGTGATCTTGATTATCCAAAAACTAGTAAAGAAGTTTTGATATAATGCAGATCAAATAACTACTTGAATATACTGAATTATATAATTATTTGATACAATTTTGATAAATAAAAATAGTTTTAGGGATATTAAGATCACTCGAGCCGATTCATGTACATATTAGATAGTTTAAGTATTTTCCAATATTTAAACTAATAGAAACTGATATAAAACATAAGTATTTATTGACTTTTACAGTTAAATATATTCCTATATTAAAATGTATGATGTAGTTAGTAAATTAAGTCATAAGCATTAAAAAAATAAGTAGAAAACGAATAAAACTTTAACGTGCTTGTTGAAAATATAGAATAAGTAATTAAAATATTCGTATACCAACAATTATTATGAAACTATATCAGATTATTAAATAATGATATTAATAAGATAATTTACTCTGTACAAAAGCACCGATACAATTTAACATGGCACTAGAATGATAAATAGTTGATGAATATCTTTGAAATTTATCGATATATATTATGGATGGTTTTAATATGATATGTAAAACTAATTAATTGTCTGAGAAAATAATATATTAAAAGTATTACTTGATAGAATAAAATAAAATGATTTATTCATACAAAAAATTATTATTATAAAACGAAAAAAAAAATGATTTCTGATTTATAGAAACTTCTTTTATTAATTATGATATAATGCAACTTTTACTGTACAAAAATTATTAAAATAAATTTGAGAAACAAATTGGTTTTGAATTAATTATGTGAATACAAATATTTTGTACAAGTTTGTCGAATTATTTTAAAATTTTACTTGAAAATAAGATTTATCATAATTTATGTTTTGGTTAGTAATATAATTAATATTCGTTAATTGTTGATTTTACATTTGGCCACATTGTGATATAGTTACTGGTATTTTCGGTTTATTATTTGGACCTGTTGGAACATTTTCTACTTTTCTCATTACAAGCAATCCATCAATTACTCTACCAAAAACTACATGTTTTCCGTCGAGAAAGTTACATTTTGCACAAGTTATAAAAAATTGACAACCATTTGTGTCCTTTCCACTATTTGCCATGGACAGAAGTCCGGGAGAATCATGCTTTAATGTAAAATTTTCATCAGGAAATGTACTTCCACCGTAAATACTCAATACTCCAGTACCATCTCCATTTACAAAATCACCTCCTTGAATCATAAAATCTTTGATAACTCTGTGAAATATAGCTCCTTTGAATCCTAATGGTACACCATCTTTTCTATATTCTCCAGTACAGAATTGACGAAAATTTTCTGATGTTTTTGGACAAACGTCTTCAAATAATTCGAATATCATACGTCCTATTTCTGTTGTGCCGACAGAAACGTCAAAGAATACTACTGGATTGTTTGGATGTCGAAGTTGAGATTGAATTTGATTCCAAGAAGGCATGTTAATGACAAATTGAATATATTAAAATGTCAATTTACTAGTTTAAATTTGTGAATAATAATGCACTTATATCTGATACAAATTTCATTGAAAAATTCAATAACAAACGTAAATAGTTTAGAGTTTTCTGTTATGACTTGAGTCTAACATAACCTCTTAATATTCATGCTTAGCACGCGGGTTGTAATCTATCAGTAATGCCACCTGGTTTCACCCCATGTAAATTAAATTACGTTACAAAAACAAAAAAAAATAATAATTCGTTTCACTTTACCTTACTAATTTTTCTAATGATGACTTTCATTTATCTTAGAAACAAAGTTAAACTCCGTTTATAGATATATCTATCAACTCCATGTAAACATTCTTCTATTTTCACAAATCAAGAAACAGACAGACATCATTCGTCCGTGTGGATTCATTAAAAATATAATCAATAATAAATTATAAGTAAACTAAATAAACACTTTATTCATTATAAGCATAAGTACTGATTTAGTTTATTACTTAATGGTATTTTTTTAAAGAAATTAACACATGTTATGAAAATAAATAAATATGAAAGCACAATCGAAACTAAATTAATAATTTCATTATATAAGTTGGCTATCCTGAAGCTTTCTATTACTAAAAAAAACCTACATTTTGTTATAAATATTTATTATCGATTTAATCATCCTTGTTGTAGTTAACAAAATTTTAATTTGACTTATTATTTTTTTTTTCTTTTTTTTCCGTAAAAAGTCGCCATCATATCAAAGATCAGTTTATTCAGGTGTTGATTGGTGTCGAGAACAATAGCGGGAAAATTTAAAAAAAGTATTAGCATATGATACGATGTTGACTGTGTCTTTGGGTTGTTGGAATTGTAAAATATGTTTATGCAGCGAATTATTAGTTATATAATAATTTTCAATAACACATTTCAATTAGCAATTATTATTAGAGACTTGTCATCTTTTAATGTAGTAAAGTACTTATTTCTTTGAACAAATAAATTCATCATTTAAACGCATTATGAAATGATTAGAAAGATGTTTAATCTTTATATCATAATTATTAAAGTTCAATTTGTAAATTTAATTAATAAAAATACTTACGATAGTATGTTATATTGATTGACTATTTCGATAATATCATTTTGTTCGATAACAATCATCTTAAATATGAATAAAAATTTAATATCTTGTTTACATACAGAATTCATTATTCATTCTCATGTTCTTTTTTTATCATAAATAGAGATTACTTGATTGCTATCAATTATGCGTTTCTTCGTCGACATACTAATGTTGTTTTTAAGTGATTATTAAATATCATCAAGACCATTTCATTCTTGATGTGCAAGTCAGTTGATAAACTTAGCTCTGTTTGACGCTGTAATGTGCACTTATCATCAGTATAAAGTGCAACTTACTTGAAGAAGGATTCTAGTTTTTTGATTATTCGATGATAAATGTTGTAACTATATACATATCTTCAGTAAACTCTTGATTAAAGTTTTCAATTATGAATAATTATTTTACTATTATTATAACAAGTGTAATTACTTTATTTATTTTTTTTTACTTTTGGGCTAAATATAAATTAAATTATTGGCAAAGGAAAGGAGTTCCAACACTTCCGACGAATATCATATTTGGAAATTTTAAAGATTCATTTTTTCAACGAACAGCTCCTGGATTTCTTTTCGGAGAACTTTATCATCAAGTTAAAAATGATCCACCTTACATGGGAATTTATATTATGTACAAACCATTTTTATTGCTTAGGGATCCAGAAATAATCAAACAAATGTTTGTAAAAGACTTTAATTATTTTCAAAATCGTTATTTTACTGCAAGAAATCGTAATGATCGTCTTGGCAGTGACAATTTATTTTCTATTCATAATCCTCAGTGGAAATATATCAGATCGAAAATATCTCCAGTATTTACAAGTGGAAAATTAAAACAGTTATTTGGTTTGATTGTTGAAACTTCAGATTTTCTTAAAAGTTATTTAGATGATCAATTCAAAGAAGATGTAAATGGAATAAAGTCAATTGAAGCAAAAGAAATGAGCAAAATGTATACCACTGATGTTGTATCGAGTGTAGCTTTTGGTGTTCGTACTAATTCTTTTGAAGTTCCTACACCCGAGTTCTATTCACGCAGTAAATAATATGATAAAAAATTCTAAAAATCATTAATAGTATATTTTTAAATAAATTATTTCCATTTTTTTATAGGTTCACGTAAACCAACTTTATTAACAGCAGTACAATTTTTTGGCATGTTTTTTTTCCCCAGCTTATCACAACTATTTAGATTTTCCTTTTTTGGAGAAAATACTGATTTTTTCCGAAATGTATTTTGGAGTTCATTGAATGCTAGAGAAGAATCAAAAACTGAAAGAGGAGACATTATTGATAGTTTAATTAAGCTAAAGACTGAAAAGCAAGAATCAATTTTTAGTAAGTATTAATACTTGAAAAAATACATAGGTGTATACACAGAGAAAAATTAAGTAAAAATTTTCTGGCGTTCAGGGTAATTGCGGTACACTGAACGGAAAAAATAAAATTTACTACGAAATATAGTTTAATTTGTCTCTCCACTTCTTAGATATTCTTATCTTGGAGGATGAATTCTATTATTTTTATGCAGTGTACCATGATTACCGTGTGCATCGGATAATTTTTATTCAATTTTTCTTTTTGTATATAAGTCAACTATAATGCTTATTATTTTTCTTTATGTATATATTTTATTTTTCATACAGAATTTGAAGGTGACAGTTTAGTTGCCCAATCAGCAATTTTCTTCATAGCAGGATTGGAATCGAGTTCAACCACAATAGCATTTGCACTTTATGAATTGGCAAGAAATCCAGAAATTCAAGATCGTGCAAGAAAAGAAATTCGTGAAAACTTGAAGGAGAATGGATTAACATATGACTCAGTAAATAATATGAAGTATCTCATGCAAATTATCAATGAAACTTTAAGACTCTATCCACCAGCTCCAATACTCGATCGAGTTGCTGATGATGATTATCAGGTAAAATTTTAATTTTATTTTTATGATAATCTATTATGATTAAATCGATAATCATCGAAAGAATAAATTAAGTTATTTACATACTTTTCTAGATTCCTAACTCAAACGTAGTTATAGAAAAAGGAACTGCAGTTTACGTAGCACTACCAGGTATACAGAAAGATCCAAAGTATTTTCCTAACCCAGAACAGTTTGACCCAGATCGATTCAGCGAAGAAAATAAAAATAAAATACCATCATGTACATTTATGCCTTTTGGTGAAGGTCCTCGTATTTGTATAGGTATTTTTAGACATTTTTTAAAATTATCAATGTGTTGACATTATTAATATATAACTACTAGTTTTAATTATCATGTATAGGTGCAAGAATTGGACTACTCCAAACAGCAATCGGTTTGATTAGAATTCTCGAAGATTATCAAGTCACTGTGAATGATAAACATAAAGTAAAAATAGACACACGGATTTTTTTTACACTACCAATGAATGGGGTTCATCTATTTTTTAAGAAAATTAATACTTAATAATTATTTACAAAAATTGTTATTATATTTATCATCAATTTATTAAACGAAATATTAATTTTTTTTATCAATATTAAATTAAAATCAATATTCAGTGAGATAGGTGATTGTTTATAGAACATGACTTTTGTTTATTATCAGTTATCAGTTGAAAGAAAGATCTTGTATCTTATCTATATTATTGAAAGAATAATTCATTTATAAAATTTATTATCTTCATCTCTTGTTTTCCTGTTAAATAATTTTTGATGTAAGTACTTGTAATTAATAAACTCTTTTAATCATTGAAGTGTTCTATTAATAAAAGATATTCAATTCAAACTTTGTAAATAATATCAGTAAATTTAACGAGAGAATGTCAATTTGTAAAATATAATCCTATTATCATTAAATAGTATTCATTTCTTTTGGCAGAAATTGAATAATCAACATTAACAAACATGACATACATACAAATATTATTATTAAAAAATTCAATAAAATATCTATACATAAATAGTTAATACGGCAATATTTATAAACTTTTAACAAATGATATATTGACACAAACAACTGTTTTCTTATTTATACCATCATGAATTTATTCAAAACTCAGCCTTTAATAAAAATTTAACTTGGTAGAGCTAATACAATTATTTTTAAATACAACTAATTATTAAATCTAGAATGGTAAATAATTATTGTGTGATCATATGCGACCGTTTTTTACAAATTTGATTAATTGAATTTTTTATTCTTTATTCTGTTTATAAAAATCATTCTATTATTTAATAATTATAAATCTGATTATAAAGAATAAATTTTTACATAATATAAGACTTTTTTTTAAATAATTAATTTTTTTATTGTACAAAATAGTTAATTTTTTCATTTATTTCAATAATTCTTTAGGTAAAAGTGGAAAATATTTTTTAAATTCTGGTATAACATGATCTTTAGGATCCGAATAATCCATCGTTAAAAATTTATTTAAATACGTTGGAACATAACATAAAATACCTTTGCTGGCAAGCATCGCCCAATCAACAGGCTGTTCTAATTGATTCATTTGTATAAAACAATGTGTAACTTTCTTACCGTTAGGACTATTATATGGAGGTTTTGCTTCTACAACTGTACCTCCACCAGCTTTAATAAGCCTTTCAAAGGTTGCATATTTCTCTTTAGAAACCATTAGCATCGCTACCATATCATGAAATGCACCAGAATTTTTTCCTGATAATTTAATTCTCCATTTGTGTGCTGCTAAAGCTAGTTGCCTTTCTTGTTCATTATCTAACTCAGAAGCGTATATACTTCGTGGGTTTCCCCATTCAAATTCGTCTTCATCAATAAACTTTCCAGCTTTCTCACATTCTCGAACATAGGAGCAATGAAGAATCCATTTACCCGATGCAATACTCCCTACCATTTTCTCATTCCTCGTTGGTCTAAGGCATAATAAATGTGTTGCTGTAATATCAAAGTTTCCGACAGTTGAAACTTCTCCCCCTAATTCCTTTATAATTTTCTCATAAAGTGCTCGTTCTTTTAAACCTGATAGCATAAACTTTCGCGTTAATGTCTGATTGCTATGCTCATGGTTCAATTGCGATGTCGTTTCTTCATGAATAGTCTGACCACCAAATGATTTGAGAGAGATATGAGGATGAGGATCTTCCCATCCAACACTTTCTGGTTGTGTAGCGGGCATATAATTGTTGATATTATCTGTAGCTTCTGCAAAAACTTTCACATTGTCACCATGTAATGAAAATCTACTTTCGGAATTCGATGTTGCTGCTTGAAATACTTTATTCATTTGTTCAAGCTGCTCACTTATTTGATTTTTTCTGGTAGGACTTGATTCTTCTGTGAATGACAACTGTTTAGGTTCTAAAGGCACAATATTGTGAGATGGTTTATCTGTATCACTTTCTAAGTCATGATGATTATCTTGAGAATTAGATAAATTTTGATTTTGAGATATTGATTCACTTAATTGGCTGGAATCAAGAGGTTTACGCATTGCTGACCAAACTCGTCGTTTAAGCTCCGTTAAAGGAGTACTAACTCTACGTTGCTTTGCTGGAGGTTCTTTTACATCTGGAATATCATCAATCCATTTAGCCCATGCTTTTCGAGTATCTGGTGATGGGTTCGGTTTAAAAATTTGTCCATAAGGTGTATTAGGTGTTGCTACATGGAAAGGGGAATTAGCCATATTTTGTTGTTGAGATAAATTCAAACGTTTATTAATCAAAGGTGTGTCAATTCCTGGCGTTTGAGTTAATTGTCTTTTAGGAGTAAAAATTTGTCTGGTTGGAGTACTTTTTGGCGGACCCATTGTTAAAGATTGTGGTTCATCTTGTGGCCTTTCTGGAGCCATTGTTTCACCAACAAGGTAAGGTGTTTCATCAACTCGACAGAGTTGATTTAAACAAGCTCGAAGCCATTCTCCAGTTACGGCTGGAAGATTCCATCTTACTGCAGCATTATATTTATTTCCCATTGGTAGAGTACAAATCAAATGTGTTCCAGCGTATTGTTTTTTTTCAATATTAGTCCTCTTAGCAAATGAATCTTGATGCATAGCTCCTAAAGAGACAGCAAGATGTGTTAAATAAATTCGTTCGGCACCAGTATAACCACTAGTGGCTACTACACAATCTTTTAATGGGTTCACACCCTCTGGAACCAATATTGGTCGATGATAATATTCAATATCCACTAATTTATCACTATCAATACAATGATCTATAAAAAGATTTGTCACTATTTCATTCACTGTATGTTTTAATTTTGCTCCAGTTATGGGAACCACTCCGAAATCAGGAATACCTGAGAAAGAATTTGAAACTAATTTTCCACCAAGCCCAGAAATACTTGTTATTACTATACAACTTTCTTCTTCATTAAAACCAGTTACAAAAAATTTTAATTTTTTAAATATTTGTTCAGTTACAGAACAACTTTGACTCAATGGAATTGAACTTACATTATCAGGTCCATCATTTAATGATGGCCTTTGATTAACTAAAGTTGTTGCATTGTTTTCTATATTCAATGACCTATTTACTTCTAAAGCAGTTCGATCAGAAGTTTTGTTAAGATATTGTTGAACAATATCTGGCTCATCATTATCGTTTATATTATCAGCCGGTGGAATTTGATCTATATTGAATTTAGGCACTGGGGGTTTTTTAGATTTTAATAATTGTAAACTTTTTTTGCTTAATGGAGATGCTGGTTCTGTTATCTGAGTATTTATATTTTCTTTTCTCGGCAAAATAAAATCATCTTCAGGTGCTGGTTTTTTCAATTTCATACTCTTTTCTAACCAATTAACAGTTAAAATATGAGGATTAATTCCTTTAGATTGAATTAATTTCAATTCATTATTAGCTTTGTTAGGATCTCCAACAAGAACATGGGTTAAAGAGTCTGAAATATCATCAAATCTTGTTGCACTTCCAACATTTAATATTCTGCTAATTTTATCTCTGTGTTGAGGAACAAATCCAGCTAAATAAATATTACAACCGTCTAGGAAAGGCCCTGCTTTTTTTGCTTCTTTTATATCTAATTTATCCACAACTGAAAAACTTGGTACAAAATCACGTTGTCTTGATTCAATATTAGAACTGACAGTACTTGACATGGTTTCTTCTACATAATTGCGATTAGTTTCACATGGAATTGTGCTAACATTGGAACAATTTAATGTTATTTGGTGCATTGAGCCACGCTCTGGAGTAGAAGACATAGCTTTTGAAGATGGAGTAATTATGTAGTCAGCAATTGGTAAAGAATATCCAACATCAATACATTTGAACAGCCATTCTATTTTAACACATGGAATATTATTTTGGAATGCGAATTTGAGTTTAGCACTGGAAGATATATATTCCTTTGCTATCACTAATTTTACTTTAGAACCATCAAGATCCCCCATATATGTGCCTCCATTTTCAGTTATAAATTTTCGAACTTCTTCTTTTTGACGTTTTCCTAAGTTAGTCGTTGTCACTACCAAATTCAGAAAAATTGGACATTTATATTGATCAAATATAGGTTCTGTTGCTTTAATGAAACTGGTCAGGTTCATTTCCCACACCTTATGTACCCACTCGTCTGTATATATAGATATTCCAACTTCAGCAGCTCTTTCATATTTTTTCGACAATACAGAATCTGTTACTAGATGAGTAATACATCCACGAAGTTCTTTTATAAAAATTCCACCCATATATTCTACTTTTTGACGAATTTCTTCTTTGGTTTTCTGGCAGAATCCTGAAGCACACACTACCATATCTCTCATTGCTGTTGTAAAAACTGGACTCGTTCCCGAAGGAACAGGCTCCCCAGTTAAAAAGCATCGCAGCAAACATAAAGGTCCTATAATTCTGCTAAAATTCATTTGAAAAAATAAAGTATAATTATTATCCATTAAATATTTTTTGATTAAATAACCTTAAAACTTACAAACATTTAAAGTTTTGCAGTTTTTCAAATAACATTCCTTGAAATTCTTCAATCACAAAAATATCAGTTTTTGTAGGACTTAAATTATAGCATTCTTTTTCACATATCCAAGTTGGCTCTAACTCATTTTCTTGGCATTTCTACAATCAGAACCATTTAAAGGGGTTATAATAAGTGATGTTTTAAAATGATTATTTTTTAAATAATAATTTCGATAAACTTACATTAAAAGCTTCCCACATGTCATCAGAACATTGTTCAGCACTTTCATATTTTGATAGGACCACAAAATAAATGTTTAACGTACCTTCAATATGACTAAATTGACTTGCCATTGTATGAAAAAATAAAACAAGATATCAATAAAATAAAACAATTTTTTCATCAAAATGATTTTGATCTAGTTAATTTCCATCAAAAAATACTTATAAAATACATTGTTGTGTTAAAAATTCACAATTTTTTCACAATGTAACGGATGATTTGTTGGCGCGTTTTTAACTACTAATCGCCATTTAATGTCGGTAATAAAGGTATTTTGATGACCATAATTGAGCACGAGTATTTAAAAAATTTCATATATGTATATTTAATTTTTTTTAAATAATTTGTATTATTAATCTATACATATTTACACATACATTAAAATAAAAGAATTAATTAATTATGTTGTAGATTAGAAACTCGATGATTTCGCAATCGAAAAACAAGATGCAATATTGCAGCTGGAGTGACACCTGGTAATCTTGTAGCTGCTGCGATCTAAAAAAATAATGAATTATTAGTAGTAGTAAATGTACTGTTAATATGTGAATAAAATTTATCATTTGATTACTTACCGTTTGTGGTTGTGCTGCCATCAATTTTTCCCTGACTTCTGTAGAAATACTAATTCTAAAAATAGACATGTTTATATAGAAAGTAAATTTTTATTAGAATTTTTTTTTATAGATTTCTTACTCACGTTTGATAGTCAAAATTTTCAGGAATGACCATTTTTTCGTTTTTTTTGACTTCTTCAATATGATTCAATTCTTCTTGAATACTATGATAATATAAAGTTTCAATCTAAAAACATTTAACCGCAAATTATAATTGCAAAAACTATTATACTGCAGAAACTGCTAATATAAGGTTTAAATTACCTCTATTCGCCGAGCCAAAGTGTGACTATAGTCGATGTGATCAAACTCACAAGGAAATAATTTTATTATATCTTCAAAAGAGATCATGCCATTAGCATGGGCAAGAATCATGAATGCACTTTTATGTGTTCCTATTTTACATGGAATCATAGGAAATTGTTCTAACCAAAACATACTAGGTTTCTTAATTGATTCAAGTATTTCAAGAGTTTCTATAATTTGTAATTTCATTTTTTCAGTTTTTTCAAATCGTATTTTAGATACACATCCAGTTTCATATCCTTTTGGAGTCAATCTGAGATCAGCATTATCTGGTCTAAGAGTTAAGCGAAATTCAGCACGACTAGTAAACATTCGATAAGGTTCAGAAGTTCCTCGTGTTGTTAAATCATCAATTAAAACTCCAATATATCCATCAGTACGATTGATAATTAATTTTGGTTTATTTAAAACTTTAGCTGCTGCATTTGCGCCTGCAACAATTCCTTGCGCGGCAGCCTCTTCATAACCAGTTGTTCCATTTATTTGTCCAGCAAGAAACAGACCAGGCAGTTTTTTAGTTTCTAATTCCTGTGTCAGTTCTGTTGGATCAACAAAATCATATTCGACTCCGTACCCTGGTCGTACGATTTTAGCTTGGTGTAATCCGGTAATACAATTGACTAATTCTTGTTGTTTATCAGCTGGAAGAGTACACGATAAGCCACCAGGATAAATAATATCAGATGATAATCCTTCTGGCTCAAGCCAAATTTGATGAATTGGTGATTTGAATTTTAATATTTTACTTTCAATACTTGGACAATATCTGGGGCCATTGATTTCTTCGGTAACGTGTGAATTGCAATGTAAATTATCTTTGATTATTTTTGAAACTTGTTCATTTGTATGCGTTAAATAACAGCATAATTGATCTTTTGGTGATATCCAAACTTGATCGTTCATGAATGAAAATGGCGTCGGATCTGCATCTGGTGGGTTGACAGTGCATTTAGAAAAATCTATCGTAGATTTTAATAAACGTGGAGGAGTTCCAGTTTTTAAACGACCCATACGAAATCCTAATCGTTCAAAAGTATTGGCTAATTCAATACTTGGTTCATCTCCAACTCTTCCAGCAGGTCTTTTTTCTAGTCCAATATTTATTTGACCTTTCAAAAACGTTCCTGTTGTTACAACCACTGCCTCTCCAAAAATTTTTGTGCCATCCTCTGAAAAATAGCCGAAATGTAATGAATTAAAGTAAAGTTTTATCAAATCAATCCAAAATACATCATTTTAGCTCACTCAAAATTATTCCACAACACTTTGGTGAATCGCCTTGTAGTATAAGATCTTCAACAGAAGATTCACATATTTGTAACTGAGGAATCTTGAATAATTCATCTTGAAGATGTTTTTTGTACAGTGAACGATCAATTTGAGCTCTAAGACCCCAAACTGCTGGTCCTTTTCGACGATTAAGAATTTTATAATAAATACCAGATAAATCACAAATACGACAACAAAGACCGTCAAGAGCATCAACTTCTCGCATTAAATTTCCTTTGCCAATTCCACCGAATGAAGGATTACAGGACATTTCACCTAAAAATCAATTTTATTAATTCAATTATTATCAGTTATTTTATTCTAAATGAATTTATATATCATAAAAATTCGTACCAATTGTACTTTTTTTATGAGTGACAAGAAGAGTCTTAGCTCCCATCCTAGCTGATGCAGCACAAGCTTCTGTTCCTGCATGACCTCCACCAATTACAATCACGTCAAATTTACTCTTATCATCATGAGTTAATGTTTGAATATTTCTACAATATATTTGTCTCGTTTTTACGTTAAACAACGTTGCTTTTAATTTTTGTAGATACATAATTACTTTTATGCAATATAATATGGTTTACTTTTTAGACTTCTGTAAATATATATATACTTTAATGTGTACCGTAATCTTGGTAGAAGAAGTTTTTCAAAAACTTGTTCTTTTGTAACAAAATTAAAATCTTTAAAGTTCAATTTTTGTAAAAATTCTATGATAAAGTTATAGCAATTCATTGATTGTACATTGTAGTTACATGAATTCCATTTATTATTTTCTATCAAAGAGAATAATGTTTGATCCCAATGAATATACCATGATTCGGGGATGATATGAACAACAATACAATCTAACCAGTCTGAAAAATTATTTACTGTTATGCCTCGGTGATCAAACTCATACAAATGACCTATTGAGTTAACTATTCCTATGTGCATATCTTTTGAAAGATTATAATCATTACAAAATGTTCCTTGAGTTGGTTTTAGTACTATCGACGGTGGATCATCAGCAGCTTTTTTACAACAATATGGTAGAACAAATGGTTCAATATAACTTTCAGATAAACTACAGTTACACAAAGGACAAGTATCAGGAATCGTTTTACAAAATACTGACTTAGATTTACAATGTTTGAAACATAAGATTGGAAACGAATTATTCATTCTTGATACTAATCACGGTGATTTTTATACAGTAATTACAATCGATACATTCAACAGATATTGAATGACCATATAATTATGTTTAATAATAACTCATTGATTTTTATAAGTCTCTTTAAGTTATTCGGCACACGTTTTACAATTTAATTTTGGAAAGTATGAAACTAAAGAACTTTGAATTGAAATTGTTATTCTGTGTAGGGTAAATTTTTTTCTAAATTAATTGTGTATCACCATTGCCTTTATGTTATTAATGAGGTTATAAATTTTTTACACAATATTTAAAATAGTTTTAGAGCATATTAACACTACAAAATGTTCAATAAAACTTTTACATTTTCACTTTAATTTATTAATATTACCAAATTCATCACAATACATTTAATTAGAGCATTTTAATAATCGAAAAGCATTGACTGTTAATAACGTTTTATCAAATGAAACAGGTTGGAAACTGATTTGACTAACCTGTTTTATTTGTTTTGTTATTGATTTGATTGAAGATAAAGTTTGAACTAAGAAATATACAGAAATTTCTTAATCGATTTAAGACTATTAATTTGATCATTAAATCTAAAAATTACTCTGCTTCAATAAATTTTAAAAATAAAATTGAAATCTATAATTACTTCACGTAGTATAAGATGGCGTTGCTATCGAAACGGACTCCGCGTGACTTTACGGCTTCACAGTATCAGTTGAAGTTGATTCCCGGTATAGAGTGGTTGTGTTTATGTGAGTTGTAACTCGTGCAATATTATTATTTTTATTTTGTGCAAGTGTAGCTTTCTGATTATGTTAATTATTAACTTCACGTGTTTCTTTTGTGTTTAGTTTTGTTTGCTATTGTTTTTTTTAAATAAATTATCGTTTAATTAATGAGCTAAAGACGTCATCGGACCTTTCTGGAGTGAAAGGAATATCTAATCGTGCCCTGGAGTGCTGGAACATCGTGACCGGTAAGTTTAGGTTACATTCACATTTCTTCTATATTTATTATTATCATATTTCTACACTTGTTTAAAATCTATTTGTGGTCATTTTGAGGTTACTCTTCTAAGTTTGTGCGGTATTAGATCGGTTGAATGAAAAAAACACGTGTGTTGAGCTTCAGAGTAGGAAAGAGTAAACTCGTTCAGTTTCAAAGGTGACTGACACCTGATGCGTCAATGACCACGCATGTGACTAGTGCATCTTGACCTTGTCTTGCGAAATTGTATCACTGTTTCTTTATTAATTATATTTATTTTATTTCAAGTTTTGATTACATTTAAAATTGTCAAGTTGTGATACAACACAGTTAAAATTTTTTTATTAACTTGACATAGTCAATATATGATCATTATCACTAATTTTATTATTTAGTTATTTTATTTTAATTGAATATTTTTCAAATTTAATAATGATTTTTGTTTACACAAACATTTGTACTAGAAATTTTTGGACATAAAAATACCAAATTTTCTCTGTAGATAAGAAAAATTAATTATAGATTAACATATTTAACGAAAGCTTATTGCTTAATATGTATCATTCGTTATCAACTTTATTGATCAAATATTTCATTTTATAGTAAGTATAATCACTGAAGCTAAAATTTTACAACAATGAAAAAAACGAGAGAAATACATACGATGTTCTAGTGAAAAATTCGTCATTAATCAGACAACATGTTATCGTAAACATCCTTTGATTTGGATTCTTCGTGGAAATTTTCACGTTCGTGAGTAATTTTGGAGTTATCACAAGTAATTATTTCACTAGGGCCACTTTTAAGTTGTATCAAGCTTACTTGCAACAACTCAAATTTTACTATCGAATAGAAATATTTTTACTCCTAAATTTCGAAACGTGGACTTGTCATTTTTGCACTTACATTTAGTGAAAAGATTCTCTCCGTGTACAACATCAATTTACATAACGTGAAATATTTTTCGTTTATAAATACAATGATTCATACATTTTTTATAGTATTATATAAGAAATAAAACTATAAAATGAGAAAAAAAATTAATTTTTCTTAAATTAAGGAATACATTATTAGTATTCATAGTTATGTATCAATTTATGATTCACAAATAACATAGCAATATTATAAATAACAGAAAGATATGTTCTTCAATAAACAAACTTTTTAGAATTTTAGAAAATATTATCGATGTAGTTTTATGGTAAAGAATAGTTCGCAATACTTGATAAATTATTGTTATCGCAGTAATTATTGGAAGTTATAGTTTGAAAAATATTTTATAGCGCAAGTTTTCTAGCTAGAAAGATTTATCTATTTACACATGCTTCTGTATGTTACATTAAATGTGAAATTTAGCAGAAAAAAAAGTAATTTCCATAAATTTCGTGTTATAATGTTAATTATAAAGTCGATTAAATTTGAATATAAATAATGATACTTTATGCTCACAATGAAGGGCGATAATCTTAAACGAGAAGAAAAAAAAACTTTTGAAAAAAGAGAAATTTGCAAGGACAGCAAAATCTGATAAGCCATTTTGCAAACTCTAGCAAACGTGTCGGATTTTGCAAACAGAGCGAGAAGCAATACGTATAGTTTTCCTACATAGAGAGATTATGTACGAGATTAATTAATTATTCATTAAATCATTGTATACGAAGCTTAGATAGATTTCACACACATGATACTGTGATATGATATTATATTAGTATGACTGTAGAGCCATTTTTACATTCGCTTTTCTTGAGCAGGTATTTCTAGTTTTATTGAGTTTCCACTTCTTTTATAGCAATATTTGCAAACACTTGTAGCCTTGAAATTTTCTGTAAACACTCGGACAAATAATTGAAGTTATGTTTAGTTACATAAAGAGAAAGAAATAAATAGTTGATTGCATTTTTTGTTACCACTTATCACACATAGTTTTGAATATTTATAGAACGTTTTCTTTCATTATTTTCTTTTTTTCGAAATCTGCATGTTAGCTATTTGATCAAATTATAATATAATATAATGATTACGTTTTGTTTACTGAATGCAGATAGATTTTAGTTTTCCAGAAATATTTGATAAAATCGTTAAACCATGTCCATTTGTGTTAAATTGGAAATTTTTAATATCCTTGTTATATATATTTTCAAAGCTATTTCCATAGCTAAAAAAAATTATTAACAATTTTTATTCAGTTTAGTATAAAAGGTCTCTAAAGATGTTTTTAATGAAAAAATTGAGAATAATAGAATCCACATGATACAGAGATATCGATATTGGATAATAGAAATAAATGGACAAGCATGTAAACAGATTTTTATAATGTCTCTTAATTAAGTTTGGTGATGTTCGTGTTGATTTTTATCAAGTAAATCATTTCCTCGAGTAGTGGCACGAAATATCCGTTTGATGGCAATCGAGACTTAACTTCCTACAACTATCGACGTAGAAGCGTCAACGGAAATTTCAATATTGAGTGCGAGTAAAGAGAGAAATAAGAGATATATAGTACTGTTACATAAAGTATGATATATATAACAGTAGTAGCAGTAGATGGAGTAGGTACGAATCTAGTGGAACCCGATGATTTTCTGATCGGTCCAACGCTTCTGCCTCTTGACGGGAAAAAAGCAATCAAGAAAATATCGTCAATATAGCTCCTATTCGTGTAACGAACCGGCGATGCGCAAAGTCAAATTTCCAGTAGAAGAAAAATAGTAATTGGAAGCATCTAAAGATTCAATTTTATAGCACCAGTGTGTTTTTAGTTTTTTTTTATCGGCGAAAATTTTTATTTTCTTTTGAAAATTGCTCAATAAATATTGGTAATACAATTTTTCAATTATAAAATTCGATTGCATCATGTCGATAAAGATTAGGATGAAAGTGCTATGAAAGTCGTAGATTTAGCTTGGAAACATCTGGTTTAGTATCTGAGTATATTCTCTGGCGGTTTTTACTTGCTTGACTGACGCCAACGCTATTGAATTCATGACCAGCGGCAATTTTTTTTACTTTTTGCGTCTATAGGATATCTTCTATCCTTATATTTATGAGTATATCATCTAAATTTTACTTCCTTCCGTTTTATCCTTACAATATCGACCAACTTTTCTTTCCGTTCTCCATCTCACTTACTTTGCCACAAGAAATATAACATATTATGTCACCTGAATTCACAGAAGTTTTTACAATAAATCCTTTATTGTAAACCATATAAATCTAGATTTTAATAATAAATATTGCAATAAAATTTCCAAAAAATATCCTACATGTAAAAATTATGTAACTATATTTTGAATAATCATAATTTATATTGAAAAACCTAATATTAATTATGGAATTAATTTTTTACTTTAAACATACAGAGTATAGAGGACAGAAGGGTAAAGTAAAACGCACACAGGCAAAGTAAAAGCAACACGAGAGAATTCACTAATTTATCAGAATAAGCCTAAAAACACTTATTGCGCTTTTTGTTTATCAATTTTTCAATATATTGACCTATTGGATGATTTACGTTTTTTCTTCGTATTATACTTGACCCTTCCTTCTTCTATATAACATTATTTTGAAATCGATTTAACTGACAATGGTTTATTAATATTTCATTTTATTTTATTAAAAATTTTCTAAATAACATATGTACCTCAAATTCTGTACTGAAGAATGCTCAATTAAAATTGAAAGTAATTGAACTGAGACATAAAAATAAAAAAAAATTATAAACTAGTATTTACTCACAAATTGATTTGAGTTTATAATGATATATGTATAATAATAGAAACAAAATTAAAAAATTATTAGATATTAAACTATTATTTTATTAGATAATTTCATCTATTCTTTGAAATTTTATTTTATTTTTAATTAAAGAGTTATTAAAATAGAATTCAACTGACAGCATAATAATTAAATCATTTAAAATTTTTTTGAATGGAATTAATAACATATGTAGAATATAAGAACTAATTATTTTCTGAGTATTTACTAGGAATTTACTAAGTAGTTGAGTTATTTAATTGTATCACAGTTATCAGGCATTAGATAGTTACATGTTACTAAATTAATTAAATTTATCCTTTCATTGTTGTTTAATGTTTTTTTCGAACAGCTTTCGTAAAGTTAATGAATAATAGTAATTATAAATTAATTAATATAAGAAAATAAATTATTTAATATGTAATATGACGAGTTCATGAAAAGTGACAAACATCACTATAATACTGAAGAAAGTCGTTGCAAAATGCAATAATTGTTTAATTACCGAATATTTCAGTGATTATCGTATAATGCAGAAGTTCTTTATGGAAAGTCGTATTCTACTTGTGTCAGATCAGAAGAAATGTTTCTCACTTAAAACCGGATGTGCTGTAATATACTTCTCAAGAAACGGAGTGAGATCAACGACCTGTATCTTGTAGTCAATTATAATCTAGGTTTCGTGTTATTCTTCTTATAAACTATTTATGTTCTCTAAATTTATTAATTGGCTATTCATACTACTATATATCGTATATCTAATATAGAAATTAGGGTTGATGATAGAGAGAGTAAGGAAATTAATTCGAAAATTATAGAGACACCATGGCTTTGAACTCAATTAAGTAGTCTATTATGACAGAATGCACATCATAAAGTACAGACAGATGTAGGAATATATATGATAATTGTCTTGAATAAATTATTCAGTAGATTTGAATATAGCTAAAATTAATTAATCTTTCATTTGCTTTAAATGTTATACATTATTGTTGTAGAAACATCATTCATTGAATTAGAAAATTAATTATTATTTTGTTCGTTAGTTCAAAAAATATTCTAGTTATTATTTTGCCAATTAGCCACATAAAAATTGCTGGAGTATGAACAGAATTCATTCATCACTTTATTTATGACATATCATGTTGCTTAGTACTTATTTATGTATAGATGGTCTGCATGTATTCTGGTTTATGATGAGACTATAACTGAATCTAAGTTTATGATATTTTTCTA